TGAGGGTTGTGACAGGGACCATCCACATGGCCCTTCGTCTCATCACGCGATCCTGGAGAGATATAAGTGATGAACGAGTTGTAGCACGGTCAGGGATCTGGGGATTTCCAAATTTATACCTCTCATCAAGATTGTGGCATGTACCGTGCTGGTAAAGAGACAATAATAACAATCTTGGGAGCATACGATGATCTGCCACACTAAACCAATATCATCCGAGGGGGCTTTGCTGTTGCTCAATATACGTGTTACACGAGGTGAAGAGGTAGGGATCTCGCTGCGAACGGGTATCCCGGTCTTGCTCAAGCCAACTTCCAAGCCAACGTGTCAGGGTGTCAGACAGAGATCGAGCCGCAAGTTGCCCCGACTTCCCAACGTGGATGCATACGAAGTCATGGGACCTATCTCCCATCTGGTTGGGTTCTGCCTCACAGGCCCATGGAGCGAAGAAACGTGACTCTGAGGCTTGAGCAGGCTGTCAGGAAGATGGCAACATGCCGAAGCGCCGCTGGCGGTTTTCTCGACACGGCGAGTCCAATCCCCGGTGAGGCTTGAGTCGTGACCAAGATATGACCAAAGCCACCTATGCATGAACCTGGGTGTCAAATACCGTTGAGGGTGTGATGAGCCACGAGGTCCGTCTACGGTCTGACCCCTGAGTTCGCCCAATGTAGTAAGAACTGCAGCCTGCAGCCTGCAGCCTACATGATATGATGGTGAGGCGCTGTACCACATGGTTGAAGAAACGGGATGACGATGCGGTTCGTGGCTTAATCTTCAAGAGGTCCCTATGTACCCTAGGCTGCCTAGCAACTTACCTAGGTAGGTAACAAGCCGTCTGGGCCTCGATAGGGCATGTATTGACAGGAGGCGACTGGGGACCGGACGGCATTTCTCCCCACTCGAGGTGATAGATGGACTGCACTTGCAAGATAGGCGACTGCCTGCATGTCACCCCTTTCGGAATCATGAATGCCACGGGGGAAATGTTACCTACAGTAATCAGGAGCCGCTCGCCATGGCGCAATTGCTGAGCCACAGCTGGCCGAGTGCCGCCGTGTGACCACTCCTCAGGCTCCTCCTCCTGGCTGTCATCACTGGCAGACTGGCAGTCACCAATAGAGATGATCTCGACAAGGTCGGGACACCGGCTATAATACATCCTGACGGGTACATGTGTATCTGCCGAGTACGGCGTACACTACGCTGTAAAGAGCAAGTGATCCGTTATTATGTGAGCGATTCCTCTTCTACTACCTCTGTTACAGTATCCAGCCTGTGCCTCTTCTATGCTTTATTACCAGAGTGGCCACCAGCTCGCTGACATGAAATTCCCCGTCAATTCTTCCATGTTATTATTGGGGGTTGTCGACGTGATCACGTCGGCTGCCGCGTGGGCGAGTAGGAGTCAAGATACATGACTCTGATGAGCGATACCAGCACGTCGGTTCGGTCTGACAAATAGTTGCCGGCAATGGTCCACACAACCATTGCCGGTAACTAAGTAATTGTCTGCTGTCTGCTGTCTCGCAATCTGCAATCTGCAATCTTGCTTCGGTTTTCGTCCCGAATCCCTAGTAGATCATAGATGCAGTGGCCTCCCTGCCTGCCTCCCCACAGTCTGACAGTCTGACAGTCTGACAGGCCGCACGCGAGCATCGGCTTGAGCTGCTCAGCAGTTCCGAGTCGCCGACATGTCGGCTGGGCTAGACAAACTAAACGCTGCCGACACGTCTTGAATTTTGATCGTCTCGATCGATCTACTATTGACGGCCGCCGGATTTACTAGTCTGGTCAAACCCAACGTCCTTCATTGGCCTCTGACTATGGTGTCGGCGGGGCGTGCTGAGAAGTTTGGAACCGCCCAGCTTCCCGACTCTTTCTAGCTCCATCAGCCCATTCCCTACGAGGCGAGAATTGGCGAGTTGCAAGTCATGTTACTCGGTAATAAAGTAGGTACACATTATAACCGGCCGAGTACATTCAAGCGGGCGGCGGGGCGCCACAGTTGCCCACCACCGCTGGGCCCTGGCTCGAATCCTCGAACCGTTCCGTGAAGGGGTGAAGGGGTGAAGGGGTGAAGGGGTCTCTACGTCTCTACTAACTAGTGGCTCAAGCGAATCCGCGCACTCGGCCGACACGATGACGCTACGATGAGCTACAGCGGCACTTGCCGTCCCTGCCTGTCAAATCATTGATGGTCATCCATGATCCAAGCAAGGTTCACTTCGCAGTTCGACTGACAGACTACAATGGAAGGGGAAGCAATACACGCTTCTTGCCACGAAGCCGCCCGGCCCCGACTCGAGTCCACCTGGCGGTAATACGTTGTAACACTTCCTCCGGCCGTGTACATGCGAACGGATCCGAATGATATCGCCCGTCATCTCATAAGCCCCTAGTTCCCACGCATCCGCGGTAGCTAAGACCCTTGGTGCTGTTAGCGCACGGGTTGCAGAATTCCCGGATGCAAGAAGGTGCCATGCAGTGTTCTGACTGGTCTCGTTGCGCCTGGCCTCGGACCAAGCCTCCCCTAGGGACTGGACCTTTATTACGGATGCGGTAGACGGGACCGATAACAGAACTTATTACAGAAGCACCGAACCGAGGTAACAGACAGTCACATAGTATGGCACGGCCAAGGGAGGCGCCTCGCACCGTTGACTCCGTCTCCTCCGACTCCTGCCGTCAACCCGCCTGGCATTCTGTCCAAGACTCCAAGTACAGATACCACCACGGTAGTACTGGTACAGTGCACCCGGGAGACTGGTATTGCACTAAAGTAAGACGTGCCGGCGCACGCGCTTCTTATTAGCCGTCACATAGAGTCAGTGAAACCATACCAATGATACCGTACATCATGGATGACCTACCTAATGGGACGGAAGCCCGTCGTTGGTTGGTCCGACATCCTCGACACTACATGATAAGTATTATGTCAGGTATGGATGGCATGAGTGCATGAGTCTACGTATCGACCATCCCTTTCTGTGAGGACAGAGGATCGCGACCGAGCTGGGGAAGTGGGAAGTGGGAAGTGGTGAGCGGCAGTTGTTCTCAATGCTCATCACCCCCAGTCAGCATACCGTCCATGCATGCAGCCTGCATATGATGGAAAGAGACCGCGTGCTTCCTAAAGCATCGCATCAACATTATTGACCTGCAGCGTAAGATTTGCAAGGGTATTGTCAGGATCAGTGAACTCGAACAATCCTCGCTCTTCCTTGTTCGCCTCGTCTGTTCAGTGTTCAGGCTGGGAAGCCAGCACCTAGCCTGGGGCAATGAATGTGCTATTTATTCACACGTCGCTAACTGGAATCACACGCAAAGCGAACCTCAGTCCTCAGGTCATCGGCCCCTTATTAGCATCTGCTCCGTGTGTCTTTCCGTCTTTCCGTCTTTCCGTCTTTCCGTCAAGTAAACCCCCTGTCACCCCATATCTTACCCATACATACATCGTGAAGCAGACAGTCCGTGGCTAGACCGGGCTCCAGTAGTGCATGCCTGTATCGAGTTGGCAATCGGTGCTATTATGCGAGCTGGCCTCATCTTGTCACCCATAGTCAACGCAGTTTCTTGTTTGCCAGATATATTTGGGCAGTATTCGGGTGGTATGTGTAGGTCCCTGGACCAAAACCCTCGCTAAATCTGGCCCACCTGTCCACCTGCCCACTTGACCTCGATGCCGTTTATCCACAGTCCCAAGAATAGGACACTACTCACCTCGCCTCGCTCTCGCGAAACAACCACTCATCGACCATGGTCCATGACGGCTGGACGGTTGGCTTGTATGTCTGTGGTCACTGGTCTGTCGTGAGCAGAGTGGATGAGGCTGCCCCTCTGATCAGCCGTCTTCGAAGTTCAGTGCTGCCTCCTTTGGCACCCTTCGGCGTAATACCTCCCTGCTTACGCCGGGTATTACATCCTTACCTCCAGACTACCTGACTACCTGACTACCTGGTCTATTCTCGGACTTGTTCCTCAAATCTCCCCCGAGCCGCAGAACACATGGCGAGTCACTTTATTACCGAGAGGGCTCGTGGGTACGTACTGTGTATTATACACTTCCCTCCATGCCCTCGTATCCACTCAACCTACGAGAGCCTAGTCCAATGTCCATCTGTCGCCATTGCACCCGTCTCGTCTAGGCCGCTTGACTAGACTCATCTCCTAGTATGCGACTAGGTATGTGCTTCCCGTGGCCAAGAGCGAGCACCATGCCGTCGGTGCCGACCAACCTGCCAACCCGGCCTCTGATCGTGTCTGGAACTAGACCAGGGTGGACCGTCGTCCGCTCTGTCATGAAGTCAAGCCACTGTTACCACTGCCTCCCCATCTGCCCTGACAAGGTAACCTAAAAAGACATCACCTCGAGCTCGTAACGTGCTCTACCGTAGGTTACACTACTTCTTTCCCCCAGTCCCTCATGCTCGAAAGGCTCCTGTCCTTGAATTATTTCTCCATCAACTCGGCCAAATACCTTAAGGATCATCCGCATACTTTGACGTGACACCAAGCAACCACTGGAGAGCCTCGTTCTCCTCTACGTTCCGTACGCCAACGTGAAGACTGGTCAGAAACGCAACCCTGTCGTTATCATTGTCATCTTCGTCAGCTTCATAGCCTGGCACCGTCTACCGTATATCCAGGTCGTCGAAATCAAACGCAGTATAGATTCCGATCACGGCCTCGGTAATCGTCGAGCAATTTGACTCCCAAGCGCGCACACAGCATCTTGCCAGCCAATTATCCGGAGTTCTGGGCCACTCCCAACGCCTCTCAGCTTGACGACTTACAGTCCGGGTGGTGCAGACTTGCAAGCTGCGCCGCTATACAACCAACCCTTTACCCGGCAGCTGCCCACACAACCAAGGCAGCCTTTTCTCTGCCTCGACACGCACCTACTTGTCTCTGTAGTTGCAGGTTTCAAGTGGATAACTGACCAACCCGGATCTGATTTGCCATAGGACTGGCCGGTCGAAAACGCACATTCCATCTCAATGGGGATATATCCTAGATTAGACCTACGACAGCCGTTATCAGTCACAGATGCGCCTCCTGGACTGGTGAGCCCAAGTTCTTCGACCCATTCGTCCAAGATCTCCGAAGACCGGTTCTGGAATCACAGTGCGCCTGTCTCCCCTCCCATGTCCAACTATGACCCAAACACCAGACCCGATATGTCGGCTGGAAAGGGTTCGGAAGAGGGTCAGGCACGAAGAGAGCCGCCCAGCCAGGCACCTCGACAGCAACTGCCGTCGTTGAGCAGCATCTTTGGGCCGTCTCAGCTCGTTCGCCCTCTACACTCTCCGCATACGGATCGACCAAGTCCTGTATATGGAGCTCAGTCCCCTCCAGAGCGGCCGCACTCCGCAGCTGCGAATCCAGAGAGGCCTTACTCGAGAAGCTCGTCATACTTCCCGAACGTCTCTCCACTCATGAATCAACCGCGAAGCGTTTACGAGCCGAGACTGGAGCTGGAGCGACGGCCAACACTGCCTTCACTCGCGCACGACTTCCCTGGTCCATTATCGCCTCCAACCCGCGAATTCGAGTACGCGCAACACGCATCCCGCAACGAATCGAGCTCCGGTGGAAGATGGTCTCAATCAAGCTATCAGGACGCAAGGCGGCCAGAGTACGTGTTCGGCTCCCAGCCATCAACTCCGTCCTTTAGGCCCGTCAGCGAGCGGATGCCATTGCCTTCCCTCGGCCAGAGTCTCGGACTAGAGTCAGGGTCAGGCCTGAAGAAAGAGGCCCAGATGCATGCAGGACTCTTGAACCGCTCGCCAACTCTAGCGAGCACAGCCAGCTCGGAAGGGTTGCCCGTGAAGGACGGCTTAGGGCCCAAGATCTGGACTGGGACGCACTTCTTGCCTCGCTTCGTCCGACAAGCCGAGGTTCCTGGAGAGGGTATCTGCTATTTCTACGACGACGGGACTCACTGCAAGACGGTCATCGACGGAGAAGCCGTAAATGCGCATTGGGGGGTGACGAAGGCTGGGAAACCGAGGAAGCGACTCGCAATTGCTTGCTTGACCTGCCGCGAGAAGAAGATCAAATGCGACCCCGATTTCCCTCGCTGCGTCCAGTGCGAGAAGTTCGGCAGGGTGTGCAAATTCAAGAATGCGTGAGTGGGAGCCATGACCTTAACCCCTATCTGCACGTTGCTGTGGGGCTCTACTGACTCGAGACTTGTTCATGTTAGTCCTCGTGGAGGCCACAACACCTCACCGCTAACTTCGCCCGTCGAGCATGACGACTCGCGGCAACCCGGGGTTCTACCCAGGCCGGCCGAACTCGGGAGACCGACGAGCCCCCCCAGCGCATCCGTCTCACCTCGAACCACCAAGCTCAGCCATCCTTCCCCTGAACTACCAGGGCTGCCCTCGAAAAGGATGAGATTCTCCTACGAGCACTATCCGCCCTCGGGTAGTCGTCCCTCTCCCATGATGCCGGCCCCCGAGATCAGGACGGCCGCAACGCCTTGGCAGCACCGTGACTTGCCTCGCATACATGAAGACGTCCTCTGCCGCAAGTGGCAAACTGACCCGTACGTCTCTGATCCTCAAGCCACCATATCCACCATCACTTCCTTCTTCAGCCACGTGAGGGCTATGGCGCTGCGCTTTCTCCCCGAGCGCATCTTCACAGACTGGGTGCAAGGGGACTATGATGCTCATACTAGAAAATCTCCAGAAGACCTCATGCTCGTGTATAGCCAACTGGCCTTCGGCCTACATGTTGCCGGCGGCTCGAAGCACCTAGCCAGCCAACATGCTCAAGTTGCCAGATTTGCTACCCAGAAGAGCTCACCTAGCCTTCAGCTCGTGCAGACGAAACTGATTCTGTCTCTATTTTACCATGCGACCTCGAGGGCATTTGATAGCATCGACATGCTGAATGGAGCAATTTCCGCGGCTTTATACGCACGGCTCAATCTTGAACTTGACCTATGCATCGAAGGGGCTCAGAGGAAACCGTACGGGATGGACAAGGCGACCTATGCCGAGTGCAGGAGGAGGACTTTCTTCTCGTGTTTCATTTGGGAGAGGTTGAATGGATTTTGCCCTCCACGGCCGCTGATGCTCAACGCTCAAGATGTATTCCTGCAACTCCCCCAGCACGAGAAGGCATTCGATGAGGGTCATTCGAGTGCAAAGCCAACCCCGTGTCTCGACGTGAACCGGGACATTGCATCGCTCCCTGATAGCGTTGGTATCATGGGACACCTGGTCCTGATTGTGGAGGTCTACGGCAGGATCATGGAATGGGTGCAGAGGGAAGCGACCAGGGCGCACCCGACAGAGCCGGATCACCTCAAGGTTCTGGAAAAGATGGCTGCGAGACTACGACAATGTCAAGACGCTCTACCGCAGGACTACCGCTTCTCGGATAAGAACCTTGCAAAAGCTAGCGAGGACGGGGTCGAAGGATGCTTGATAATTCGTCACCTCGTGGGCTTGCTCGCTAGAACTAAATTTGCGAGGCACGCCCAATCAGCTCTGACGAGGTCACTTCCACTGGATGACCGTGCCCGGAAATCACTCGCCTTGGGCGGAGATCTCATGTTCGTGGCGCTGGCGCTGAGGGACCAAGTAAGAGCGAGGCGACACTCGGACGCCCCCTTTGTCTTAGCCCCTTTCGCAATCAACGCCGCAGTCGAGGCTGTCGATCTTCTGTCGGCCACCGGCCCAGTCTCATCGATCCCTAACTCGATCCACGAGCTCGACACTGCCAAATATTTGTGCGACGTTCTGTCGACAGAGTGGGAGGATCCAAACAGCCAGAAGGCTGTTCTAGAGAGACGAGCAGAAACACTACTCCTTATCCATGGGAGAGCTAGCAACGCCATCACGAATCCGATACCCGGGTGTGAAGTGTATGTCGCACCCACTTCAACGAAGAGTCTACTATACCGCATTCACGAACCCCTCGAGACACGATGGCCACACGAAATGGACGCCGTATATACACAACACCGAGGGACACAGCACTCGGCCAATACCGCAGCCGCGTCATAAGCACATGACTTCGGTTTTCTGTTTCTGTTTATCCACAATGCATATTTTTAGCATCTGGGCTGGGCGTTCAGGGAACTGCATTTGACGAGAGCCTAGACTATTTGCCAGGCCTGCAGGCATTGGGACTACCGGATCATTTGGAATTGCATAAGAGGCATGCTACTAGGCTACGATACTTCTTGTCCACCTTGCCTACTTTACTATCGAATACCCCTGTACAATAGGTTTCCTCTGGCTTTTTGGTATATGTACATACACAAACATAAAGGATACCTACCAAGACAGAGAGACAGACATTGAGAGAAAAGAGAACCAACCGATCTCAAGCACGCAACTGCCGGCCAGCCACACGCTCGGCAGCGCCGGTGCTGCAATGATTCCAAGCCAACACACCCGCTCACTCTGAAACCTATCCAGTTCTTGCCTGCCCGTGAAGAAACGTGTTGCCGTCTCCAGCAAGTAGCAGCTGCCAGACTCCCTGGATGTGTGTGGATGTTGGCTGGTTTGGCTATCCACTGTCCAATAGCGGCTGGGGGTCTGACCTCGTACAACGGACAGCCGTGAAAGGATGTCTTTCCTACCCCAGTCTCGGTCTGATTGCCCCGCAGGGAGAGAATGGGAGAAATAGACAATCGTGCGCCTCATCAGGAAGCTGTATACCACCCACCCTCAGCGACTCCGGCAGGCAGGCTTGATGCCCTCCCCCAAGGGCGAATGAGAAGACGCGCTGACCGGCGCTTATCTCTCTTTCGCGCCCCTGTCGTGCGAAACCCGCCTGGGAGTTCTTAGGTAAGGTTCTTTGGTCAGTCCACGCAAGACGACAGAAATGTAAGTAAGCACATGGGGACAAATCCTGAGGGAGACCTCGGGGCTTTTGTCTCTGGTGCAACGTGGTCACCACATGTTCGCGTGCGTGTCTTACGCAGCCCACACACACACACACCCACGCAGCGCATCTAGCCATCCATCCACAAGCGCCGTGCAGATGAGTTTCTCGCATTGCCGTGCCCACCCCGCAGCTCGACGATGCCAACAACAAAAGCCGCAATAGCAGTAGCACATCAGCACCCAGCCAGCAGCAGCAGCAGCAGGGATAGGAAATGCCAAAGACCTACCCTGGCTGGTCAGTGAGCACGACGGCGAAAAGAAAGCCACATCCGAACACCACGGACGACGAGCTGCTGCTCCAGCGCGCCGCCGAGCGCGCCGCCGGCAGCCCGGATCCGAGGTCGTGGGACGCGGGCTGTTTGTGGTGTCGATCCCAGAAATGCTCGCCTCGCAAGCGGGCTGATGACGTGGCTTTGCGCAGGCAAATGAACCAACGGTAAAGGGAACAGATGTCTCGTAGATAGCGTAGCGTAGCTGCGAAAATAAGGCGAAGATAGGTGCTATGCGACCCTCCATCAGGAGTTGTCGGTGTCGTATCTCGCCGAAAAGGCGAGCGCCGCCGCCGCGCCCCCTTTTATCTCCGCAAGACGTTGCACCGACTAACGGCTGCCCGGGTGGATCAAGTTGACTGACTACCTTGGGTAGCTGGACGCCTCGCCTCGTGCTGTAAAGACACGAGGGAGCGAGCGACATGTCACAATCTTGAGTAGTTTTCCCATGTGACAATGACCGACGGCTTTTGGCGGGTTACCATCTTCCAATCTAGTGTCGTTCTAGAAGGCGTTGAGGCATCACCTGAGTTTGGCCGGTGAGCACAACTTCCGAGACATGACCACTCACTACTCTCTACCATGAGTCTCACGTTTCGGTAGCTGGGCCGAGGATAGACGATGGCAAGAACGCCTCGTTACGCACGAAAATGTACCGAACAATTTTCCGATGCACCTGTCTACATCCATGAGATAGTTTGAGACAGGTCGCTTGATACCCGGGGTAGAAGCGTGTGTCACTGTGGCACTGATCATGCCAGACTACACCGCCGGGAGAGCGTTGATATCCCCTGATGCGAAGTTCTGGAGATCCCTTACGTATGTGCGATGCGATACAATGGTGAAGATCTATGCTCTTGGTGTCTTCAAGCACAAAGCACAGAAGCTTCTCTATAAGGATATAAGCTATGGAGTTGGCCTTTCAACATTCATCGTATTACAGTAAGAACACCGTGAACTTATGCCCAAATCAAGCCTCATATAGCACACAACGGATGCTGCTCAGCAAGTCCTCCCAAACGGAAAAGCTTCCTACACGCTTCGGACCACGTCCGTACCATGCTCACCCTCCGCGCAAGTTCCTTATCAAGCGCAATGCAAGCATCGGCAAAGGGTAGACCTCTGCCATAAGCTCCCAAAGGGGTTCGGCCGTTCTCCGCCCCTATTTCCCACCCCGACTGGACCCCTTAGGGCGGGACGCGATCCAGCGAACGATCCAGCGAGCAAGCCTCACAAGCAGTTCGGCGCCTCCAAACGAACGGCCGAACGCCTGTCTCGCCTCCGGGACTCTGGGCGAGAGCGGGCGGACCGACAGGAGAAACATGTCGAATCCCGGACCACGACGGACCTGCGCCATCGACGTCGACGTTGACGCGAACGAAAGCGCCCACGTACCCCGGGACATTTCAATGGTAGTGACACGCAAAGCGCCGCGGCGTCTCTCGACCTCGCACTCATGCCCCACACCGGCATAGGCCCGTATCATCCTTCTATCATCATCAATCAGCAGAGTTCCAGCTCATATGTAGAGTAAGTACCTCGACAAAGCAGCAAGGGGACATATGTACCTCCATCCCCAAACTTCCTGTCATCGCCACACCCCAGTCATTCATTGCAAACGCCGTCGATCAAGACCGAACGAAGCTGGTGACAACGTCGACACAACCAGGTCCGAGAAACCCGCAGCGAGGCGCCGGCGGCAATCCCGTGCCATACCAGACCCAGACCGCAGCGCCTTCTGGGATAAACAAAAGGACATACTTACATGACTCCTAGTACGTATCCGTCCCACGCAAAGGCATAGACTGGTTAATGACATGTAGGCCAGGGGCCCAGCGCACCGAGTCCAGCCAGCACAACGCAGCAACGCAACGCAGCAACGCAACGCAGCAACGCAACGCAGCAACGCAACGCAGCAACGCAACGCAGCAACGCAACGCAGCAACGCAACGCAGCGCAGCGGGCCACCGTCGCAGCGGACCGGCAATGCATCTCCCATGGTCGCATGGCACGCTTGTATAGAACGAGGTAGGTAGGTAGCAGTGGGCACTGTAGCAGCCCCAGTCCCAGGCCCAAACGTCAGAAACGGAGGTTTCAACTTCCCAGGGGACCGGTTCGGCCGTGTCTGGCCCTCGTTGTTATTCCTCGAATGGATGGATGTCCACTAGTGCTATGACGGGTCTTCGAGCCGGCGGACGTTGGCGGAGCGGTGCCGGCGCGTTGGTTGCATGGGTTGCGAGCGTGCGCGCGATGTTACCCTGTTCTACCTTGGACGTGGATAGATGGGTATGTAACATTGTTACCACCCTCTGATTGATCTTTCGTTGTTCGCAGGGGCTGTTACCTGCGTTGGTAACATGAACTGGAGTGTTTCTTGACTATCTCCAGCTTGGGAGACACGTATTTGGAATCTTCTCTCGGTACCAGGCTCCAGAACCACAGATCACGAGTCTATGTTTAATGTGCGTTGTTGGTCCTTTTCACCTCGCTACTCGCAGTAAGCTCCTGTTCTGGAAGGTCTGGAGGTTCTACAAGACAACCAGAGAGCCGGATTTTACGCATGTGTGTTTACCTGACGGATAGCACCAACGCCGCCCTGATAGCAGCCCGATACTGACGTCCATGGACTGCCACAAACCCTTGTCAGCCAAGAAGAGATAGGAAACGATGAGGAATGGTCCGTTAAGATTGGCCTGGAGAATACCGCATGACGAGAGTTGGGCAAAGACTCCATGATTGGTTCAAGCAATTCCGCGCATGTTGCGGTGCATCAATTCTTCTGCAAGCCCACTAGCAACAAATGATGACAGGGTATATTGTCGACCTTTCCGACACGGCCAACTAGAATCACAACGCTCCCTATGACCCGGAAACGCCTGCGTATGCCCTTCCTGTACCGACACAGAGCTCCACACGTCTGTTGATATAGTACAGAACTCCAGAACTGGGCGCATCCTTGCTCCACCAACTCTTGTGGGCTAACGCATACTGTACGCCATTCACTCATCTTCTGTCTTGACGACCTGGAAGACCTGCGTTGCATAGTTGGTGGCGTCTTGCCACGCCTTCTGGGCCTCGGCCGCCTGTCCTTGGACGTCGTAGCTCTGCGCGAGCATCCCGTCCGCTACACTCATCCACAATGTGTTTCCGCTCCTCTTCGCCTGCATCGAGGCAGCCTTTGCGCTTTTCAACGCTTGATCGCCCACGATGCTCTGGAAAAGCTTGGCTCTCATAAGATTGAGGGCGATAGAGAGCGTCTGCACGTCGCCTGAGATCTTGGCGTTATTCAGTGCCGTCGAGAGGTGCGTCTTCACTGTCGTCATCGGTATCGGAGGGTTCGTTTGTACTGCTGCTATCACCAAGTTGTACGCTGTGCGGATCTCCAGGTTAGGGTGACCTATGCAGAGCGGACCAAGTTGCTCAAGCATCTCCAGCGTGACTGCATCGTTCCTATGGGCAGGCTCCTGCATGATCCATATCAGATTGAAGGCCGCTAGTAATGAGACATCGAATTCGGCTGATCGTCGACGACCCTGCGTCGCATTGTCGAAGTCGAGGTGGAAAGCTGGGTCCCTGTAGATTACACCAGCCGTGTTCAAATCTCCAGTACCTTGATGGTATATCCCCGAAAGATACATGGCGTATAACGTTATTACACTCCCAAGCTCGGGTTTGACCATGCTCTCCAACTGATCCAAACACTTCTTTACTTCGTCCCATTTGGTCGAAGTTGCGTGGTGCAGGCCTCGAAGTATGTGGAGGTAGCAAATTGCCTCCTTTCGCCAGTCTTCGTTTCTGATCGCCTCCTCCAAGGTATGAGGATAGCCTTTCATGTGGCTGTGAGCTATAGTGCAGCGTTAGAAGCATATGGGGTTCAACATTGGACAGCATCTTACTCTTCTGTAGTTGGCCCAACGCTTCATCCCACATCATGAAGATTCTCGGATCATGACGGTTTTGCTGGTACAGGAACGCGAGGCTACTATACGTGTATCTGTTAGAACCGTTAGCAACTGGAGCCAAGGACGAATAGAGTACTCACGTTATCGTGTATGCTTCCAGCTTGTTCCAGAACGACATGACAAGGTAGTCATTGGAATCGTACTCACTACCAGGTCTGAGAACACCACCGGACTCGTCACTGATGATCTGTGCGTTGCCGGGTTGCTTCCGGATGGGAAGCAACATATCTGTATTCGTGAGACTCCAGCTCGTATCTTTGTGGGACGCATCCATACGGTCCTGCAGAGCTTGCATTTTCTGTCCGATCACGTTTGATGATTTTTGGTGTAGACTGCACGCGAGATCCAGCATCAGGGTCAAAACATCGAGTTGGAGGATATGAACGGAATCCTCGAGTTGGTATTTTGCGGCTTGGGCGATACAAGCTTGTATGCGAACGATAGAATCCTCCTTCATGACTCGCAGGTGACTAAGACCCTCGATGAGGGAGGCGACGACGAAGATGGTACGATCGCCTCGTTGGCTGGCCAGCGTCGTGATTGCTCTCAGGTTCTCGAGGGCATGAGTTTCCGTTGGACTGGAAGATTGCAGATAGAATGTACTCTTCAGGAAGCGATACGCATAGACCCAATGGATATGCTTCAGGCTGTTGAAAGTCAGACACGCCTACAGTGCGTCGTAGGGGCAGGTGCTTGACAACGTACACTTCTGCGTCACGAATCCGCGCGTCTACGGCGATCATGGCTGCTCTCCCCTTTCGCTGTGAAAACAATAGCTTCACCTGCAGGAACTGCATTCCATATTTCAAGTCGGCGAAACGATTCTGCAGTAGGGTTATTAGCCTAAAGCCACTGAGATGGTGACGTGTGCTAGACCTGGATGGACATACCCTCTCACACAGCGTGATTCCCTTGGTTAGTGCAGTCTCGGCCTCCATGACATTATTTGTCTCATCGCACAGGATATTGGCATAGCGAAGCCTGACGATTGCCTCGAGGCGAGGAGCTAGCTTATTGCTACCAAGAGCGACTTCGTAACAGCCCAGGCCGGTGGCAACAAGCTTTTGGTACTCGTGCAGGCTCTGATCGTCGAGAGTTTCTGCCACCCGCTGGCATCCCTCCTTCGCCTTTGCAAACATATCTTCGGCCACGCAGAGCAGAAGGGAGTTCGTATCGTGGTGGTGCGGAATGAGGGCGGGCATCAGGGCGGGCGATCTAGTGGAGCTCACACTCGGGCTCCTCGTGACGGTGTGCGAGGTCAAGCGCGGGCTTGCAGATACCCGGTTGGCCGCCTGGTCTATTCGCGTGGTGACACTCGCATGTCTGTTGTGATTGTTCGGTACAAGCTCCCGCGCGGCGTACTGGGGCGACTGCGCCATGGCGGGAGAGTTCACGCGTTGCGGTATCTGGTTTTGCTGTTGCATTTGCATTTGCGTCGGGGTCGGGGTCGGGGTCGGGGATGGAGCCAAAGGTTGAGATTGCTGAAAAGATGGCGAGGGAACCGGCATGGGTGGGGGCATGTGCTGCCAGTCGTTCGTTTGGGAATATGGTTGGTGGTTAGGCGGTTGCTGGAAAGGCTGCTGAGCCTGAGCCGAAGGCATCATCTGGGCTGAGGAGTTCGCATTGTTCTGTTGATAACCACCTGCAGGTATTTGATCGAAGGAGGGGTTGTAGGACTGGAATTGGTAGTTTGCGTTTTGGGTTTGCATATGCTGCCGTTGCTGCTGCTGCTGCCGCTGGAGTGCATTGTGGTGGTGATTGTGGTGATTGTGGTGATTATGCGACTGCTGGTTCGACTGGTTCGAGTGATAGTCGACGGGCGCGACGAACATGGCACTCTGGTACTGCGGTTGAAGCTGTGGGCTGTTCAGACTGCTCCAGGCTTCGTAGCCATCGTCGAAGCCGTTCTGCATATACTGGTTGTTCATATTGTGCTGGCCATTGAACCCCGACCCTTGGTCATGGGGTAAGGAGCCGCGATAGGTCATGTTTGGACTGCCTTCCACGCCATCTAGACAATCTAGACAATCTAGACCATCTAGACCGTCTCTTTCCCCTCCACCACTATGTTTACCGTAAGGTACCTAGGTGTATATGTCGGCTTCGATGCGCACCTGCAATTTGGGATGGTTGGTGGTTGGTGGTTGGCAAGAGCTATGGTCGCGATCACGTCTCAATGCCAAATGGACATCGAGGCAGGAGGTTGAGTGGGTTTGTGCTTGTAGGTCCATTCTCTGGGGAAAGAGCGCGGCGCGACGTCAAATCATCAAATGTTGCAGGCTGGCAGTGGCAGGGTACCTAGGTAGGGCCACAACCTTGTTAGTCATGTGAGTCATGTGATACACAGCCAATCACATCCAAGCCCGACCTTTAAAGTTCGAGGTACCTCATGTGTCTTCGAAGCTGGAACGCAATACCTACCTACTATGTACACCTGCCTGCTTACATGTACATGTACATGTACATGTACACTTGAATTGGTGAAATAACTCCATCCGCTTGGATGGAGGTATCTAGGTACCTGTAGGTATAATGCATGGCCTTCAATTCCTCCAATGGAAGTTGTGGTGGAGAGTCTCATGTGCTGTTTGATGGATGATGTAATGAGGAACAACCCTTAGATCTACATACGAATTGTCCGGAACAAGGAACAGCGTTGCGGCTCGAAACCTAATCCACCAGTCCAGTGTCCACTTGGCAGCTAAGATATCGCAGGGGATGTTCTCGACGCTCGCTCATCATCCAGTCGCTGGCTATGTTCTGAGAGGCTGATAGCCCATGAGCTGCATCTGATGATCTGATGATCTGACCTGAATCTTGACCGTTTAGAAGCCGAGGCAAGTGGGGCTAGTGAACAAGTAGTGATTACTACGACTCCTACGAGTGAATACACCCCTTTGCAAACAACAGCTTGCCCGCTCTCCTCAGCTTGCAATTGTGTCTCTGCCCGAAACCCGAAACCCGAAACACAGCAGCAATGGACTGGTTCGGACGGGCCAAGATAGACTTCACCACCTCCCCGACGCCCATAGCGCTGCGGGAGAAAGACGGCACGGCAACCGACCTGTTGCAGATATGCCAGGCCACCGTCCCGCCCTGCCAGCTGAACCCGCTGCTCTTCAATGGGCACGCGCAAACGTGCTGGACGGCCACCAAGTCGCACGGCCCGCCCATCCACTACCGCCGCCGCATCTTCAAGGCCGACAACGCCGAGTTCAACGGCAGCTTTGCTGTCGACTTTGCCGTGGTGGACAAGGAGCCGGGGTCCGAAGTAGAGGTGGACGAGTCCCTGCCGCCGCGCACCACCTACTTTACCGAAGCCGAGCTCTTCAAGATGGGATCTGAGGACACGCGCCCTATGCTGGTCATCCTGCATGGTTTGTCCGGTGGCTCGCACGAGGTCTATCTTCGCCATGCCATTGCGCCGCTGGTCGATGGCGGCGAGTGGGAGGCATGCGTTATCAACTCGAGGGGTTGTGCCAAGAGTAAAATCACCACAGGTCTGCTGTATAATGCCCGTGCAACGTGGGACACGAGACAGGTACTTACTCGCCTCCTATCCTCCAAACTTTAGGTATCATTTTGCTGACCTGTGCTGTGCAGGTGGTCAAATGGCTGCGGAAGACGTATCCCAATCGTCCGCTCTTCGGACTCGGCTTCTCTCTAGGTGCTTGCATCCTCTCCAATGTGAGTGAATCCAAGCCTTGCGTAATGCGCCATGAGGCAAGGCAAAATGCTCACATGTGTGTCATGTCAGTACCTCGGCGAGGAGGGCGAAGACTGCCAACTAAAAGCAGCCGTCGTATGCGCCAACCCCTGGAATCTAGAGGTCGGCAACAAGGTACTGAAAAGCACCTTCATCGGGCACGAGATATACCTGCGGTCCCTAGGCGACTCCCTCCGCGTCCTGGCCTTCAACCACAAGTCCGAGATCGAGAAGTACACCAACGTGGACATGGAAAACTTGTCCTCCGTCAAGTACCTCTACGAGTTCGATCGCGCCTATCAGTGTCCGACCTGGGGATACCCCACCGAGGACGCCTACTACCGCGACGCATCGAGTGTGGACTCCCTGCTTGCTATCCGTATCCCCCTGTTGGCGCTCAACGCTATGGACGACCCTATTGCCACCCACCTCGGCCTGCCCTTCCCCGAGGCGCGCCAGAACCCGTACACTGTCCTCTGCACCACGTCCCTGGGCGGCCATCTCGGCTGGTTCGAGATCGGCGGCGGGCGGTGGCATGCAAAGCCCGTGAGTCTGTCATCTCGACTTTCCCTCCTCGGATTCATCCAGGCCAGTTTGCTGACGTAGTCACAGGTCTGCAACTTCCTCAACCACATGGCCTTCAAGGTCGATCTCGATAGCATAAACCCCAGAGCAATCGGCAAGCCGACCTTCGGCACCTCTGAGTCGGCAGGCAATTTCGACCCCATCCGCCGCAAGATGCACGTCAATCTGAACAAGTAACTGTGACTTGATTTTCCCCAGGACACCTAGAGTACAAATGGAGAGATACACTCAGCCCTCAGAAGTCTCCGTACGAGCCATGTTGGAAGGATTCCACATCACCAGTGAGAAATTGGAAATACTGGAATAAGCAGACAGGAATAAGCAGCTCATATCAATAAAGTCATCTTTGATGCTTATTCGAGCGTGCTTATTCCATCAAGGAAGAACTCGCCTTTTACTTGGTGGATGAGGCGGGAGTGTACGGAAACTTATGAGGGTTCAGTGTATAGAGCAAGGGGTATCTATAGACGACTGTCCGGCATTTCAGAACACGGGAGGCATTGTGTACACTGTCTTCTTATAGAGCGTATTTACGAGCGAAGCGATCATTACCTCAGGCATCACCATTACTACTCTTCAGGCCCAACTTTATGCGCCAGTTGATGAACTCGTCGGTCAGGATCCTGCCGTGCCCAACTTCCTCGACTCTAAATACCTCAATAGCCTGGGAGTGCGGGCGCCTCCTTATTCTCCAGACCCCTTCGTCGTTGATGGTGTTCTTGAGCCCTGCATAAGCTGTCAGCACGTCTAAAACCTCAAAGTCGAAAATTTCCAACCACTTACACTCGAGAAATGCACTGGCGAAGTTGATGCACATGTTGGCATCCCAGCTCTTGACTCCGCGCTTCGCGGCCGTCTCGGGGATCTTGGCCGTCTGGATCTCCTCGAGCTTGGTCAGGATGCCCTGCTGCGAGCGGAAGCCGACGATGATCTTGGGGACGCCGAGCAGGAAGGACTGGATCCAGAACTTCATGAGCTTGCGCTCGAAGTTATTCATGCTGCGGTCGTCGCGGATCTCCACGCTCGTCTTGAGCTCGATCCAGTTGATGGGCGCACCTTTCTGCGTTGGTTTCGAGTCCCAGACTATATGGATACTCGGATTAGTACGACTGGGCTTCATTCGCTGTGTTTTTGAGCTTTGGTTGCGTTACGTACTGGCGTCGACCTCGCCTCCGAGACACATGACTGTTTTCCCCAGTCCAGTTCGTACTACGGAACAGTACTGGGCCTTGTTACTGACAATTTTCTCGCCACGTTTCTCGATATATTCTCTGTCAACCTCTCCCCAGGGACGGGGTAAGCAGCTCAAGGCCTCAAATTTATATCCTGTGTTTTGATGAGCTCGAGTGGCTTCAGAAGGAAGACTCATAATGCCTACCCCAATACGCCATGACTTCTGGAGGGAACTGGCCGCGCCGTCCTTGTTGTTGTTGTTGTTGTTGTCTCTGCTGTTCTTCCTTGGAAGCTTGCTTGTAGGCATGGTTCTCTTCGATGAATCTGCATCGACATTAGATCAGCCTTGCAACAAGTATAAGTTGGCTCATTGCGCATACATGCAGTCCTTCACATAGATTAGCAGCAGAATCCATCTAAGCGTTGGCAGTTGAAGTGCGCACTTGGTATAGCGTAGCATTCATTTCGAATCTGCGAGAGGCAGGTCAGAACACTCCAGATGAGAATCATGGCCGGCACCACATACCCATCTCGATCTTCGAATGGGACTGACATAATCTGGAACAGTCAACGACCTTGCTTCTCTGACACCATCGCGATGGGGTGACACGTCCGCACCTTTGTCATCATACCACGCCAGGTGACCACCTGTGCATCAAGCTTCTTCCCTTCCTCTTCTTCGTAGGACATGACGGTCTTGAGGAGGCTATCGAGGTGCTCGTCCGCCGAGTCATCATGCTTGTCGAATGTCTCGAACCCCGTGGAGAGGTCTGCACCCAGCTCGGCAGGGTAGTACCACTGAAGTGACGAATCATCGAGATGAAATCCGTGCTTGTCGTCATACGAGAAGCATGCTATTTCCTGTGAGTAGGTCAGACATAGTATTCCGTGATCTTCCGTTTGGGATGCAGCGATGAAAGCGATGAACATAGCGCATACAGCTGTTGCTTGATGCTATGATAGACGCCCAGGTACTTAGCGCACATACCTTGGGTCGTTTTACCGGCTCACTTTCACCTGTGAAGCGACCGATAGACTGAATGTGAAATGTTTCGGTCATACTATGCAGTGATCATTCAGATCTACTATGATCTTAACGTGGCGGAAGGAAGGAAGGTTTCCTAGAGTGCAAGTAGGTTCGTGTAGCAAGCCAGCTTCAACCTGCTTCTCGCAGTCGAATACAGGGATACAGATGGGAGCTGTCTAATTGAGGTAGCCCCACGCCACTCCCACACTTCTCCATGACTGGCCGCCTTTTCGAACAGGTTTTTGAACAGCGTCTATGTAAGCCTGTACCAAAAAATATTCATCCACAATTCAAATAAGGCACTTTGGCGGAGTGGTTAACGCGATGCCCTGCTATTCTCTATCAGGGATTTAGTATGTTAGGCATTTCCTTCGGGAGCGTGTGTTCGAATCACACAGGTGTCGATTTATCTTTTGCATTTCTTATATCTAAATTTATCTATATAAATTGGGAATTGCTAGGCATGTTCTCCTTTTTTGCCAAGTGCATGACCGGATTCATGGACGACTTGGTGTGCGGACGGTACCAAAAAAAAAAATATCGAAGTTCACCAGCTGAAACAAAAAGCCCGACGCCTGTGTGATTCGAACACACGCTCCCGAAGCAAACGCCTCACAACTATCATCTCATTAAGAGGATTTATAGCAGGGCATCGCGTTAACCACTCCGCCAAAGCGCCCATGATGACTAGTGACCAATAGTAGATGGAGAACCGATTCGACAAACGCGTATAGATACTAGTCTTGCAAGAGCAGTCGGCAAACGATGAGTTCAGGTATGGTTTTGGCGAAGCTGTCAGATCGTCAGGATCTCTTCGTTCAATGTTCGGCCTCGGCGCGGACGCGGGCACGGGCGTTGTTACGAGGCCGGCCCATTGATATGGTGCTTTGGCAAGCACGATGCTTCATACCCGTCGAAAGTCCCCGCGACTGCCACATCAAAACTAGACAATCCGATGCAGTTAATGCGGTGCATGGCGGCCGTCAGACAGGGGTACCCCACACACGCTAACTGGTTGCTTGCCGCCTGTGCAGCGTGCTTGGTGACCGGCAACCGCCGTCTCATATTTACTTTCAACACTTGTACACTCCTAAACAACATCCATCGCTCGCTCATAGGTATCGCCTCGCCGCAAGTATCGCAGAACCAGGTATCATTACCATACACCCCTCGCGCACCACCAGTACCTGTCAATCTCGCGTCGAACCCCACCTTCAACTCACCACGATGGCCCACCTCCCCCCACCAAACCACCGACCGGGTACGACGAACTCGAGCCGCGGGGCAGCAGCCCCAGGAACAACAGCAGCAGCAGCAACAGCGCGCGGGGGCAACACCAACAACAATAACAACACAGCAGCCGGCGGTGGCGGTGACGGAGGCGTGCGCCGCAACCTCTTCCAGAGCCATCTGAAGCGCCGCCCGACCCCGACGACCTCGTCCTCCAACTCGGCCGAGACGCTGCGGCTCGACGTCGACGTGCTGTCCGACACGTCCGAGATCGTCATCCGCGACAATAATGGCGACTTCGACGTCGGAGACCCGCCCATGCCGCCGCTGGACGATCCGGACGAGGTCGCGCTCGACGATGCGCAGGAGAACGAACGTAGGTGATGGAATCACACTCTGGAGGAGCAATGAATGGATCTGCATATTCGGTTCATGTTTCGGTGTGGGCGTCTTGCTAATGCTCTGCTACGTGCATAGGGGAGAGGCAGAAACTGGCCGAGGCTGTCAGACACCATCAGATCAACCACACCAGGACGCCGGCTCAACCAGAAGGTAGGCAACAGGTGATTACCAGTGTGGGGCTGGGCAATGATGCTGACTTGAAAAAGAGGTGCTAGAAGTACTCAGGGCGAGCATGAGGGCCAAAGTAGCTGCACTCGGCGAAGACAACTGGATGTACGAGCCAGAGGAGCAATCTTTGGCACAATGAAGGATATACCGTGGACCTTCTATTCATCAACATTTCCCTAAGCGGTGTTCCCAACTAACGGGCTCGCGCTATCCCGCCATGCTACACTGCAGCCTAACGACCCTAGTCCAAGCCCTCAGCGGTTGGCATGCTCGTGGGAGCCTTGACAGCCGGTCTCTTGGGACCCCCGCTCGCAGGAGCGCCGCCGCCAAAGAAGCCGCTCATCATGTCCATCAGAGGATTACTCTGCCGCGGTCTCGAAATCCCGAAGTACATCTCGGCGATCATCTCCAGCGGCTCGTTCCATATCTCCAGCTCTTTGAGATGACCAGCGTACTTGGCCTTCAGCTGTCTGTAAAGATCTGCGGTGCCTCTCTGGACAGCGAGCAGGAGGAGGCCCAGGAAGTTGAGGAGTGGTATGCTGGGGTACACTCGCATGTCGGCCGTGTTACTGCTCACGTCTTGAAGGTTAAGCTGTCCTTGCTTGTCTTGGTTCAGGGCGCTGGTGAAGAGCCGGTAAAAGGTGTTGGCGGCTCGCACATTTCCAGCAAGGAGGTAAGGTAACACAGCTCTGCTGGCATACAATGGTGCCGTATGTGCTTCGTCCTCGGTGAACCACTTGTACTCCATGGACGCGAGCACCTCGGGCGAATCTTTGGTTCCCAGAATCAGGTGTTTCTCGGCATCGAAGGGATCGTGCTCTTGCGCGTATAGGGAGCCGGCGACGTGGTGGAATTCGGGGTCGCCAGCGGGGTATTCGCCAAACTTGGAGGACCACCTGAATGGAGGCAGACATTAGTGCGTAGCTCTTACAGCAAGCGAATCGAATTGCAGATGAACAGCCGGTGCATTGACTGTGACATGGACCTACGCTATCATGGCCGTGATGTACTTCTTCCGCGTAGGCTCCTCGCTGGGGAAAAGGCGCAGGCACGTCAGCAGCTTGCCCTTGGTGGCCGAGTCGGGCTTCAGCTCGGCCTGGTTGTAGACATCGACGAGCAGCACGCAGAGGTCGCCGCCGGAGCCGCCCTCGCCGGCCTTGAGCAGCGACTGCGCGACGTTGTAGATTATGTCGATGGCGGCGGTCCAGTTTGAGGCCTTGGTGTACCGCGCCGCGACCACGCGCGTCTGCTGCTGGGCCTCGTAGAACTGACCCTCGCTGATGCGCTGCTGCAGCCGCGCGATGATCTTCTCGATCTTGTCGCCCTTGGCGGCCATGTCTGCGGTTGCTTCTGTGACTGGTGTCGAGATAGAAGGGCTTATCGTATACTCGGCGTAATTAGGAAAGGCGTATGTGATTCGCAGAAGCTCCGGCCGGTGTTGAAGAGGTGGTAATGGTACTTGGTGAGGGTAAGGTAGATCGAAGATGCTGACTCGGTGGTGGGGTAAAGGTGCGCCGCCTGTGAACATGAAGCTGCCAGTTGTGTCCGAGTTTAGGTCATTGGAGATTGGCCAAAGCTCCCCGAGCTTGGCACCCGAGCACTCCATAAGAGTCCAGACCAAACCCAAGACACGTCACCACCCGAGCCAGCGCATAGAGAAACACACAGGGGGCCCGATTATACTTATGGTCCATTATCAGTTGTAAAGCCATGTCAGCACCGGTTCACAGCCCTTGTCGGCGCTATTGGTGTAATGGTAACATCGAAGCTTCCCATGCTTTGGCTCCGCGTTCGATTCGCGGGTGGCGCAATTATTACTTTTATCTTTTGCTTGCTCCGTTCAGTATCGTTTTTGCTCCTTACTTAGATGGTTTAAGGAGAGTCGGTGAGATTCCCAAAGAGTTCGTTCACTTATAGAAATTTCGAAATACTAGAATAAACATAGAAATAAGCGGCTCTAGTTTGATATGCCACTCCCAATGCTTATTTATGCCATGGTGTGGATCCAGCTGATTCCAGCTGTCAGGTGTCTTGTCGGTTGGGCCGGATTGTTGCCCAAGGGACGAGGTACCGTTTGCACTGTATCTAGACTAAAGAGACCTTTCGGATGGGACAAGCTCCCATCCTTCTAGACAGCAAGCAGAACATCCAGAATACTAGTCATCGTAACATGGTATTCTGGGCCCCTGCCAGAAGGCACAATGGTGCTTATTCCGTCCGATTCGATAAATTTGCCGTTGTTTGCTAGACGGGTGTACGTAGACTTATGAGGGTTCAGTATATCACATGCTTCAGATGCAGGGTTCAATTTGGCCCTTTTGATCTGGAGCGCGTCGTTCTGATAGACGGCATCCTTTGAACAGGCGTGCTTTTAGACGTCTGTAACCTGAATTCGGCCCGTGCCGAAGTGGACGGTCGCATATCGCGCGCCGCATCGAAGACGCAACGCACCGCAGATACGGCGTACTGAATACGCCGTATTCTCGGCGGTGTGGTCTCAGTGACACCGTGGACTGTTCGGCCCTCTCAGCTCAGCCATACATATATATATAAGTGCGCAACTGATAATATGTTTCAGTCACATCTGGCTGTTCTCTTCACTTCTATGCATGCTGGACCAATTGACCCTTTGCTATGTTCTCTCCTCGTCCTGTAGCATCGGCACTGGCCCGGACTGTGGTGCGCAGGCCACTTACACCGCCACCCCACTACCACATCATGACCAAGTCAACAATTGCCTCAATCAACTCTAGCACAGTTACAACATCTTTCAACACTACCACCAGGGCGAGACTCTCAACATCTACCCGTCAGCTATCGAAAACGCAACACGGCAGTAGCCAACACGGCAGTGACCCTTCCAAGCCACAGTCACCTGATGATCCGCTACCCAGCTTCAGCTTCGATGGGCTCGGCATGAGCCGCAATGTCAAGATCGTTGTCATTGTCGTCTTGAGCATATTCGGCACCATGGAGACAGTCTTCTGGGCCAAGGCTATATGGCGTTGGTGGAACAAAGAGGAGGAGGAGGAGGATGATGATGAATCTCAGAGTCAGGTCTAGCTTGGTTGCCCGAGGTGTTCTGCTCCGCCGGGCTCTTGGGGGGCGGTGGCGGTCTACGATGGTCTCGTATTGTTGGATTCTGTGGAATATCGCAACTCTTCGCTGTACAATATGGCGTTCCACGGCTTAGAGGCATTGACAAGAATGGGGTGACTAGTTACGAATTGTGCTTTAGGTTGGATATCAAGTGTCTTTGGGACATATGACTCGCCGCTGAAGAAAGTCAATATACATGGAGCACTTCTGTACCTCTTTAGAAAGACATGATAATGCCACAAAGTCCGCGGTAGCCTCTATGCATTCGGTATTGGAATTCAACATCGATCTGAGGATGCGCCTCAGCGATGAAATGAACAATCTATGTATGTAGCATTCGGAATTCACTAGATCATTCCATATGGAAGACAGAACTGAGAAGAGCAGCATACAGTTTCCCCCCCTGTTTTTTTGAACAGTGGAGCTGGTCAATGACAGGCCTCGAAACAAGCGCCAGAGGCTACTTCAAGGGTTGGTTTATGCCATTTCCTACAGAAATCGATACCTTCCAAGGTCTGTGTCCAGTACCAGTTTCACTGTTCAAAAAAAAAAACAAGGGGGAAACTGTATGCACTGACAGGAGATTACCGTCCGAAGTGATAGGTCCGCCTACGATGATGCCCAATCCGTGCCCCAGAGGCCGGAATAAGCAAGGGCGACGAGCCAAGTTGGGACTACTGTGTATTCCTCTGGAGAAGACTGTCAAAACCCAAATATATGTGTGATTCGCCGTTTGGACGTGGCACGACCATCAGTCTCGCTCGAGTGGACAGCTGCCATCGAGCTGTATCGAGGTTGTTACGTTATCTTCAACTTCAGCCCCCAGTAATCTTCACCGGTAGTATCTCACGTCAGCGACAGGGGCCTGGAGGGTCAGTGCCATCAAGATTCGAGAGAAACTCGGATACGCCCCCGATCGACCTGGACAGGGCCTGGGTCCAGCGGCACAAACAATATTGAGATCCTGGGAAATAAGTTCGTTTTTTTGTGATGTCCAATGACAACGGCCAACCGAACAAGCGTCGCTCGTGTTTCCCCGCCGGGTTACAGGGTTTGTGGCAATTAGTTACCTCGAGGCTTCGTTTTGCGAACTGGGGTTATGAGGCACGTTCAACGGTCCAATGCAAGTTGGCGATATCATCACCTCGCGGGCCTCGGGTAGTCTGTCCCAACCCCTGCTCACTGTCCCCAATCGAGACATCGACCGCAATCGTCATGCAAGTGCCGATGTGCGCGTTGATGCTTTTTTTCTTCATCAAACAGACATGCCGGGCGAGCCTTGCGCCGCCTCTTCTATCATTGGGGTCGTGAACTGCATCGCCATGTTCACGGCACGGACACGTCCCTCATACACGTGGGCCAGGTCAAAAAGCACTCGCATCCTCTCGTCTGGCTGGACCACGCTGAGCCTCTGCTCGTCTTACTCGACACACGAGATCCGGATATGACTGCGCCATCGAGCAACAGCTATTTATACCCAGAAACATGTCTCAGCCCGTCGAGGGCACACCCGAGTATGCCGCGTGGGCATCCGAGGACAAAGGTCCAGCCATCATGGCTGTGGTTTGGACGGTGACCATCATTGGCATGTTTTTCGCGGCAGTTCGATTATACGTACGAGCTGCTATGCAGGGCCGATTACAGAGTGACGACTACTTCATTATAATATCCGTCGTAAGTCATTCCAGTGACTTGCCGGTGATAGTCGCTCGAATATCATCATAGGCACTGACGTCTGTCGATTCGATCTGTAGGTTATGGGCGTGCTCTCATGCTCCTTGACCACGTTGGCCATCACGCACGGCTTCGGGCAACACTTTTCTACCCTCGCCCTCTACGACCAGCAACAAGCCATCATATGGACCATCGGGTCCTTCTGTCCCGGACTCATCGCGTTCGGGTTCCCGAAGCTTGCCGTCGTGGCCCTGCTGACCAGGCTGCTGATTCCTGGCAAGTGGCACTTGAGGTTCCTCTGGTCGCTCGGCATCGTCTGTCAGCTGGTCCTGTTTGCGACGATTGGCACTTTGATCGGGCGGTGCTATCCCGCTCGCTTTCTGTGGGACAAGTCGATCGAGGGCACATGTTTTTCCACCGATATTCAGATGAAGTATTCGTTATTCGCAGGCGGTGAGTGCTCCATGACCGGCATGAGTCGTCTTTCAACTGACGGTTCCCAAGCTTTCTCGGCATTCGTCGACCTATACCTCGCTATATATCCCTCCTTCGTTCTATGGAGGCTCAGAATCTCGATACGTCAGAAACTCGCTCTGACCGCTGCTCTTGGGGTCGGATTCATGTAAGCTGGGATCCCTATGCGCGTGCAGTTAAGGATGCTGGTGCTGACGCATGGCAGCTCCGGCATTGTGGCCATCTACAAAACCACGCGGGTTCCTTCCCTCGGAGACCCGGATTTTACCTGTGAGTGCTGCATCTGACGTGATCATGAGGATGCTGAAGTCAGGACACTGACAACAAGTTCCAGATGCGACTGCCGACCTTCAGATGTGGACTGTGTGAGTAACACCGACGCACTCAACATGAAGCCATGCATACACGAGTGAAGCAACTGACAGGTCTTGTACCTTAGGATCGAGGGGAGCAGCATCGTCATCGCGTCTTCGGTCCCAGTGTTGCAGCCTCTGATGGACCGGCTGTTTGGGCGGAATATCCTAGGGAGTACGAGAGGGCGAGCCCTCAATACTCCCGACAAAGCGGCGTCGGCGGGCGAGTGGCGTATGCGGTCCAGGAAGCGGATACTTGACGACGATCTCGAAATAACGGCCCACACGTGGACCGGAAGCCAGGAGGACATACTCACCCCGCAGAACAAGCTGCACTCGATGAGCGGTCGCCATTCGAGCCTGGGTGCTGACGGTATGGGTATGAGTCCACCTTATGGGATTACTATGACGAGGGAGGTGACGGTTGGCTTCGATCCAGCGCCAATCCAGAGGAAGGATATCGGCATCAAGAGTTGGGATACGTCAGACGGACGGGATATCCCTTGAGAGTCGGGCTGCACGTTGTGTCGTGAATGCGATATACATGATCGAAAAAGTCCAGATAGAGAATACGAAGTTGACCAGAGGATACCGATTGGCTCGTGACTCGTAAATGCCTGGGGGTAGTCAATGCGTCCCGAATGATTTATGTCGAAGGAGATGACAATGTCACCGACTTTGCTATCTTCATCGTTTGCTCTGTCCCTTCACCTGGTTTACCAACCACCTCAGTCCATGTTCTCTGCGAAAGACCCATCGATGCGCAGCCCACATTCGTGAGCATGCCTTGTGGAAGTTCCTTGACTGTGACCTCGATAGATAAGTCGAAGTTATCCCAGAGGTGGCAGCTGCGCGGGAGGGCTGTGTGCGCGCGCCCAGTGATATCGAATCGAGGTTCCCAGCTATCCTATTATTTCGCCGCCCTCAACTTCGCCTCGAGCCCCTTCATCGACCAGCCCATAAAGTTCGCCATCAACCAATCGACAAGCGTAGCCCATCCGAACCGATCCCCAATCCAGCTGAGGCGAGCCATACCCCCGAGCCACAGCGTCTTGGTCGGCCGCCGACTGAGGGTGTTCCGCACGACAATCTTCGCGTACTCCTCAGCCGACATCGTCTGCTTCTCTACCCCCCCTTTCCCGGCGACATCTGCCTCGATGATCCCCCGCGCAGGCCCATATATGCTGTCTTCGGGCAACCTGGCACCAGCCGCATGAGCGAAGAACTTCGTCTGGATACCGCCGGTCACAACGTGAAGGACCTCGATGCCGAAGGGCGCCAGCTCGATGCGTAGAGTGTCGTTGAGACCCCAGAGTGCCGACTTGCTCGCGTTGTAAATTCCCTGCCACGGGACCTGCATACGCGCGACTACCGACCCTATGTTGAGAATACGCGCCGGCATCCCCTCCGCGGCCGCAGCCGCGAGGAGTGGTGCACAGGCCTGGCTCACGGCCAGCGTGCCCCAGACGTTGACCTCAAACAGCCTGCGAGCCTCGTCCAGGTCGGCGTCTAGGAGTGGCATCTGGTAGCCGACGCCGGAGTTGTTGACGAGGATGTTAAGGGTTCCGCCCGTGAGCTTGGAGATTTCCTGGAGTGCATTCCGAATGGATGTCTTGTCGACCACGTCTAGAGTCAGGATTTCGATGCCAGCTGCTTGCAGATGTTTGACCTTGTCCGGGTTGCGCGCCGTGGCGAAGACGCTGCGTGTATGTTAGTCTCCTGTCTTTGAACCCGTACGGTCATGTCATAGATGAAGAAAGAAAGGGAATGACAAAGCTTGTTCTCGAAAACAAGGCTCAGGGTCTTGGGATGGGATGTTTTTATACGTACCGCAGGCCGCGCTGGTGGAACTCCCATGCGAGGGCGTCGCCTATGCCACCCTCGCTGCACCCTGTGATGAGCACCGTTTGTTTCGATACAGTCATGTCCGCAGGTTGCCAACTAGCGAGCGACAGTAGAAACAGCAGAGCTCAGAGTATGTTGCGCATCGTGATACTTATTAGTTAGTGGCGCGTGGCTCTGCCTATACCCCCTTTTACTGCTAGCTCGTAGACAACGGCCGAGGTAAGTTGGTAACGGCTCTGGCTCCCCGCATCGTTATCAGTGAGGTATCATTCCAGACTCACAGAGCCCCTCTCCTCTCACCAACTCATCATCATGCTAGCTGGCCTCACATCACCTACTTACTATAATATTAGGCGACTACTTCGAGCCCAGTCAGAGCCGCCTTGCTTACCTTATGTATTTGATTCGCGTGGAGTTTCCGGCAGCGGAGCCCAAACGTCAGTCGGCCGTCACACCATTGACATCTATGGTACGCGCCGGTGATCACAGCTAGACAGCTGACAGCTGACAGCACAGCTGAGCTCGGCTCGAGTTCCAGGGACCAGCAGAGCGTTTGCCTCTTGTGAACCGTTAACGCATGATATGAAAACGTGTGGTCGCATCTTCTCCGTATCCAGCTGCACTTGCAGGGACTCGGGAGGCCGTCCAGAAACCTCAGCCGCTCGTATCCCGAGCTGCAAACTTGAATGAGTGCGTCTGGGATGGCAGGATGGATGAGGACTTCTAGCCGCTCTGGGCGATCATTTCCGCATGTTTTCTCATGGCTGCATGGGTCACAGCAAACCCCCGGGCTGCACCGCCACTTCTCATCCCCCATATCCTTGCCGTTTCAGGGTTCAGAACTTCTGACTGGCTGACTGGGCCTCTGGCCGCCACACTAGCCACATCACCAGCTGGGTCAAGCCACTCAGATCTCTTAATACCCGATATAAGGTAATTAAGGGTCCTTCCGGGCGCGGCACCAGTTGACCATAGCACCTGCCACCTACTCTACAGGTCAATATGTAGAAGCTGCTCTGTTTTGTTCTTCGTTTCTTGTTCTGACTTCTTGGACCTGTCTTCCTGTCCCTCGCTAACCCCATTACTACCGTTATTCTCCTTCAAGTTGTATCGTTTCTTGTGCGCGGAATATAGACTGGGATGGCTGCTGAGGTTGAAGAAGGCGCTGCCGCGGCGGCCGAGGAGATCAAGCCATACAAGATACACGTAAGTTCTGTCAGTCATCACACGTGTCGACTGTCCGATAGCTGACGAGCCGTTGCGGTCCGGCAGGTCTCGTCGAGGTATCTAGACCTCACCAAGCAGAAGCTTGAGGTTACGAGATTGCCACACGAACACGATGAGCCGCGGTCGACAGACTGGTGGCAGCCAAAGTCTCATGTCGAGCCACTCATAGATTTTTGGTATGTGCTGAACTAGACTAGCTATCACTCTGTTTCGATACCACTACGACTAACTGGGCATTGCATGTGTGCTAACTTCCACCAGGCTCGAGCAGTATTCATGGCGAGAGGAAGAAGACCTTCTGAATCTGTTGCCGCAATTCCGCACCGGCTTCACGATTCCTTCGTCTGAAGCACCCATTAGGATTCACTTCATTCACATTCGTTCCCCTCATGCCAACGCGGTACCGCTGCTTTTGATACCACCGTTCCCTTTCTCGAATCTTTCGTTTGGCCATCTTATCAAGCCATTCACAGACCCGGAGGATGCTGAGAGTAATCAACCCTTCCATCTGGTCATTCCTTCGCTACCAGGCCTGGGCTTCAGCGATGCCTTGCCCAACAACACCGCCGTTATCTCCTCCATCGCAGATATTATGGACTCATTAATGAAACGACTATCTTACTCGTATTACCTGGTAACAAATGCGAGCGCCGGCGCCGCCTCACCTGCTGAGATTGATTACAAGCTTGCCAGCTATTTGTCGACCCACTATACGGATTCTTGTCTGGGGACACACTTCATCTCACCACCTCTGGCACAACCGAAACTCATGGAGACGCCCGTCGAATGGGCGAAATGGTCAATAGCTCGCTTCTTCCAGGCGCCGGTCTTGGGATACCGCAGCGAGGACTTTTCCGCCCTCAAACGAAGCGGCTATGTCCGTCGGTCGAAGAAACCGACATCGCCAGTGCAATTCGGGCTGAATCGACTTGGACTGACCGAACCGAACACCTTCGCATACGCGCTGTGTGACTCACCGACGGGCTTGCTCGTGTTTGTGATGAAGGGTCTTCGATTACTAGGGCCTCGGAGGGAATTCACGCCAACCGAGGTAATCAATTTTACTCAACTGGCTTGGCTGCCTGGCCCAGAGTCGGCCATGCGTCTGTGGGCACATTGTGTCCAACATCAGGAAACTATTGGGAAGAAGACGGCTTCGAGGCCTAAGATCGGGGTTACAGTCTTCCTCGGCGACGAACAAGAAGCACCGCAAGAAGCACCGCAGGAAGAAGGCGAAGGTGCGGAGATTGAAATCACGAAAGAGGAGGAAGGGATACATTCATATGCTTGCCCGAGTTGGGCGAAAGCGAGGTCCAAGGTGCTCTACGTCAACCGAGCCCCTGGAAAGGCCGGGCTTTTGGCTTGGGAACGCCCTGAGATCATCGCAGCTGGGGTTAGGGGACTAGCTACCGCCATCTTGAAGCCGGATGACCGACTCCGACCTTCCACAGCACAGCCCGTGGCCATTCTCGAGGAGGTGGTAACGGACAATGATGCAGCTCTCGAAAGGCCAGCATCTTCCGCGCCAGTAGAACGGAGCCCGGCGCTCCTAGTGCCGCCACCGAGACTAGGCGAGCGTGGACTTCCCCATCGGGAACATAGCGATGACACCGCAGTGGGAAGTGATGAGAACCTGGCCGTCAAGACACCGTCTCCAGGATTTGCCACCCCCAGTCCAGTCCACCTGGGACCTTCGAGCAGTCCGGTAGGGCAGCAACCGCAACAGAACGTGGACGATGAGAACACTTCGACATGAGAGACAATGACATGTGCTCTATTATATGAGTGGATAAAGCGTGTCATTCGGAATATGGGGCACTCTGGTATGGGATGATTTTGTTTGTACGCAGCGTCAAGCAATTGTTGTGTTGAAATGAGACAATGAGCGTGGGGAGGCTGATGTTATACCATAGCCATGTATGGCCCTCTCCTTACCTTCATGATACCTCCGTAGAAGACGGAACAATTGTACTGGACCTAGAAGAATAGCGGTGGGCGAATACAAGCCCGGTAGCGGTATGAGAATCACAATAGAGCAAACACCAATGATGGGATGATAATGACTGTACAGCAGAACAATTACTCGGTGACTCAAGTGCCTCATTCACCGCGAGTCTGTGACTTTAAAGGCGCATTTGAGCAGTGACGTGGATGGTTTTCAGTGGATGTTGGCACAACTGAAAACCACCTCGGCCTTATTTATTATATCGTGACTTGTAGATTACCATTCCCTCAACGTTCATCATCACCCAACATTCGCCCTTCTCCTCGGCGTCACTTTAGCTATCCCTTTGCTCCGAGCAACCGAACACATGGAGGTCACCAATCGTAACCACGAACAGGCAATAGGCCCTGCGAAGTTCAAACACTTCACCCGCCTGCCACCCGAGCTGCGGCACATGGTATGGACCTACTTCTGGGTCGATCTCACCACCGGCTTGTCCTTAACGCATGTCACATACATCGACGAATCATCCCCCAGATACATCGCTCACGACGCTCGGGACCATTCAGTCATCGAAATCGACGAGCTAGTGGCCTTGACTCGCCAAGGGCCAAAGACACGCCAGCAACTGCCAGTCTACCCCTTTCCCCAGAACAATCCATTCGACTTTCCTCCGGCCCCAGCGACACGCGCATCAACTCCCGCCGTCCCCAAGTCCATCTGGGTTGACTGGACGGGCGATCATTTATATTTTCACCTCCAAGATCTGCCGTCTGATCTCGCCAAGGATTGGAACAGATGGCTGAGACACATCTTTCCGAGTCGTCGAGGCGATGGCAGTCTACTGGCTTGTGTCAAACCTGCCCCAGCTGAAGATGGCGTGCTATACCGCTGCTATTACCAGAGATACGAGCGAACCAGGACGGTCGAGGCATTGCCGGTACGAAGACGTCAGGAAACCCGGCGGGGCAGCCGATAGCTGCGCAGCTTGCGATCCTTTCACAACGTGTCTCGAATTCCACGGCTCGCGCTTGCTGTTTCCGAATATCCTCGACGGCGCCACATACGAGATTGACGAGATTGACGAGTGAGTGTCAGCTATATAATACCAACTTACAAGTTCATAGACCCAGGCGGAAAATGCGACCAAGGCGCTGGAAGAAGCGTTTGGTGGTGTGCTCGATGTCAGCTACCATACACCGCCAGCAACCAACTATTTGACGATACACCTACAATCCTGAACCCAGAAGACGACCACGGAGAGACTTCCCCCCTTAAACGATTTGAGAACCCTTCACTTGCGAGCAAAGCTATATACCCACACTCTCTTAATCAGAGCATCCAGCCATGGGCAGGCAAATTCACCATCGACGTAAGCTACCATGCGGTCAAGGTCCGTTAGACCATTGTTTTCCCGATACGAACAAGGAGTCCACCCAACTAGCAAGAAACCCCAGGAGGAGAACTGGAGCGGCAAGAGGACCGATTACCGCTTCTGAGCTCGATTGGTCGCGACTTTCGTCCCGGTCTTCGGCTTTGTGAGGTTGGGATCTCTTGCCGTCCTCTCGTGTACCTGGTCTACCAACGGTCCTTCGCACACGCCTACCGGTTTTGGCTCTCAGGTTCATCTGTATATTGCCTTTCAGTATTCCTACCTCCATCCATCGCGATGGTCTTCAGTGTTCCGCCCTCTGGGATGGGTCATCAGCGCTATGGCAAAGATCAAGGAGGGAGTCCACCTGATTGCACGACTGAATTGGGTGAAGATCGGGGGACTCCCTGGTAGACAGAAAGGAATAGACCAGTAGAAGGATGGCTGGCTACGAATCACCTACTAGGGATTTACAGTTGATACAAGGACTCGTATTATATTGTGGCGGGATGTAAGGCGGCATGATGGCTGGGAGGATATACGTCGAAGACGACAGGGTACCATCAGATGTTTAACAGGCGGAGAGCATATTCCATACGTCGTTAATCCTCATATGCAGCTCCAGGCGAGTCAATGAACCAAGGGACTACCATCCACACGGCTTACAGCATACGCTTAAGCAAGTCGATCTCCTATCTCCCGAGAAAAACATGCCCACATCCAAGGCCTCCCACACCGGGTGTGAACATTGACCAAACTCAACCCTTAAGAATAAGGGGAATCTTAAGAAGAAGGGGAATCTATGGCTATCACTGCGAAAGTTTCTGGCATTCACTACCCCCTAAACCTGGGGTAAGAGAAGCAGGTTAATATGCAGAGGGTGTTTTCCCTCCCATCTTGATATAGACTACTCAAGGATACAAATCCCGTCCCAGACTGGGGCCGGGAATGGAGGATGGCCATCAAGGAGCAGCCAGTAACAGATTTTGCAGCCATTGACGCATTCCCCAACGATAACTTTCGAAGAGGCTCTCGCCTACGAGTGTCCCTGGACATCCCGCGTCACATAAGGCTCCTCGAGATACTTCTCCTCCTCCTCGGTCAACTCCTTACCACGCGCATCGAGCGCCTCATCCATCCTCTCCACACTGCTAAACCCGACGATCGGACTGCTGACCCTCTCATTGATCCACGCGAGCGCTACGTGGCTCATCTTCCACCCACGCTTCTTGGCCACTTCCTGCACGCGCTTGATGACTTCCTTGTCGCTGTCGCTCTGGCCAGTAGTCATCATCGAGGCGCCCTTCTTTTCCTGCTCGCTGCGAATCGTCTTGCCGGTCTGCTCAGGCGCGCGCGCAAGGTGGCCGCGGGCGAGCGGCGACCAGGGGATGAGGCCGACGCCCGTGGCGTTGCAGAATCTGTTCCATCGTCAGCTATACAAAGCCTTGCCAAGTCAAAGACAGAACATACTTATTCATCTCCCTCTCCTCCTCCCGATACAGCAGATTGTAATGGTTCTGCATGCTGATAAACTTGGTCCATCCATTCCTCTCGGCGCAATGCTGCAGCATGGCAAACTGATACGTCCACATGCTACTCGCCCCAATATACCTCACCTTGCCACTCTTCACCAGATCGTGCAGCGCCTCCATCGTCTCCTCAATCGGGGTAAGATCATCGAATCGATGGATCTGCAGTAGATCCATATACTCCAGATCCATCCTCTTCAGACTCGCGTTCACGGCTTCGAATATCGCCGTCCTACTCAAACCCCCACGGTTGACGTAGTCTTTCGAGGCAGTCATCGCTTGGCCATAAACTATGCCCCGGACATCGGGCGTCTCGCCGACGTAGCCCCAGCATTTGGAGAGGATGACAAGTTTGTTGCGTGGGATGTTGTACTTTTTGATGGCGCGGCCGATGATCTCTTCCGAGACGCCGTTGGAGTAGACGTTGGCCGTGTCCCAGGTGTTGAGGCCGCGGTCGAAGGCGGCTTTTAGGAGGGGGAGCGCGGCGTCTTCTTTGATGACCCAGGGTTGCCACGCGGTGTCACCGAACGACATGGCGCCTAGGATGGGCACCGAGACTCTGAGACCGGAGTGTCCAAGTCGCTTGTACTCGGCTTTGGTCTCGTTGATCGATTTGATGACTTTGTCGTCGTTGTTCGACATGTCGAGATTGCCGAACGGCTGGGTGTCACGAGTTGCCGACGCCATTGTGGTTGCTCTTGTTGGAAAAGAATCAAAGGGAGTGTTTGGAAGGAGATGCTCTGAGATTGGATATGCTTATGAAGTGAGGTACTTATACTGTTGGACGAGAATGAAGCGATTGGACCTGAGGAACGACAATGACGTGAATGACGTGACATTGAGGAGGGGTTGAACGGACTTTAGCCAGTACGGCCGACCTCTTCGTGTGGCCACTTCCATTTGGCAAGACTTGGGCCCTGTTTCCGTGTCAGCCTCATTCTAATCGGTGCGACGGACGTGCTAAATACCCGTTCAGGAGCACGAATATCATATCGAGGGGGAGCAAGCTGTGCTGCGACCCCCACGCCTGCGAGAGGCGATGCGTTGGGAGCGAGAAGACAGGCTGCGAGTAACAACTCGGAAATCATGTTCACAGTGTGGGAGTTCGAACTAGTGGGCGAACACCGCTGATGGTTAGTCAGGAGAAGTGCAACGTCAGACGTTCAACGTCAGGTATACCTCACGGCGACTACTTTGATATGGAGGCATCTCACAAAGTAGGGGAAGATGGAAAGCAGCCGATGATGTATAGACAAGCCTGCTTTGCCACGAAGCACACTTGCTTGACTAGGGTACCCAGGTCATAGTATCCTGTTGTCTCATAGCTGACGAAGACTCAGTGAAGAACGGCCAGTTATTGCTCCTGGTGACATGCTTATGTATGCCTACACTCAGACCTCATAAGTCTCCGTACGCGCTATGTATACAAGACTCCTAGTCACCTATGGAAATTTCGAAATACTGGAATAAACATGCAGGGATAAGTAGCTCTGGTTTGATACGCCACTCTTGATGCTTATTGCATGGTGCTTATTCCGATTTAATAATTTACCGTTGGTTGATGGACGAGTGGTATACAGAGACTTCACCGAGAATATGCTCGATGTAGCTTCAACCAAGACTCCGAGGCCAGAGGACAGTCAGTCCATAGCTGTCGTCGCAGGATTTCGGTGGTACAACCAAGAACACGTAAAGTCCTCAGATCTCGTTTGAGCCGGCTATCCGTTCAAGCAGCATGAATATGACTGACTACCTTAGTCTATCATATCTCAAAGTAGTGATCGTTGATCTAAGAGGCAATGCCGCTGTTACGGGACGGAGCTGTTTACCAGCAGGGGTAAAGCGATGGCTGTACGGTTATATCAGACCGTTCGTAGTGATCATTGATCTAAGAGAAATGCCGCGGTTTCAGGACGAAGAAATTTCCCTATCGAAGGAAGTATCACCACGCCCCTGCGGATTTCATTGCTATACACGAAAAGAAAACAGGGGATATCGAGATAAAGGAACAAAAAGCAAGGAGAAGTAGGGCACTTGGTGTTTGGCATTTTTCGACTAAAGCCCGCTTGGGAATGTTGCTACAACCCGTGATAGTCTCAATGTATGTGCGTAGCGGTTCCTAGGCAACCAGGTTGAAAACACGCCATGGGGGCTGGGACGACATAAACAATGCTCGGAGATAAGTGTACACTGCAATAGGCGAGGGTCATATCGATCTCAGCAGCTAAACACGGTGCACATCGTGGTGGTACTTGGCAGTGGTTGCTTCCCCTGACACCGACGTGGCCCCAGTGTGCACGGGTCGGCCATTGGTAATGGTCCTCGTTGATGTATTGCTAAGCAGTCGAATTCTAGAAACCGCTGTTGTTCATCAGGTCACGAGGTTTTCCTGGAATGCACGGGATACACAATCAGGTATGGTCATCAAGTTATACACAGAGGGTGACTATCTGAAGTACCCAAGTAGGTTTATTACACAAGTCTCGTTGAAGGACATCTCAACATCATCAAGATCAATGCCACAGGCAGCCACCAACCCCATCGCCTGCGATTACCACTGATGCAGTTCCTTGCCCCTTCAAGATCGCCTGATCTTTATTATACACAGATTCCGCTGCATCGTCCACTGGATGTACCCCACGGTGGACAGGTCCAGATCGCCGAGATTGGACCAAGTTTGACTTTCCGGATAAACACCGAAGCAAGTGCGAGAAAGTCTATAGTCATGATTTGTGATGCAGAGTCCAACCACAACCGGAATATGCACGCCGCACGGAGATCAGTAGTAGGTGTAGTAAAACAGAGAGGGAGAGAATGGCTCGATGGTACACGTGGTCAGCGGCTTAGGATCCCCATGTCTTTGGTATACCCTTAAGCGCCTACTTCTGACCACGTATTGGATTTGTAATAGAGGGGGGGCTTGTCTGCGGGACGAGGGCTGTCGACTCGTAGGTGCTTAGAAGGGAATGTTGGGAGAAGCTTGAGGGCCCATAGCCTCTTGCTGCTCCTGCAATTCCTCTCCACCAGCCTCGATGGTAATGCCCAAACCAACCTTGGCAGATTGCTACACCAAAGTTGTCAATAAATGCCCGGGAGAATGTTAAAGTTGTTACAGTTGGACTTACAGTGAGGTGATCGACATCGGCACAGAAGGACATCATGACAGGGGGAGCCACTCGCTTCTCGAGGAGGCAGCCCAGCTTGCCCTTGGAGTCGACCTGAGCTCGGAATGTAGACATGCGGAAATCATACTTTACGCCAACAGCTGTGATCCCTTCCTTCTGCATGGGTGCCATCATGCTGGCGCCCGGGGCGGCCTGAAGGGTCATATCAACACCGGCCTGAACCTTGTCCGACAGTCTTCTCCAGTAGGTAGCGTTCAAAGCACCTTGGGCGTGTAGCTGTACAGTGGCGATCCAGTCGTCTGACTTGTATCTGCCGCAGTACGACATGGCAGACTCGGGGGGTTGGTTCAGTGCAGCGCGTTGCCAGACAGCCTCGATTCCTAGCGAAAGTTTCCGTGTAACAGATTGTAGATGGCTAAGGATGAAGATGCCTGTGGCACCTCCCTCGAGATACGAGGGGTTCAGCATTTTCAGTGACGAGGTGAAGTCGGCACCAGTGTACTCGTGCTCGATCGACGCCATATCCTGAGATCCGATCTGGAATTGAGCCTTTGTAACGAGAGCCTGGGACCATCGGTAGTTGAAGCGCGTTGAAAGCATGCCATCGTTGTCCATGCTCCCTTGTAGGAAGACCTGTTGTGCAATGCACTGATTAGTCTACAGTCGTGGCGGTCGAAAGGTAGAGTTTAAAGGTGGGTGCAGCAACTGACATTGTTTGTGCCGAACAGTGCGGCAAACGCATAGGGCTTCATGTGCTCTCCCATGGCAAACTGATGCGAGACCTGGAACAGCGGCGACAAGCTCACAGCCTTGGTAAGGTCTGCGCGTATGCCCGTGTGCATGTAGTTGGTGAGGGAGACTTCGCGCTGGACCTCCTTTGTGATGGAGTCGACAGTGCCTGGGTTGGACAGGCCGAGGCGCGCTCGCCGGTCGGAGAAGGACTTGTATGCATCTGAGACGGCGCTTGCGATGGGATTCGCAGTCAGGAGGCCCAAAGGCGACGCCGGCTGCACTTCGAAAGTGGACGTCATGATGGGAATGGAAATGGAACCGGACGAGCAGGAAGAGCTGGGAAGGGTGCGGCGAATTGGCGGTTCTCGTCGCAAGGCTGTCGATGGGCAAGATGGCTCGGAAAAGCGCACAACTCGCCGATGTCAAGAGCTCCGAGAGGTATGGGATGAGAAGATGGGCAGCTGGTTTGTACGGGTACGAATTGGACTTCGAAAAAATCAGTCCCTGGGCCTTGCGGCAGTGAGATCAGCGACCCGGGCCAAGTCCCACAGGAGGTCCGTCTCCACTTCATCGCGCCGGAGTAAAGGGAAGCCGCGCTCCGACGCCTTCCGGCTTGCCCGGACTGGATCCAATCCAATTCCTCGGGCTGGCGGGCTGGCGGGCTGGCCAGGGCAGCTGCCGGGGAGCTGGCTGGCAGTTGACTCGGGTCGCAGCCGAAGTACATTTTCTTGGCAGTGCCATCCGGTACGCCCCAGTAATTTATTCAACTCATCGTGAGTTCCCGTCATCAGAGCTGCATCTTCAAGCTTGGCCGTCCCCAGCAACTGTGGAGTACTCTCATCCTAAGTTTCCTTTTTCTTCCTACCTCAGATTGAAGGTTTCTTCAACCGCGACGACTCTACTTTCTCTTAAGGTTACTAGCAAGCTGTGTGCCTGTCTGCCTAACTCACGAATACCAAGTTGCCACTCCCCCACGGACATATCAGCTAAACGCTCAGACTTGTACTTCAGCCCGGACACTGCTCGTCAAGCAGGCCTTGCCACAAGCTCTCTCAAGCTATACTAGTTGGAGCTTACATGGCCTCACCTATATAAGTTGATCTATCTGCTTGAGCGTACTGCAAAAAGACACCGAACACCCTCGACCCCTAAGCCCGTGCTTGTAGAGTGTCCACATTCACTTGCAAGCTTGGAGGGCGATTGCATCCCATAGAGTTGCGAGTCGGAGCTGGAAGCCCACAATAGCTGATTACTCGGCTTCACCATGGATACATTACTGTAAGTCCTTTATTCCTGCTTCATGTTGGTAGTTGCCCGGCCGTTCTGCGCACACGCAAAGCCCGGCGTCCCTCTGGGCCGTCATATGGAATTGACAGAGCCTGCGGCCTTTAAATTCGTCGAGATAGCAAGTTCTCTACAGTCTTCATCTACCCTGCTGTCCACCCTCCACCACTGCCCACGATCACACCACGAATATGTAACAAGAAGTTCACCTCGGCGACGTGTGTCGTCATGAACTTTCTGAAACTGACGAATGTAGCACCGCCGATATCGCGGCGAACGCGCCTCGTTACCGACGCAAGAGCAGTACTTTCATCGATGGCATTCACGATGTCCCCGAGGAGGCCGACCGGGCACCGGCCCAGCTGTATAGTACTATGTCTGGGCGGCTCTTCCATTCGGGTCGTATTGCGATTGTCATGGTTGGGCTGCCCGCCAGAGGAAAGACGTGAGTGTCATATCCCACACAATGCCATTCGAGGTACGTTCTGATAGTTCCGTAGCCACATCTCGGTCTCATTGGCACGGTACTTACAATGGTATGTTGCTGTATTCCCCGTCATGGTTCCATTCTTATCGACCGCAGGTTGGGAGTCAAGACCCGGATTTTTCATCTTGGAGACTATCGCCGTGCCACGGTTGAAGGAGGTGGCGACGTTCCGGAAGACTATTTCTACCCTGACGCGTCTCCAGCTTCAGTCATGCTACGGCAAAAGATCCTGAAGAAGTGCCGCGAAGACATTTACGGCTGGCTCAACCATGAGAATGGACAAGTTGCCATATACGATGCTGTCAACCCTACAGCCAGTGGTCGTCGATCACTAGCGAAGGAGTTCGCCAAGCACGATGTTCAGGTACAACCGGCTTCCCCCGTGATTCGTTGGTAGTGCTAGACTAACATCCCCCAGACTCTGTTCCTCGAATCCTATGTCAATGATGACAAACTTCTGCTAGAAAACGCGCGCAATGTCAAGATTGGATCTCCAGATGTTGGTCGCCTAGCTGCCTGACCCTCTCAAGATGCCACTAACTTCAGCAGTTTGCCAACATGGATCCCGACGAGGCAGCCACTCTCTACCTTCGGCGCATCGAGACCAAGATTCCTAGCTTCGAAACTATGAATGAGAAGGAGCTGAACTATATCAAGATGATCAACGCAGGCAACAAGTTCTTCTACAACAACGTGTCATTCAACTACCTCTCACATCGCATCGTTTTCTACCTCACCAACACACATATCAAGTCTCGCGCTACGTTCTTCGTCCGTGCCGGCGCAGCGACGGAAGATGCGAGTTACAAAGCCGATGCCCCCCTCTCGAAAGAAGGCGTCAAGTATGCTCAAGTCATGGCCGATACCCTGGAAAAACACCGCGAGCAGGAACATGCCGCGTTGAAAGCCCGTAGTGGACCAGATGTTCCGAAACGGCAGCTAACGGTGTGGTGTTCGACACGTCTGCGCACCCTGCAAACGGCCGACGCCTTCAAGGACCGGGGATACAAAGTCCGCCAGCGCAGTCAGATGTCCCAGATAAATCCTGGAGTCTGCGAGCGACTGAGTGAGCGTGCGATCCGCCGCTTGTACCCCGACGAGGTCGAGCTGCACGAACTCGATCCGTACCACCACCGCTATCCTCGCGCGGAATCGTACCACGATCTAGCCGTCCGACTTGAGCCTATCATTCTTGAGCTTGAGCGGGAGCAGAACGACCTGGTCATCATTGCTCACGAGAGCGTGCTTCGTGTTTTATACGCGTACTTGATGCATTGCAGTACTATGGATATTCCGAATCTCAAGTTCCCACGCAACGAAATCATCGAAATAGTTCCGGCGGCGTACCAGAATGAGGCCAAACGGGTTCGGATTCCTGGCCTTGACCCCAGTACGGTTCCCGGCTCGCCAGAAGACATTTGCATTCCGGTGCCCGACAGTGGTGCCGGCACCCCGGCACCGTTGCCTGGTGGTGGTCTGTCTTCGCCAGCGGAGCCGGTCGCTAATGCCGAGAAGCCCCCGGAGAGGGTGGTGAACAAGGCAGCGGAAGCCGTGAGAGACAGGATCACGGATGTAGACTGAACGGGGAGTTGGAATGGCCTGGTCAATGGGCTCTAGGTTTGCTCGGAGTGCGGCAAATAGTTCATGAAGGAAGGGCTGTCACTGTTTGGGCTGATGAGACACCACCACTAGAATGAATAGACGAGTTGAATGTTTATCGGACAGTAATTAAGTACTCGTGTAACGCAATTTTAGGGGCTTGCTCTACTGCTGTGTCTTGGACAGCTGCAGTTCAAACACATAGTAGCAGGGCTCAGAAAAGAAGTCCACCCAGCATCATGCCACCGAACATGGGTGCCATCATCGGAAATCCCATGCCACCGCCATATCCCATTCCATAAGGCCGTCCATACGGCGCATACGGCCTCCCATATCTTCCTCCATAAAGGCCCCCAGGATACCCACCTCCGAGCCCACGTCCTCCTAGTCCACCACCGAGCCCACCACCATAGCCCCCGTCATCCGGCGTCACAAACCGCGCCGGTCTCCCACCACCACCTCCTCCTCGCTGATCCCACCCGCTGGTAAAGGTATACTCCAGCACGCTCGGGCTCAGCCGCTTCACGTTCTCGACGCCCTGGTACGATTTGTTGGGCGGCAGCAGGTAGACCTCCTGGCCGGCGTCGTCCTCGCCCAGCAGCTGCGGCTGGCCCGTGCGCAGGGCCGCCTCGAGCCCGCGCCTGTAGATCCGGTGCTGCTGGTACAGGTCGCGCTCCCGCTGGGCGCGCTTGTCGCGCTGCTGGTTGCGCTGCTCGTGGGTCGTGCCCGTCAGGGCGTCCTTCATGCGTCGGCCGAGGCGGTGGGGCGCGGAGATGGGTGCTTCGCCGGCTTGGCTTTGGGGTCCTCCGGCTTGGGGTTGGGGTTCGGCATGGGGAGCCTGTTTCTGGTCATGTTTCTTCCCGTGTCCGAGTCCTAAGAGTCCGTGTCCTCCTCCATGGTGACCATCATCGTCACCCTCCTCGTCCGTGCTCTCGGCCTCGACGTCGTTCCAGCTCCACTCGCGGCGCAGGCGGCCGACGTGCTCGCGCTCGGCCGGGTCCAGCGAGTTCAGGTACGTCTCGTCGTCGAGCGGGTGGTGCCAGATGGAGCGCGGCGGATCCTGGCGCGTGTCGACGAAGAACTGGTGTGCGTTCTGCGGGTCGTACGAGCGCACCCAGCCCTCGGGTAAGGGGCGGCGCTCGTCTTCCACTGTTCACAAAATTGCTGTCAGTCGACGGGGTCTGGCCTGGGACAAGGGTAGAACCGGGGAAACGGGCAGTGGGGATCAGTAATATAGGGATAGGTAGCAGTTCTGACGAGATAGAAGTGACAGTCGGGATAGGGGCAGGGGAGGTCAGAACGTACTGCTGCGCCGGTCCTCAGGTGGGATGCCGTTACGCTCGCGGCGCGCGAGGGGGGGCGCCGCCGAGCTGCCTCTGCCCATGACTTCATCGTAGGTTGGGGGCGGCTTGGCGCCTTCGGGAGCAGACATTCTGGTGATGGGTAGTGTGTCGTGTAGATATAGTAGGGGGCAGCGTCAGGTAATTTACGTAGGTGAGTGATGGATTATAAGCTATAGCCAATGAAGTGGCTGTCGTGAAGGCTTCGTTTTTTAGGTGGGCAGTCAAGTAGTACCTTAGGGAAACATAAGACAGGTACCTAAGGTAGGAACATAAGGTAGCCTTGGAAGCGAAAGGCAACCTGCTTCTTGTCACAATATGACATAGTTCAATCGTCACAGTGTCACAAGCTGCTCATGTGCGTTGGACAACATGAAGCCCACTTGCTTCGATACCTAGGTAACTACTTTTATTGGGCGTCCCTTCTAAACCTTACCTACCTCTGCTGTCAATTGGTCTCATCACTGATGCCGAGCAAGCGCGTCATGGACCTGTTAGGAGAAGCTTAAGTTATCCGGCGTGATGACGTACCAGTATACATTATACCTATGTAGATCCACGACGCAAGCTGAACGGCGGATTGTCACATCAGGTGATTAAGGTCTATTGTCATGAAGTGTTTTTGTGACACCACCACTGCCAAATCGCTGCTCCCCGTAATCTGTAATCATGTCCCCGGAGCTCCATGCTATGCAATGACAGACAAGTACGACGTGCAAGTCCGCGCCGCAGATGGTGACCTGGGCTACCCACGCACCAACCATATCTAGACACTTTCTTGAGGTAACAACTTGTACCGCCAGCGCCTGTTGGGTATCTTGAGCCTGAGCCGCCTAAGGAAACCAGCCAAATCAAAACAACCCCCGTGGCAGCAGTCCTACTGCACGATGCATTCCCTGTCTGGCACATCGGCCTTGGTCTTGCCTTCCTTGCCTTCCTTCTCCTTCCCCTTGCCCTTGTCGAATCGGGACTTCCTTTTCGACGTGCCATCTTTGTCCTTCTCCTTGTCCTTGTCCTTGTCCTTGTCCTTGTCCTTGTCCTTGTCCTTGTCCTTGTCCTTGTCCTTGTCCTTGTCCTTGGCCTTCTCCTTTCCAGTCTCCTTCCCAGTCTCTTTCGCAACAGCTCCGTTGGTGCCGTTCGTTTTCATCGACGCCACAACTTCAAAGTCGTCTTCGGGGTCTAGGAACATGGACTCTCGAAGTGGTTCTCGAAGTGGTTCCCTGCTGCCTCTTACCAGTCCTCCAAACCTCGACATGGAAAAACTGAGACGGCCCTCGCCGGCCTGGCTCTGCGGCCTACTCTTGCTGCCTCCCTTGAACTTAGCCGCAGCGCGACTGATTCTCTGTGCCGTACTCTCTTCACTAGGCGTGACTGCCGGAGATGGGCCGTCAGATATGGCACTAGAACTCAGCGCCGTCGAGTCACCGCCGTAGGCGACGCTGTCTCGCCGGGAAACACTAAGATATCCGTCTTCGTCGGCGAAGCTGCGGCGCGGTGGCCGCTCTAGTTCGGCTGAGAAGCGCAGGCTCGAGTTTGTTGAAGGCAATACGCTCGCATTGTCAAAGTAGCTGCTAGCTTGCCGAGAGAACGCTGGCCTCTCCTGAATGGGAGCAGACGTCTCTGAAGTCGTGATCTCGAGTCCAGCATCCTCATACGCTGGCGGATCTGCCTCTGTACTCTCCGTCGTACTAGATGCCACTTCGACAATGGGAACAATCTGGTAGAAGAGGAGGTAGGGCATCTCCTCCTTCAACGATTGCTTGATGTCGTCAACAGTGGACACCCGGTTGTCAATCGCCAGGTCGTCGAATTTGACCCACTGCGCCTCTTCGTAATCTGGAGGCGGGTCGCTGTCATGCCGCCGATTGTCGGTAAGAAGTTTTGGGGCTACACGGCAAAACGAGATGTAGTGTCCCGAATGCAACGAGTCGCCTCTGTGGCAGACCACCGATTGGAGCACAAGCTTGAAGTCTGCCGAGAGTCCGTTCTCTTCGGCTTCGACCTGTCTCTCGTCTGCGATGAAATGTGGTAGTCTCAAGCTGTCAGGAATGTCGATGTATGTGTTTTGCCGCTTCATGTTGCCCTTCTCGTCCATCATGTACCGCTTGAGGCAGACACCAAGAACCGGACGTTGGTTGAAATGCCGTGCAACCTCCAGGTCATTCTCTGGTTCCTTGTTTGCTGACGAGTGCCAAGCTGCGACGCCAGGTTAGTTCTGCTGAAGCTCACTTTCATGCGGTGATACATACGGACTAGTTTGAAGAACTGCCAAGCAGGTATGGTTACAGCCTTGACAACTGACGCAGTCTGTTTTGCTCTCTGGAACAAGCTTCCCGTGTCGGCATCGGAGCTTTTCTCTTTCTCATCGAGAACGACCCTCTGAATGATGCTTTCTGTCCGACTACGGTGCGGCCGTACAGCCGAACCAGATCCAGAAGCTTCCTCTTCGGGAGTTTGTCGACGCTGAGACACCCTGGATTCTGCCGCTGTCCAGCGTCGCTCCAGGGGAGGTGAACCATGTTCATCGACAGGTTCGGGCGAGGCACGTTTCTCTTCGTTGTCTCCAGTGACAAGGCGTATCGTACTTTTAGGCGTGCTTGGAGGATTAGGAGTTCTCGGACTGGGGGCTAGGTCGGACCGCTCCCCCGTCTTCTTGTCGTCTAGGCTGTCCCTTAACACATCAACCTGGGAGTTGAAATATTCTTCTAGACAGTCCTCCAACTTGATACCCTTGCCATCCGTATCGGGCGGAACTGCAAGATTTAGGAGTCTTTCGAAGACTACTTTGTGGTCTGCATCGTCGTTCTTACCCTGATGAAACAGATCGACCTGTAGGGTGAGTAGCGGAAGCTGCAGAGTTTCTGTGATAAAAGCAAAGGCTTCTGAGGTATCCTGTTGCTCCAGAAACTGTGCGTCCTTCCAACCGCAGGCAGCTAATGCATCCTGGATGCGCTCGGTCTGCCAAGGGTCAGTCTGGTTGCCGTACGATTGCAGGAGAGTTATCTACCATGTCTGTTTCGATCAACTTGCCACTTCGCAGCAAGTTGACCCATACCCGTAACAGGGTAGCCAAGTGCTTTCCTGGCTCCTCCCGGATTTCACCCTCGAGCATACACTCGAAAGACTCCAGCTTGGCGAACATAGCAAAGAGCAAAGCATCGAGGTAGCAAGTGGTGTTGCCACGATTTTCGGCGCCGAGCATGGTCACAGCTGGGTCGTAGCTAAAGATCTGGCCCGACAGTGACGCTTGTTGGAGTTGTAGGATCTCGATGGCCTTCTGGACGTCGCCCGAGGTGTACTTGAGGTTGAGCGCATATCGAATGTGGTCATCGGTCAGGTCATCGAGGTCTCGACCCTCAATTTCGCGTCGTACTTCTTCAATCTGCTACTATCAGCACCCGTCATGTTCTGTCGGGGTGGCACGGGACTGTCGAACCTGGGCGGCTTCTTTCTCTTTTAGTGTATCCTCGTCGACAGGCTGTTTCGCGGCGTCGGATCTGCTGAACATGGAGAAGAAGGTCTCGGTGGATAGAGGACGACGCTAGGTAGCGAGGGCCATTAGTACAGATACGGAATGAGCAGTAAGTAGAATGGCAGGGTGAATTACCTTGTGCGCTGGGTCAGATGATTTACCGCGGCCATGACTGTTCTTGTCTCGGCGGCTGAGAAACTTCTTGGGCAGGCCGGTCTTCATGGTGGGGTATTTGATGAGCACAAGGCGGCGAGAACAGCCTCCACGTGCGTCAGTCGGTGGTAGAGGAGAGGAGCGAAGCTTCTAGATGACAATAATGGGCGGCGCTTCAGCCAGTCTTCATCTCGAGACGACTACGGCGTGGGTTCAGCGAATGCGTGGTCGGTGTTGTGCCCCTAGTCGGCGAGGCAGTGAACGGTTCAGAAGCCGAGGTCGGGAGAGATGGCGACTGAATAAGGGGGCGGACAACTCGCGCAGCAGCGCCCCAATGCTAAAGGCAGAGGAAGCGATGTTGGATAGTATGTATCATGGTCTATAGTGGCGAGTTTGTCGAGAGAGACGAGAATGGCGGAAGCTTGCAGCAGCCAAGAAGCAAAGTACCACTGGCACCGCAGTTTGCGCTGGAAGAGCGTTTCGTGTCAGCGTGTCCAGGGTCCACGAGTGGATTTGGTCGAGATGGGCCGCGATCGACGATGGGCGACGGGGCCTCGGGCGGAGGAGGGGTCCGTGGAGGACGGTGCGACGGTGCGACGCGATGCAGATGCGATGCGATGCGATGCGATGCGATGCGCTCGAGTTTGTGGGTTGTTATCGTTGGCTCAGTGTATCTGTGTATATGGTGTACTGAATGGGTTCGTTGGTCGATGAATGTGGGAAGACTGGCAGACTGGTAGCGCATGAGAGAGTCAGTTAGGTATTCGAACACTGAAGTTGGTATTGAAGATTAGCACCATGTGTCGGACTCAGTCGGTACAATATTGGTTTAACTTATAAATCATGCTCGTGACCGATTGGCCCTGGTACAAAGTATAATACAATAATACAGGCTCATGCCCATGGAAGGGGCCTGGACAGCTGGATGGACACGAACCTTCAATACCTAAAATTGCCCTTCTAAGGCGATTGATTGTGTGGGGTGTACCTTTTGACGTTGCAGATGGGGTCATGGGAGGAGGGGTCAATCTTGAATGAAATCTGTCCAGCTGCAAACGACCAGTAGAAGGATCGCGGGGGGGCAGGATTGACTGTTTGAAAACGAAGGTGCCTTTGCGAGGCGCACTGCGAGAAAAGGCTATTCAGGAGGGTACTTTTAAACTTTATTTCTTGAACTCAGTCATGGAACCTAAGTTCAAAGTTCAAAGTCGGGTCAACTGCTCATGTCTCCGTACACCACCCGTCCAGCAGACAACGGTATATGTATGGAGTCGGAATAAGCACCATGAAATAAGCATTGGGCTGAGTGTAACTTGAATGTCGACACGTGCATCTATCTCCATGGCTGCATGGTACCTTGACGAGCTGACGATGGTGAGGCTGACTGAGTGAGTAGCTGCTGGCTCGTTCTCATTGAGCGGAGAGTTATTAGCTGCGGGGCTTGTTCATCGAAAAGACACTGACTTTAATGTTCAAGAGACAGGCTACAGGCTACAGGCTGACAGGTACACGTAATGGGAATCCCAGGCAGGAGGATAAGTAGGTAGATGATCGACATCCAACGCCACCGAATCTCGAGCTGTCTCACCCAAACGAGAATGCGATGACGATGCAATGCTGAATGTGGCAGCCTTGACCCATGAATGATACGCTTCCAAAGTTCTGCCCTTCTATCACGACTTTGGATATGTACTTGCTTGGGACGATATCACCCCGGGGACCACATGCATGCACCGAGGCGTCGAGAGAGGGTTTGTGGGGTTGGTGCTAGTGTCAGGGGTCCTGGTTCAGGAGCTCCATCCCGCCAATCATCGACGTCTTGAGGGCACGAGCGGGGGAGCGGGGTCCAGAACTTCAGAGACCGGCGGCGGGCGCCCGCTGCAGCTGAGGCTCCAGTGCGGCTGCACGGGCTGCAGGTGGTCGGGTCCACGGGTCTATCGGAGCCGGACATTCCTTCCACCGAGCTCCCTACTGTCTGTGGAAATTTCCAATTCAAGCTGCATGTTCGTAGCTTGAGGTCGAATGCGCGCCCCGTGTGAAGCGTGAAGCTGCCATCCCGTATTGCAAAAGACACCATGGCCACCCTGCGCGACCTCCCTCGTGCTGGCCGACACGTTCTCAGTGCTGTGTCCCACCTGAAGTCATGTCCAGCAGGTCTGCAAAGATGTGCTTCGTCTGATGCTGCCGTTGCGGCATCGACGTCGAATGCGACCACCGCACCCGTCATCCCCGACATTGAACTGGATTCAGGTCTGGCTAGTCCCATTCTCACCAGAGACGATATTCACATTGCCGATCCGCGAAAGAGAGCAAGTCGTAGGAACTACGAGCTGCCGCACGAGAGGTAAGCCTCAACAGCCTGGCAGCCATCTCCAGATAACGAGGGCTAAACAGCTTCTTAGATACCGATACCATCCTCCCAAGTACTACCGGGGACCTCTACACCCAGTCCAACCCCCGCCAGCCTCCGATCCAGTCGCCCGTAACTTCGCTCCTGGGCCCTTCAATTTCCCTCGCCTGAAGCAGACCTTCCATTCCACTATTGCCTCGGACATCATGACCATGATGTACCAGCACACTCCTCCTGGCACGCCTGACAAGCCCGAACGGATACGGCTGCGAGAATGGGACGAGACTTCGCCGTACATGAGCAATCGGCCGAAGCGAGGCCCCCGAGGCCACGATGTTCTCTTCCCACTCGAGAGGAGTATCGACTGGCGCAACGTTCCGGAAATTCGCGCGGTCCATATTAACATGTACATGCCAAAGGCAAAGAAGAACGCGGACCACCTCATCGTGGGTCGTGCCGTGTTACAGAGCATCACTGGCGTCCGACCAGTGGTCACGACCAGCAAGACGAGTGTTGCCCAATGGGGTGTCATCAAGGGTGACAGGACGGGTGTCAAGTGCACGGTGCGAGGGCATCAGGCCTACGAGTTTGTAGACAAGGTCATCAACCTCGTCTTCCCCAAGATCAAGGAGTGGAAGGGTATCCAGGGTGAGTGATCACATGCCAGATCCCTCAAAGCTGCCAAGCTGATCAAGCAACATAGGGTCTACCGGAGACAGCACGGGCAATATCGGCTGGGGCTTTGAACCACAAGACATGCTGCATTTCCCCGAGGTCGAAGCCAACTACTCTGTAAGCAGCTGTATATCACGGTCAAGAGCAAATAGAACCGCTGCTAACCCCTTCGCAGCTTTACCCTGCCAAGATGATACCAGGCTGCCGCATCGTTCTCGAGACCACAGCAAAGTCCGACAGGCATGCTAGAATTCTTTGCGAGGCACTGGGCATTCCATTCTTTGGCAAGTTGGTGGATTGAGGGATGTTGAGATATTAGACGATGTGTTAATTACGAGCGTAATGCTCGCTCACCAACCTACGACATGTACATGATCTCACAGATCTGAAGATAGAGAAGTGTTTAATACAGCTGTACAATACTTAACCTTACCTTACTATAGCCAAGTCTCACATGTCAATGCTCTCATTAATGTGAATACCGTGAATAACGTGAATAGCTCGCATAGACTCATTCATTCCGATCCCCTTTTCTCAAACTAGAAAGCCTGCCCTACCAACGCCAGATATGCATTTCTTTCGTTCCCACATACGACCGACTGATCCATGACTATCAAGAACCTCCCGTAGTTACATTTTGCCCGGCCTTCGTCCTCAACGGATTGATCACCGCGTCCACAGCGTCCATATCGGCAGCATCGACCGCATCGGCCACGGGCTCGCCCTTCCGCCGCAGCTCCGCCGCGCACACGTCCATGGCGGGCTGGTAGTTGCGCACCACCGAGCTGAGCGCACGAATGGCCTTCCGCCTCACCTCTTTCGTCTCAACACCATGCCCCTTGAGCGGCGCAACGCCGTCCTCCGTCGTCACGTCGCCGTCACCAGCCCGCTTCTCCATGGTCTCGCGCTCGCCCAGTGCCATCCTAACCAGCCGCTCCACGCCGCCCAGCGCGACGAGGCGCTCCTGGCAGGGCTGGTTGTTCTGCACGGCCGTGCCGACGCACCAGCACGCCATGAACCGCAGGTCGGCCTCCTCGTGGCCCAGGCATTCGAGGAGAGGCGTCCAGAGCCCGAGCTTGGCGAGCAGGTTCGCGTTGTCGAGCGATTGGATCAGTTGTTCTAGGTTGTCGAAGGCCGTCGTCTTGGCTTCGAGCGTCATCTCCGGATCCGACGAGGTTATGGCTGCCATGGACGCCTTCATGAGGTCCGCGTCCGAGGGCCCGGCCATGCCCATCAGCTGGGCGAGCGCGTCGGTTTGAGCGGGGTTGAGTGTCGCGGCGGCGGCGGCGGCGGTGGTGTCGTTGCTGGAGTCCGTGGAGTCGGCGGGCGGCGCGGAGGGGTCGGTGGCCCGGTCGGAGGGTTTCTTCGCTGAGTTCTCGATGCCCCAGTTCAGGAGCTCTTTGAGGTTTTTGTCGCCCATCTTGTAAATGTGTAGGGGAGAAAGATGTCTGGTTCGTTCGCAGGGTTCGGAAGCTGGCTGGCGGGGGGTCACCGGATGGTTCGCGGTCGAATGAGCAGCCGTTTGGTAGCTATTCGAAATGATTTATTCGACAGGAGGACCGAATGGATCAAGTGAAGTGTTGTGTGCAAATTATGATGTCAACCGCTTGCTTGGGTGGTGTTTCTTCGTCGTTGGCTGGTGCTGTCTATCTTGCAGAAATGTGAGATATTGGATGGTCCAGATGTTCTCCCCAAATTCAAAGTTTCGGTTCAGTCCCACTTAGAAAGAGAAGATGGGACGAAGATGGATGACGAGACTGCAACGTCTGGATTATGAACTCTGTGAAGTCTTGCTGATTTCTTTGTTTTCACGAATGGACGAAATGTTGGTTGGTTGGTCGGTGCAATGACTCCCAAATTCTCTTGGTGATCATCTCTTAACTTTTCTTCTAGCCTTGTCCAGGGAGCTCTCCAGGATTCGCGAAGCTTCATACGCTGACAGGGCTGAAAGTGGGGGTTGGCAATATCCCAAAGCCGAGCAGTTGCTGTTGGTTGGCTGTCAACTCACATCAGAAGAATCATTGAAGCATCTCATGAAAGGAGAGGTAGTCTGTTGTGCGTGTCATTTTCAACATCATCTAGGATGTATTTGTATCCTATGTAGGCCCGTAGTCAGGCAAGCTGATGATGCTGCCTTCATTAACGGTAAATAATTGCCCCACCATCGTATCGATTTTGCCCCTCGTTACCCCTCCTTGACCGCCTTTGGCATTGTTGATACGAGTATGGGTACGGTGAAGCGATTCCAACATGGATGGCGAAGGAGCTGCTTCACCGAATTTTGTATTTGAACAAGGAACTGTAAGATACGGTAGTGAACAGTTGTTCGATAGGAGCTTGATTGTTCCTTCCTCGTTGGCATAGTAGTTATTACCGCATTTGCGGGCAAGTCGATGTTGAAACACAGACTCGACATTACTGCCAGTGAGTAAGGTTTAGAGAAGAGGTGGTACGAAACGGCCAAATGTAGACGTCTCTATCACGGCAAGAAGGGATGACAGGCGGACCAGGCTGTCAAGTAAACGCAAAAGGGAGACGGGGAAGAGTCAGCCAGAAAGAGGCAGAGCTCGATAAAGTGTTGCTTCGCCCCTGCATACGCAACCCGCTTGCCCCACGAAATTCTGACTGGTACAGATTGTGTAAGCCGGATAGGCGATGCCTGCTTGGCACTCTGAACCAAGTTGGCCCGTTTGTATCGAGTATACCTATCCATCTTGCATGATGCGTACGTGCTTCAGGCTGTGATGGGATGTGTGTCGCTCTGCCTGAACCAATGACCCGAGCAGCCTGCAGGTGGCTGTCTCGTACAGGGTCTAGAAGCAGTGTTAGGTCGTTAGCCCTCAAGCACTATTTCTATAATAATCCAACTGAATCAGTGCAGGCAGACGTGGTTTCGGACTTGGCACCGATGCGGCAAGCAGGCAGCTCACTTTCGAGTCGTAGATGTTCCCAAGCCAAGGAATGGACATTACGAATGCCTCGTCAACGGTGACGACCATAGAAACAGTTAGAGAGAAGTGGCATCCTGTAGGAGAGCAGATAATTGAACTGCCTGCTCAGATGGGCTGTGCCTTTATCGCTTTGTCTCAGCACCAGTCAGTCCTGGGGCTTTGTAGGTGGTGGTTCCAGATCTGCTGGTGCTGAAAGGAGGCGGTAGCGGTAGCGGAGGCATGAAAGAACGACCCGGCTGCAGCCTGGCTTGGCCCCCAGGCCCCCTGAACGACCGCTAGACAGTGCTGCGCTGTACTTGCCCCCATTGCCAGCCCCGCCGCTTTTTTGTTTGGCCCACAAGTTTCTCCCAATCCATTCACGGCTGCCCCCCATTGACCAGTGCTCTGAATGATTTGATTGTGAGCGAGGGATCGCTGCAACAACCGCCTCCCGTTCCTCCCTCCCTTTTCCACCTCCACCCAAACCCAACTTGACACCATAAATCTACTCCTCCACAACTCAATTCTCACCTCCTCCTCGTAGTCTCTGCCCAGTCTTTGACTTCGACCACTCCATCAACCTCCTCGCTCTCTCGATCCGGGTATCGCGTGGGCTATAGCAGCATCTCCCTTCTCTTCGATTAATATCTCTTGACCCTTCGTCACTACGTAATCCGCCACAATGGAAGGTAAGCCAATCCCCATGCTGCTGCTGCTGCTGCTGCTGCTGCTGCTGCTGCTCTGTCGCCCTCCCCGGGCATCCAGACACTCTCTCGGGTGCCTCAATCAACGCACAATGGCTGACATGTCTTTTCGTCACAGAGGAAGTTGCTGCCCTCGTTATCGACAATGGGTAAGATCCAGTCTCCGTCTCACCGCAATCTCGAGCGCGCATACCTCCATTCGAGGCCTGGGAGGGCTGCGGATCCAGCAACCAACCACCCACAGCCCGCCCATGATAGCCTCGAACCACATCAATTGAGACATGAAGCTGACTCGAGCCCAGTTCGGGTATGTGCAAGGCCGGTTTCGCCGGTGATGATGCTCCCCGAGCTGTCTTCCGTAAGTTCTATCCTCGCCCGAATCTCGCCCCCGCTTGTGCCTGATCACCGTGGGCCCAAATACTGCGCTGTTGTCTAACCTCCGCGCACAGCGTCCATTGTCGGTCGTCCCCGCCACCATGGGTGAGTTCTATTCCGAAAATAACCGCACTATAGTGTTTGCGCCTGTAGGCCTAACAATGTACCAGTATCATGATCGGTATGGGTCAGAAGGACTCCTACGTCGGTGATGAGGCACAGTCGAAGCGTGGTATCCTGACCCTGCGATACCCCATCGAACACGGTGTCGTCACCAACTGGGACGACATGGAGAAGATCTGGCACCACACCTTCTACAACGAGCTGCGTGTGGCCCCCGAGGAGCACCCCGTTCTGCTCACTGAGGCGCCTATCAACCCCAAGTCCAACCGTGAGAAGATGACACAGATTGTCTTCGAGACCTTCAACGCCCCCGCCTTCTACGTCTCCATCCAGGCCGTCCTGTCCCTGTACGCCTCCGGTCGTACCACCGGTATCGTGCTCGACTCTGGTGATGGTGTCACCCACGTTGTCCCCATCTACGAGGGTTTCGCCCTTCCCCACGCCATCGCCCGTGTCGACATGGCCGGTCGTGACTTGACCGACTACCTGATGAAGATCCTGGCTGAGCGTGGTTACACTTTCTCCACCACCGCCGAGCGTGAAATCGTCCGTGACATCAAGGAGAAGCTCTGTTACGTCGCTCTCGACTTCGAGCAGGAAATACAGACTGCCGCCCAGAGCTCCACCCTGGAGAAGTCGTACGAGCTTCCCGACGGTCAGGTCATCACCATCGGCAACGAGCGGTTCCGTGCTCCCGAGGCTCTGTTCCAGCCTTCTGTCTTGGGTCTTGAGAGCGGTGGTATCCACGTTACTACCTTCAACTCCATCATGAAGTGTGATGTTGACGTCCGAAAAGATCTGTACGGCAACATTGTCATGGTACGTTCTACTCTCCATTCCGGTTAAGATGATGGGAGACCTACTGACGCGAGGAATCTTAGTCTGGTGGCACTACCATGTACCCGGGTCTGTCGGACCGTATGCAGAAGGAGATCACTGCCTTGGCCCCATCCTCCATGAAGGTCAAGATCATCGCTCCCCCGGAGCGAAAGTACTCCGTCTGGATCGGTGGTTCCATCTTGGCTTCTCTGTCGACCTTCCAGCAAATGTGGATCTCAAAGCAGGAGTACGACGAGAGCGGTCCTTCGATCGTTCACCGCAAGTGCTTCTAAGGTACGCATGCAAATGAGTCAAGCAGAGTCGACAGTGTGATGAGCTAACCCGTGGTCAGCTCTTACGATATCACGTGTGTAACCACTTTTCACGAGCTCACGACAGCCCCCTTTGAGATCGCGACCGACGCAGAGCTCCTGCCGTTGCGAGTGTGTCCCGGACGAGTCCCATATCTACGAAAAGTTCTGAGAACGGTCCGGAGATTGGGATGGTACTTCTCGGAAAGAAAAGGGAACATGAAGTGCTTTGTTTTCAGGAGGCCATTCGAGCACGGGATGGAGTAGACAATTCCAACCGAAGGTTGATCATATACTACCTTGTTTTTCTTCGTAATGCGGCGAGTATGGCGTGACGTATGTGCAGCATCAGCCTGTAAAAGTCGAGTATCTGCTTTGATAGATCGTGATCGCTTGAAAAAACGTCGTTCTCGAGCCTTTGACCTGTATGCCCGCCCATGTACATCTCAAGTCGCACTCCATGGAGTAAAATTCAGTCGAAACTTGAGCAGACTGCACTGCAAGCTGGCAAGCCAGTTGTGAATGTGAATCCTTTTTTGGGATCTGATGACTATTATTTCTGTGGTCTATCTAAGTCATTGGGCATTTCGGCAAGCGCTTCATTAGACTCTTCCTGGTCTTGTTCTTGGCCTTTCCCTTGTTTTTCTTCAGCTTCTTCTATCCCGTCAACCTCTTCCTCGTCGTCCTGTTGCCTGCTGCCCTCCTCCTCCAGCTTGCGGTACTTGCGCCTACTCTTCTTGGCCGAGCTGGCCTTCTTCTTGCGCTTGAACTCGCCGACGACGGCGTTTCGGCTCTCGCCGCCGCGCGCGAGGTCGTCGAGCTTGTCGGCCAGCAGCTGGCGCGCAATGGTGCGGTTCTGGCTGCGCGAGCGCGTCGCCTGCGACTTTATCACCAGGCCCGTCGGGAGGTGCTTGAGCTGGACGGCTGAGTTGGTCTTGTTCTGTTTTGGGGGAAGGGGGTGTTAGCTGGTTCCCGTCTAGATCTAGGGGCGTTTGTACTGGACGATAGGAGGGGACGCACGATCTTCTGTCCGCCCGGCCCGCTGCCCTTCAGGAACGACTCCTCGATCTCGTCGGCGGGCGGCGGCTTCGGGCGCGGCGGCATGGTGCTGCCCCTGTTCTTGAGGAGGCCCGGGGCATTGCTGCCTGTGAGGTGTCGGCGGTGTTGGAGGCTGCTGACGTGGAGCTTGCGGGGAGAGGAAGAGAGGCGGCCGACGCTAAGCACGGAGCGCAGCATTCTCGCTGTCGCCGTCGTGATGGTCATTGTGGTCGGGAGGTCATTTCGAGGTTCGAGGGCTGCTGTCGTCTCAGTCCATTGCTTCGGGACGTAGCTGAGCTTGTCGGTCTAAGTAGCAGAGCAGCCCTTCTGCATTGGGTTCTGGACTCTCGTTCCTGGACCTCCTAGCTGCTCTATCTGATTGGTGTTTCTTCTTCTTCTTCTTCGATCCTGCTTCTCAAGTGCTTGCAGCAACGCAGTCAGTCAGGACTCAGTCGATCATCCGATGTCAGTTTGATAAGGTAGGTAAGGTAGGTACCTGCAGGTGGGTCTTGGACCCCTGTTTTTCGGCGAGTTAATTAAGGACGGCCGGCCCTGCGCCGACCGTCCAGCCCGTCGAGACTCGAAACGACTGACGCCAAGGGGGTCCATCTTGGCGGCTCCCTCCCACCTCCCTTTAACACTTATTACGACGCGTACCTCATCATACCTAAAGGCAGTGCATTCGACTGCTCTTGACAACCGCCACAATCGTTTACCCTCTACCTCGGACCTGACGAATCACAGCATCCTAATCAAACGATCAAGAAAGCTCTCCCCTGCATCGCTCGCGTTTGTAGATACGAAGCGAAGGCCCTTTGAACTCCTCAACCATACATCGCGGTTGTCTCCAACAACCCGGAACGGACGCAACCACTCACTCACTCAACCCTCCCTTCCTCGAACCTCATCTCGAGCCAGCACACAATCAAAAATGGAATACAGGAGGAAACAGCCCGAGAACCTGCCGCTGCTGCAGCGCTTCGGCCGCTGGCTCTCCCTCAAGCAGTACCAGATCGAGGTCACATTCGGTGTATACATGTTTACGCCGACTGAGAAATTCATCTTTTGTAAGTTCACAACAACTGGGGTTTGAAGAGAGGATCATAAATGCTAATCTAGGCCGTATCGTAGGGTCTGTAGTGTTCCTCCTCTTCTCCCTGACCACCATCGCCGTCATCCTCTACCTCCCGCAACACCTGCTCTTCATCCTTAACCGTGGCTGGTTCTACGTCAGCGGAGGCGACGAGGGCAGCGCAACCGACATCGCCGCTGTCAGCAAAGACGTCCTGTCCCTGTCGCTCTCATCCGAAGCCATGACGACGACACCCACCGCCGTCGCGGGCGCTGCCGGTTCATTGATTCCGGAGTTATAGTACGGGTCTGGGTGGGTTGACAATTAGGGGACTGGCTGCCGAAGAGGCCGTCCATCGGGCCATGAGGACGACGACGAGAGACGACCAAGTTATAATGTTTAATCAGCTGCAGGCCGGACACTGTTCCGGATCTGGCATCATGAAAAAGGGGCAATGGCGTAGTAGCGCTTGGAAAAGCATCACTTTTGGCTTGGTATTGATAGAATTGCATCCTCGGGACGGACGGCGCAGTATGCATACCCTGTACATCATTACAGGCCAGTTCCTGTCTAGACTGCTACACACAGTAGGAAATAGACAGGACCTTCGGATTTCATCTCTTTGGATCGTCGAAAGAATATAGTCTGAGTGAGCTGTCTTCTCCCGCAATTGCCAGCTCGTTCGAGGTGGATTGAGGCCTCCATGCGAGTTGGAGGACAGCTTTCGCAAGGCAGAATCTACGCCAGTGTCAGTATAGCAGCACGTTATCTAGATATATCCCATGCTGGGGTGGGGAGACTTACTCTGGCTTCAGGTTCAAGCTTGACGAAACTGCGAGCGAAGTCGAGTCAATGGTATTTATCGACACTTTGCCAGTCTCGGTCCCAACGGCCAGCAAGAAAGTCCCATCCTCGGTGTTGCGGTGCAGGAAATCGACGGCTGTCACAGGGTGAGTCTCCGTTATCGTAGTCACACAAACAATGCCAGACTCTGCCGCGTCGGTCGAGGAGCCTTTTCTCCGCCAGATCTTGACCTGTTTGTCGCGGCCGGCGGTGGCGAAGACGAGCGAGTCCGTGGCCGTGGCGGGCGCCCAGGCAGCGTCGAGTATCATTCTCGAGTGGCCTTTGGGATTGGACTGCAGTAGCTTGTAGGTCAGTCTGTCGTCGGCGTCCCTTTCGAACACGGCCCATTGTCGGTCTCGGCCCACGCTCAGCAAGAATCGATCGTCGGGGGAGAATCGCAGACGGGTCGTCGTTAAAGAGTGTGCCGTCAGCGGTGGCTTCACCTCGGTCCATTTCTCCGTCTCGAACAGCCTGATGACGGCGTGGTTGATGGAGCTGGCTTTGCACGCGCTGGCTATCAGACTGCCGTCGTGGCTCACCGCCAGACAGGAGATTTCGTACCCGTGGCCGTACAGCTTCTCGGTCTCGGGCCACAGCGTGTGCCGCGAGAGACTGTCCTCGAAAGGCGGGTGGTCGATGTCCAGTGCCGACTTGCGCACCGTCGAGCCGGGATCCAGCGCCTCCCGATCCGCCTCGGGATTCGCTGCCTGGACTTCTGTGTCGTCGTCGACGGCTTCGATGGCCTTGTTGGAAAGGCCGAGAACGGGCATGTTGGCCGCGTCCGGCATGCTTTCGATGTGGTCACCACCGCCTATGTCGCACAGCTTGTTCAGCAGCTTCGCGACTGCTTTGGGTTCGTCGAAGACGCGCATCAGCTTTTCGTCGGCACCGGAGACGAACTGTGAGTTCCCGAGCGCGTCAATACAGTTGAGGTCGTAGCCATGAATTTGCGGTCGTGCCATCTCGTGCCATGTTATGGCAGCATCAGGCCCTCCCGTCTTCCAGCCCGCGTGCAATCTCGTCGTCTGATCGGAACTCGTCGACAGCAAGTAGTCGCCGTTTCCCGACCATGATATGCCAGTGACTGCTCTCGTGTGCCCGCTTATGCCGATTTCTGGTACCCATTGGTCCTGCTCCTTGTTGTAGTTCCACAGCCTCCAGCTTCCGGTCCGTCCAAGACAGGTTACCGAGGTGCCGTCGGGAGACCAGAGCCCGGTCCAGAAACCACCAGTGCTTCCAGTGGCGGTCGTGGCACCCTTCTCTCTGCTTATCTCGCCCACCCTTACCGTCGTCACCCAGATGCCTGAGGATGGGTCTGCTACCCATATAGCTAGCGTGTTGTCGGCCGAAGTGGAGAGGAGTTGAAGCTTTCCAGTGTCGGGTACCGAATACCATTTGGCACTGTAGATCCAGTCGTCGTGACCTAGTAGAAGGGCCTCAAAGGTAATCGAGAAGTCGGCCTCGCCCGCCTTGAGCCGGTAAGCCTTATTCGAGGGAGACTTCCCCGGCAAGAAAGCGCCCAGCGACGCATCCGCACCGGTGACTGTGGCCGCCGGGAGCTCCTTGCCTTGGTGGAACCGCCACAGACGGACGTACTTGTCCTGACTCGCGGATGCCAATATCAGGTCCGAGTTCGAACGACTACTCTCCCGGGTGAAGTCCAGAGACCGGATCCAGCCCTCGTGGCCCGATAGCGTCGCCTGTACCTGGAAATCGGGGCTGTCGGTCGAGCTGGCAACAAAGATCTGGATGATGTCCCGCGTTCCTGCAGCGGCCAGAACCAAAGAATCACCGTCCTCGTCTAACTTACTTAACGCTATTGACAGCGGAAAGAATTTGGGGTTGGGCTTGATCGTCTGCACCACGCGGGCCTCGGCTCCGTCGAATGTCCATACTTTGATCGAAGCATCCGCCGCGCCTGTGGCGAACATCCGCGTCCCTAAGCCCGGCTTGCCTCGCGGGTGGAGTGTTGCTATACAGTTGACCGCAGCCGTGTGCTCGTGTATTGTCTGGATACACGAGGCTACACTGTCTACTGTGAGTGTCCATATCCTCAGACTGTGGTCGTCAGCCCCACTGAGCAGGTAACTCTGGTCTTCTCCTTCAGCCTTGGGCAGAAATTTGACGGCTTTCACAACGCCCGTGTGCCCTGCTAGAAGACTGGTGACTCCTCTCGGTGCATTGTCCTGTTTCCAATGTCAGCGCAGTTCGGGTGTCTGGTTGTTTTCTCATACGTGAGGGCGCCACAAAGCGATGTTGGAGTCAGCGCCGTAGGCGACGACGCCATCTTGGCTCCAATCCGCGACGGCAGTATGCCGGTTGGCACCCGCCGATAAGTACTCGACTTTTAACCCTTCTTCATTCATCTCGGGGGACCGAGGGCGAGTCTCGTCAATAGTTGAAGAATATGTGCTGTTTCCAAAATTGGACCAATCATCGACAGGTGATGCTTAAAATTCAGTCATTCAATGTTCGGCGCCCGCCAGCTGCGCCAGCTGGTAGCCACCTGCAGAGCCACTACCCGCCGTCTACCTATCTGTAAATCACGCCTGCTTCTGCTGGTACTCTGTACTCTTCATGGCGGACATATATTGAGGCTCCGAAACATCCCGAAAGGACTGACGAGTCGACGTCTCTCGGATTCGTCGATGACTTGACCGCAGCCTCCTGGTCGTCTCCCTACCATCGCAAGCTACCTACGAATTAGTAACCCAGGCCTGGTCATAACCGGGCATAACAGTTTTTTAACATCCCCAAAGCGCTCAGGCTCGTCGAACCTCTCAATGGCCTTGCCGGTAGTCTCGACATCGGCGATCCATACCATCCATCATCCATCCAGCCATCCTTCTCAAACTAACTCACATGGGAAGAGTCATCGAGACAAAGTTTTCCGAGCAACCACACTGCAAAGCTTATAGTTTAACCCCCTTTCCCTCACCCCAATGGCACACGATATATATATACACGAGTTTATCACATTTGTCTGGTAGCCGGGTTGGTACGGCCTAGCGAAATACTCTTACAAAGTATTCTTACAAGGTATTCTTAGGCACAGCGGTTCGATTCCCCTAGCGGCTGGAATGTCTTTTTGGGTTGTTTTTTTGGCCCTACCCGCACCCTCACCATCAACGTCCGAAGATAGGCTCGCATTGAGTAAACGATGTCGGTATCGGTAAATTCCATACGAAGTAGAAGCATTGAATCGTACATAACCTCGTCAGGGTCCGTCCGTACGCAGATCGTCACATCATATCCAAAAAGGGGGCGGGTCTGCTCAACTGCTTGTGCCCCTTTTTGCCCTCTGGCACCGTCCACTCCACTATCGCGTCTGACCTCACCTCACCGTGCCAATCGCGAGGTGTGGTGGTTCATTAGCAAGATCCAATTGTATAAACAATCCTCTCTTGGACATCAACAGCTATTGCGAGAATGTCTAATGCCACCTATCAGTGTAATGTTCGCGGTATTCGCGAAAGCGCTGCCTCAGATCTGACGTAGATCGGGCGGCAAAGCTATACCCTGTCAAGCCGGTGTCCATGAACGAGGTTCCAACAGAACGGCTCTGCCGCTGCTAACTCGGCTAAGGAAGCCTGCTTGAGTGTCCCAGCATCCTCTTCGTATGTGGTGTGGAGGAAGGGCACGGCTTGGCTCGCCCCTCAAGTCACATGGAAGCAGGTTCAAACAACCGCACAGGAATGCCCGACTACACTGTTCAATTGGGCTGACAAGCGAAGTCTGATGTCGAGGCTTGACCTGCCAACCATCATATCCCCTGACAAGCCACATATGATGGGTGATACAGGAGTGATCTGACGGAATGCATGAAGGAGAAGCCTAGAATAGCCGGGTAGCTGTCGAATCTACGGCCGGTCAGTGCCACGACAGAGACATGCGTTCTCTTGATGACGCCAACAACCACAGACGCAGAAGACTCCTCCAACGACTAACTAGCACCGCTAGGTCCATGGATGCCACACTCTCTACAAGCACAACCTACCCATTGGCAGCAAGGCAGCTAAGTAGCTGTCGTTGAGGGCAAGCGCCACCTGTAAGCCGTCAGCATACCGCATACCGCATACCTTAGTATAGACGCTGTGCAACCAGACGGCGATCCACATTCCCTGCCCTCACGCTGCTGCATGTGCAAGACCGGAACGAGCAAGATATTCCAACAAGTAAGACACACGTGCCACGACGGCACTGGAGAGACAGAGAGAGAGCACGTCAAGCTCCCCCTCTGCAGCTTCGCCGGCATTGGTCGGCAACGGTTTCAATAGTAGTAATCCACCCGGGGTATGGCTTCGCTTCGCTCCGCTCCGCTCGGCTTCGCGGCCGCGGCAAACCGTGCCTACCTGACTTCTTACAGGCTATGAAGGGGGATGGCTCGGCCGTTGCCGCGTCTAGTTCCTGGCGCGATGGGTATGGCACAGTAGCTGTCTCTGGTGCAAGTACATGGGCCCTGGCACGGAGCCAACGAGAAGTGCAGGCGGAGGACAAAATGACCTGGTGTGTAGAGAGCAGCCTCATCATGATGTGAGGCCGACTATCGGGTCTGCAACACCCCCTGCTGCAAGCTGCCGCCACAAGATAGTGTAGGAAGCTGCAGGTCGCTCGATCCGGACTGCTGGCTTTGGTCTGGTAGGTAAAATCCTTGCAAGAAAAACGTCTCGTTTCTTCCTTGTGATAGTAGCTGAGGGCCACGGCAGCTGGATCTGCCCAGGCACAGTTCTCATCGCCCACTCCATACTTCGCAGCTCATAACTGTTTATAGATATCTTTCCATCAACGCAAAACGATCAGCGCTGCCGTCATGTCTTGGAGACGACAGATCTTTACCCCAGAACAGAACCGAAGCTCCGCATGGGCTGGCCGGCAGCTGCAGGCAGGCCCATGACACAGGCTTACAAGTTGCTGTGCAGCTCGCGATTCTGCAACACTGCACGCAAGCTCCCAGGCCCAACAAATCGCGATCCGACTGTTGGCTTGTCCGTCCGGCCAGGGCCAGGTAGGCAGGCAGGCAAGCAGGGAAATCTAGAGTGGTCGCTAGTCGTACTACCACCCGGTCCAAAATGATGCGGCTATAATTGTATAAATAGCATATGTCGTGCGGTATATAGCATGCTATGGCCATTGCCAAGCATACAGCTGTTTTGCCGCAGCATAGCATAGTATACATAGCAGTAAGCACATATCGTAGTAGGGGGGAAAGAAGACTTAGGGATAATCAGCTACGACGGTATAACTTCTGCTGCCGTGTGCGAGGAGAGCGGTGACTTCATCGCAGCTGGCATGCAGGATGCCGCGAGCCGTCTTGAGGCTTCCGCCGTCCGTCAGACGACTGGGATTCCTGCATGCTCCGAACTGGTGGGCTCATCGGCCCTTGGTGACATCTCCATGCAGTATGATAGATACGGTTATGCCCGCCTGTCTACCTTGCTTCTGTGCTTCTTGATGGTCAGTCAACCAGCCAGCCAGCATAGGTAGCTACCCCGCCTCCCCGCCTCAGGGGTTTATGTACTGGGTGGTATTCTGAAGCAGGATGAAGTGACCTCCAAAGCAGGCCCCTCAAGGGAACCACGGAGGCCTTAACTACGTCATCTGTAGTGTAGATTTATCGTTCATCAGTAACTGCTGAAGAAGAAGCTTGAAGGAGGCCCCCCTTGGCAGAAACCCCTGAGACATGTTCCCGTTCATGAGAGAGTACAACGGGCTCTGCCCTGGGTCGACTGCGATGGGTTTCGCGGCAATAAGCCGGATATCATCACCTACAACGAGATATTGATTGGAACAGGCAGTCTTAGCAAGCTGCAATCGTCCTCGCCCATCAACTATCGCATCGTACATTTCGTCAGCTCGGTGTTGTAGCGAGTTATCAGGGATTGTCGGATCTCTTGACCAAGCCCCACTGGGTGGCTGGCACGGTCAAGCCTCGGGTGACACCGGTGAACGTTCTGTGATCTGACGGACTCGTGTTTACTTCCTGCGTGGGAGACCCAGTTTCCAATGCCAGAGCGTCATACTCGGTGCGGCGACATGTGAGTCTCCATTCGGGGTTGATACATCGAATTTGCCCCTGGAATGGGTTGCGATTTTTCGTATCTGCCCAGAGCGTTACAACTTACCGTCCGCAGTTGATGCCTTGCCCCGTTTCTCTCCGCGGACCACTGAAGAGCTGTCAATGCTGACACACCCCAGCAACATCGGAGGATTAACGCAAACCACGATTGCCTTTTATACAGAAGAAGGCCGTGGCTGATCGCTCTATATCTACTGTTATTATGCTGAGCTTCAAATGGGGCAAGCGGTGACCCGAGGTTATGTTCGGTAGGCGGATCTCCGGAGCCGCTCCGTTCACAGAGTGGAGTCCCGGGCAGGCCAAGTGTCATGCTTCCGAAGCTGAGTCTTTTCCCCTTCTTTCCACGATTGGAACTTGGGCACTCGCAGCTTACGGAGGACCTGGTCGTCGAGGCGCCGAGAGCGGCCTAAGATGGGTCCACGTGCTTGACTCTTCGCCGAGGTCTTCTGCGGAATCCGTAAGGACGCAGGCTTCGAAAGTCCCTGACAGAACAGGTGCTTGTGCCTCAAGCGTGGTGCGGTTTGGGATGCAGAAGATGACAACTCTGGACAAACGGATAGACCGAACTCCGCGGCATATGCTGTCGCGAGTGCGATGCAGTCTGGAAGTGCGTACCCGATTATTGCTCACAACCTGCATTTATCAAGTGAGTGGATCCAGGAGAACGCATTATGGATAGATGTGCATTATGCAGCATTCTCTGCATCGTACCTACGGCGGCAACGGGGAGGAGAGGCTACGTCGGATGTCTCTGTCAAGGCGCGGATGGCATAATCGGCGTTTATCTTGGGCCTCGCGGCTCGCATCCGACAGTTCGATCAAACGCAGAATCATGCTATGCTGCATGGGATGTCTGGGATGCTCGAGTCGTGCAAACGTAGAGGAGCGAATCAGAGATGAAGATGGAAAGACAACTTGATTCTGCCGAAGGGTAGCGGTCGGAACGCCGCGATCAAGTCGTCTATTATGATATGAAAGTGACGATTCGCGTGTAACGACATGCTTCCGGATATTCCGGGATGGCCAGGAGTGTTACAAGAGTCGAGACTACCCGAGGCTATTTGTATTCGACTTCCGCTTCTACGTGCTTGTAGATATCGAGGCAGTAGGGTAAGGCTATCGAGTAGATAGATTATCATGCAAAGAGCATATTTGATGGGCTCGTCAAGTCCCAGAGGGAGGTATCCTATCCCAGTCAGCTATACAAACACGGCAAGTCTTCAGGAAATGTAGTGGCTCGCCTTATGGATACAGGAGCACACCTTGTTTGAACAAACACTTGAGATTGCGAGGTGGTTCGTGCTGGACGTCAAAGCTGGAAGCCACAATTTGGTTCTCATGGCCAGTCGCTTGACGATGAAGGCACATTCCTTCTGCGAGCTCTTGAATGATGCTGCCGCCTGGGGAAGACTGTCGCCTCGAGGGCACTGAAGCAGTCCATCTTCGCGTTGACGGACCCCCAGACCGTTAAGATCGGTACGGGATGTGCAGGAAGGTGGTCGAAGGTCTAGATTAGATCATATCTCAAGGTAGTATGTCTGCCTTTGAGAGGTACGGGCCGGACTTAGGCTATAAGACCTGTGTTCCAGCAACTGCAGCCACCCGTCATAACCTTCAAGGCTTCAACCAGATGAAAGAGTGCGGGAGTGAGCGAACATGAAAACAGGACCGGTTGGCGATGGACCTGAGACGACAGTGTTTGCTGTGCCCCTGAGCGTATCGCCCAAGACATGACACGCCGCCGTTCGTGTCTTCAGCACCTGTGACCTGCATGGGAGTGTGCCTTGGTGTACAATGCGAGTATGATGCCACGGTTTGACGAAGCGACCAGGAACGGCCATGTGTTCACACATGCCTACATGGACATGCAAGGAAGGCCACTCACAGTCCGGCAGATGTGTGCCAAATTAAGGAACAGAAGTCTGTGCATGGGTTGATGGGTCAGTACATATGTATAGGCCTTGGCACAGCTGGCTACGACTTCGGACTGTCGGAGTTGCTCACGTGGCTGATCATATTCGGCCGGGCCCCAGTACGGGTGGCCCATTGAGAGTTTGAGATGGCCATTGGACTCTGACAAGGAATTCAAGATATCCGCGATGAGGGGCATACGGGCTGGCATGGCTAGCCGCCCAATCCCCTGGGACGACGTGAGCTGCGAGCTCAGACGGATCAACGAGATGATTGTTGTTGTTTGAAGTGGTTATTACTGTAGACCAGATGGAGTCTGGAGTCTGGAGTCTGGAGACCGAGCAGATGGGACCTCCAGTCGAGAGGTAGGAGCTGACTCGTCGGCTACCTAGGTACTAGTTAGGTACCTGGCGAAACAGACAGCTCCTTCCCGCTCAACTCTACTAACTGCCAAAGTTTGTGCTAGCGCGTGCCATTTCGAGGTCTCATGACCTCTTTCGAGGGGACCAAAGCGCACGAATCCAGCCAGCCAGCCTGAATCCTCCATGCACCAGTACATGCATACATAAGGCACTTGTTATTATTATTATTATTGTTATGATGGATGCCAAGAACCGTGGAGTCGCGGACGGTTCCATTGAGTGGCCGGCACTAACCAGACTGCCAGACTGCCAGACTCGCTTGCTGGTGATGCATTGGTTGTGGGCAGGGGTCTGTCTCCCTCCCTCTTCTGCCTCTCTCTCATCATCGTTGCTGTTGCTGCCGTGGCTGTCGCTGTCTCTACGTGCAATGAAGTAATGAATAGAATGATCAGCTACTACAGAGAAGTGAGCGAGACTAGTCGTGGTTCCCTCATCTTTCGTCCTTCGTCTTTCCTGTATCATGTATGTACTCCAGTCTCCAGAAGCGCAAGTGCGGGGCAGCTAGGTACAGCTCGGACAGGCGTGAAATAAAAAGAGGAACCCTAATCGAAAAAAATGAGGGGTCGCGAAGTGGGCTGTGTGGACGTCACATTCGTGTTTAACTCGAGGCACCGGTACATGCACACGACACTCACACGACACTTCACACGTCCGATTTACCTACCACCTAGGTTCTGCTGTTTCAGTCACAATAACAATACAAGAACTAAAGGGCACGAGAAACTGTATTAGTCAAACAACACGGGAGAAGAAGAGCAGAGCATACAGTTGTATCCAACAGGTCGAATATCCGTATGACCAGGGCAAGGGGGGACAGCTTCGTCCATTTTGTAAGCAACAATGCAGGTCGACTCGCAACTTGCAACTTGCAACTTGCACCTTGCACCTTGCACCTTGCACACATACTTGTGCTCGACTTTGGCTGTCGAGTCTTCTTATTTTAACTCTCTCTTTCTCTTTCTCTCTCTCTCTCTCTCTCACTTATATAGCCCCTTCGCAAGTGCACGTATTATGCTATGCACTTAGAGCATTCATGATTTATCGTCTCTACTTGCGGCATGCCAGAGATAATTCAGACTTTCTATATACTTCTTCAGACTTATTATCTGTATTTCGTTATTATGTAGGGGGTAGTCGATTGTCCGGTAGTTAAGTGACTGTGTGGCTGACATTCCGTATCCCGGTATTCCTGTAGTCCCAGGTAGGTACAAGTAATAAGTACTCACCCTAGCAAGAAGAAGCATCGCTTTCTCTCTCAACAAGACCAGCTCAACGTTTAGTAAACACAGATAGTCGACTGGGCTGACTGAAGTCTACCACGCCAGGCAATGGTTGATATGGTGCCTTCATTTGCGTACCAGAACCACCCAGCCCAGTAGATTTCTGAGACGGATTGTACTTGCTACTTAAACCACCAAGGTACATTTGCACCAGAGGTTAAGGTTGCTGTAATTAATTACCTGAGGTACGTGTGGCCATGCTCACCCTCTTAGGTGCATATAATGGTCACCTGCAGCTCACCTTCCCACCTATGCAGTTACGCAGTCACGTCGTTGCATACAGCAACCCCTCCTCTGTCTGGTCACTGGTCAATCCATTCAGAGCAGACACAGTTACTCGCTCCCAAGGACTCAACCACCTGCACCTCGTTCGTTCATCCATTCCCCATCACTCCTACCTGCCCGCCTACTTCCGTCGTCCACAACCACAACCACAACCACGACTCCAACTACACTTCTGCTACTTCCGTCCCTCAACGCCGCCGACACTCGAGCCTTGTGCAGTTTGATTGTTGTAAGTGTTGCCTTGTCGACCATCCATTCAATTCCTCGACCATTTATATAATAGGCGCGTCGCAGTCAAGCAGTGGACTGACTGATTGTGGCACCGATTAGCGACAGCTCTGCAGCTCTGCATAGTCATACAGACCAGACCGCACCACACGGACACGCAGCAGACGCGGACAGCAGACAGCAGACAGCCCTGGACGTCTAGAGGTGAGTCTGCCCCCAGCACCATACGAACCTTGTCTGCAGCCGATGGCGATAGGCGCCGTTCCCAAGCTTCTCCCGCATGCCTCATGTCTCTCTCAATTCACATTTCACCCGCCATCCATTCATTCACTCATACAATCAAATACTCCGTACCTTCAGTACCTACAGTACAGTACAAGTACAATACGGCCCCTCATCCCATAAATAATGGTCTAGCACCGCCCGCCGACGCCTTTCCCTTCCCTTATTGCTCTTTGAGAGTACATGCCTCATTACCTAAAAAGCCCTTTTTTCAGGTCACGTTCCGTCATTCCATCACCCGCAAACCCCGCCAGAATCCCTACACATCCCTACAAAACCTCCGCCTCTTGCGATACCTGCCTGCCAGACCCAATTCTTCGACTTCCCGACCCCGGACCCGACCCTTCTGCTGCATCAACAAGTTCTAACCGCCCACGCATCTTCAGCAAAACAAAACAACTTAGGTGTCATTCGGTGCCAGAGATTCAAGATCCGATCTGCACCTCGCGCAGACAACGACGACACCTCTGCCCGCGACGACCAGACTCGGCCTGCGCAGTCCCCGTCCCCCTGCTGCTGCTCCCGCTGCTGGCTGCCACTGCTCCTCCGCCCACCTGCCCACGCCCACGCCAACTGACCCACCCACCATCCAAATCACACGCCGTCCGTCAATTGCGATCGAGACGCAGCCCGACCAATTTCACCCCTCCCCATCGTTGCCCAACACGGCGTTTCCGACTGCACCTCAGACGCTACCCGTCTCTGCTTGCTGACGCCTAGAGACGCCTTGGGTTGTAACATACTTAGTGCATCCAAGATTGAAAGCCCGCCATCATGTCGCAAAACCGCCCGACAGCGGCTTTCAATACTCTCAAAATGGGAGGTGAGACAGATTTGCCAAGCCCCGTTCGAGGAATTGAAAAGACCATACTGAAGGAGAACCTTCTAGACTCCGTCACGGAACAAGTCCAGGACGGCATCACCGGCGAGACGAGGGAGCTCAAGTACACGCAGTGCAAGATCGTCGGCAATGGCTCGTTCGGCGTCGTCTTCCAGACGAAGCTGTCGCCCTCAGGCGAGGATGCTGCCATCAAGCGTGTCCTCCAAGACAAGAGGTTCAAGGCAAGTTTCATTGTGCTGTAATGCACTACGTGTGTATCCTGGATATTCGCTAACTATTTGAGACAGAACCGAGAGCTCCAGATCATGCGCATCGTCCGGCACCCCAACATCGTGCAGCTGAAGGCTTTCTACTACTCCAACGGCGAGCGCGTGAGCATCGGATTCCAACCAGGTGGTCTCGCAAACATGTGCTAACATTATAGCAGAAGGACGAGGTCTACCTGAACCTGGTGCAGGAATTCGTACCCGAGACTGTCTATCGAGCCTCACGCTTTTTCAACAAGATGAAGTCGACCATGCCAATTCTCGAAGTCAAACTGTACATCTACCAGCTGTTCCGAGCTTTAGCTTATATCCACTCGCAGGGCATCTGCCACCGCGATATCAAGCCCCAAAATCTGCTCCTAGACCCCAACACTGGGATACTCAAGCTGTGCGACTTCGGCAGCGCCAAGATACTGGTTGAGAATGAGCCCAATGTTTCATACATCTGCTCTAGGTACTACAGAGCACCAGAACTCATCTTTGGTGCCACCAACTACACGACCAAGATTGGTAAGCCAGGTTTCTGCTTTTCGGGACCCCGACGTGCGTTGCTTACTATACCCCCCTAGATGTCTGGTCGACCGGCTGTGTCATGGCGGAACTGATGCTGGGACAACCACTATTTCCTGGAGAATCTGGCATCGACCAACTGGTGGAGATCATAAAAGTGCTCGGAACCCCTACGCGAGAACAGATCAGGACCATGAACCCCAACTACATGGAGCACAAGTTTCCGCAAATCAAGCCCCACCCGTTCAATAAGGTGTTCCGGAGGGCCGATCAGAGTGCTTTGGAATTGATAGCCAAGTTGCTAGAATACACGCCTACTGAGCGTCTCGGCGCCATCGACGCCATGGTTCACCCTTTCTTCGATGAGCTGCGTGACCCGAACACGAAGCTCCCGGATTCGCGGCACCAGAGTGGACACTTCAAGGACCTGCCCACGCTCTTCGACTTCACCAGACACGGTAAGTATTCCTCTGATGAGGTTATGCGCAGGCGTGTATATGCTGACTAAACGCTCGCAGAATTGTCCATCGCGCCGCAGCTGAACTCGAAGTTGGTACCAAGCCACATGAAGCCGATATTGGCGTCTCGCAATCTCGATATCGACAACTTCTTGCCCATGTCGAAGCAAGAGATGATGGCCAAACTGGACTGAGCCACCGCTTTGCGTGCGCTTTGTCCCTGACCATGCGTCACCGCCCGGATTGTCGCTGCTGCAGTCACTCGCTGACCGATGTCGCACATGGCTCACATACGTCGAATTGGTCTTTCGAGCGTGGCAAACCCGCAACGGCGATTCTCCGTCTGTCTCGGCGCATTTCAACTTGGAGCATACTGAGAGAGATCAAGAATAACGTGACGCGAAGGCTCGAGAATATTGGGTTCTCGACCAATATGGCGTTGTTATGGAAGATTCCAGGGTGTTGGGACTTTCGGGAACTCGCGACGTGTTTGGCCTTGGTATCTCGAATTTAGCGGCAAGGGCTGCCCAGCTGCTACGACATTCCTGGAATACTGAGTAGAAGGCACGGAACGACTCCCGGCGTTCTTAGACTTCTCCTATGCTTGACCGAGACGGAATTTGCTTTATTTATCTTGTTCGATTACTCGCTTTGTCCTTGTGGTGGGCGACCGCAGGGTGGCCGGATGGCCTCTCGGTGGTCTTCCGAGATATTCCCCGCACATGTCAAGGGGAAAACACAATGGCGTATATCTTATTTCGTGAGAGCTGGGGCGAGAGAGTGGTAACGAACGATACGCGCCACGAAGATGGAATATTGGTATTCCACCAGGAGCCATTCGATGATGCAGCAATGGTAGTTGGACTGGGCAGTCCTGACGGAATTCGGACATACCTACTAAAAGATTTTCTTTGTCATGCAGGACGTGTTCTGCCGTGCGTCTCTGATGGAAGAGGGGTTCGCAAAAGGGAGCACCGGCTACTACTGCCCAGTCGACCAGGGAGAGAGTCTGGCGCAACTGCTGCATAACAGCATGGAAGAGATCAACCGTTCAGACTAAGAAAAAATCGACATCATCACCCTCTACTTGATTCGCTTCGCCTTCGTTCTATGGTGATTGTTTGAAACGAGCCCCAGCTGTTGTAGTATGGAAGTAAGTTGCAAAAGAATAGGCTGGCTTATGCAGCTCAGACTTTGCATTTGCAGCTGCACCTTTGTCAATGGTTTCAAGGTTCTGGAGAGGTTCAAATATACCATCATGTATTTTCCAGGTACTAGGAGTTCAGTAGTGATGGCACTGATCGTGAGCGTATCCAGAGTAGACGGCGTGTACTGACTGTGACCGAATAGATTCAATCGGCTTCACGAGGGCTTGCCTTAGCCGTTCCAGCATTGAGTTGTGCAGCTAGAAGAGGTTATGTACGGTCTTGGTTGGTTGGTTGGTTGATTGATTGCCTTGATCCTGTTTGTCACCCCAATGTCTCGTCACACAAATACGATGCCTACTTGTCAGGGACGCCGACAGTGATCTTCCCTTCTCTTCATGCAGGTCACATCGGTACATATTTCTTCATCTGACCATGATAACTTAACATCAGAGAAAACACCAGAGGGCTGTCTATCACATTGGAAGACTGGGGTTAGCTACAGCTACAGCCACTCGGAGAATCCCATTACCTGGCTGCTCGGCAAAAGTGCCAGCGGGCGCCAGCTGCCGTGTCCTTCCCGTCTTAGCTGTCCAGCCGCAGCTCCGTCAGCTGAAGGGTACGTACCTATTTGGGACGGGAGGCTCCACAAGCCGGGCGCGTCGTTGCACCCATTCTGATAATAAGCTCGCGACACCAAGCTACCAGCTTTAAGCTCCCCATCCTCCTCCTCCTCCTCCTCCTCCTCAGAATCGTCTTCCTTTCCATCAGCATCATGGCGGACTACGACCGACGACAGTCTGGTGGCGGCGGCTACAATAATCGCAAGCGGCGCTACAGAGGTAAGGAACAAATTGCCGTCGCTTACCACTACCATCTACACATAGCAACATTCACATGCCTGGAAAGATTATGTGGGCCTGCGCTGACAATATGCTCTCCAGATGACGACGAGTACGATCGCCGGCCACAGCGCCGTCGCTACGATGCGCCGGTCCCAGTTCGCATACGCAAGCAACTGCTGGGCCTCGCCGAGTCTCCCCTTCGACGCTGGCACGAGGAGGTACAGTCGATCGCGCAGGTCATTGCCGAGAACTACGAGGAGCAAGAGCTTCGAACGAGCTTCCTAGACCTTGTGCCCCAGATGGTCATCGAACAACCGCTCAAGGTCCCCTTCGTAGCAGCTGTCGTACTGCTTGTCAACTCGATTAAGCCTGAGATCATCGACGAGCTCCTTGCTCGCGTCGCGAGCGATACCGAGGAAAAGGTCAAGGTCGGCGAATGGCGCGACGTGAAGCTCTACCTCAAGTTCCTCGCATGCTTACAAGGCTGCCTCGAGGGTGATGGCCTGTTCCCGCTGTTGGAGGAGCTCTTTAGCCGTGCTGTGGACTTGCAGACGGCCAGCTCCGACGATGTCAGTCTCAGTCCCGCGAAACTCACCTCTCACCTCGCTTGCTTGATCGGGTTTGCTAACCAGGTGACCACAGACCATCGGAACCGAACTAGTCAAGATCATCCTCCTCACCATACCGTATATCCTGGCAGCCGCCCCTACTGCGCAGTCGCAACAGAAAGCCGCCGAACTCATGGACAAGACCGACGTCATTGCCTCGGAGCCGCATGCTCTACAGGTCCTCATTGACCCTTATCATGTCAGCGATGGAAGCGACAGCCCGACGGCTAACATGAGTCTGGTTGGTCTGCTTCAGAAACAGCTCCAGAACGAGGCGACCAGCGGCTGGGAGCTCTCTTGTCTCCCCAGGCCGTGGCAGATGCCCCTCGAGGAGATCGAGCAGCAGGAGAAACTCGATAGCGCGCAAAAGCACACGCTACCCGGTATATCCATCCCCGAGAAGGTCATCACGGGCCCGCGCCCTTTGTTCCCCGAGGTCTTTTACTCGGTCTATGTGAACCAGGAAATCGCATCCGTTCCACCCGTCAGCAGCATTGCATCGTCCATCATTCGAGATGCGCTATCCGACACCATCAACATCCTACACTTCAACCGCAACGCCACCGCCCGATTTCTCATAGACGTAGACTGCTATTTTGCCCCGGGCACTTTCGTCAAGCGCGCTACACCATTCGACCGATTACGGGATATTGAGGGCGACCGTTCAACCTGGAAACCCGAGGACGTTGCCGTGGATGCCGTCTTCTCGCAGCTTTTTCAACTGCCGACCCCCGAGCACAAGCTTGTCTACTTCCATTCAGTTCTCACCGAGGCCTGTAAGATTGCCCCAGCTGCAATCGCTCCTAGTTTGGGTCGAGCAATCCGGTACTCTTACATGAACACCTACCGACTGGACCTTGAACTGACCTACCGTTTCCTGGACTGGTTTACCCATCATCTCAGCAACTTTGGGTTCATGTGGAAGTGGACCGAGTGGGTTGATGATGTGAATCTGCCGGATATGCACCCAAGCAAGGCGTTCATTATGGGAGCCTTGGACAAGGAGATTCGCCTCAGTTTTGCCCAGCGTATCAAGGGTACCTTGCCTGAGCCATACCAAGCACTGATCGGTCCCGAGAAGGAACAAGATACCCCTGAGTTCAAGTTCAACGATGACCGTAAGTCCACGTGTGCCCCAGACACCGCCAGCGCGCAACTAATATAGAGGCAGATACACCATTCGCTGCGGAAGGCAAGGAACTTGCCGCGCTTCTCAAACGCAAAGCCCCAGATGACGAGATCCAACCTGTAATCGATCGCATTCATTCTGCAGCACTCGACCAATCCATCGATCCTCTTGTCTCCAGCACCGACGTTTTCATGACGGCTGTGTGCTGGGTTGGATCCAAGTCCCTAAGCCACGTGCTCGCTTGCATAGAACGCACCAAGGACAGGCTCCTCGATGCTGGCGCAGCATCAGAAGCCGCAAGAGCGCAGATAATAACCGCAGTCATGAGCTATTGGTCAGCTCATCCAGGCGTTGCGATTAACATCGTCGAGAAGCTGCTGAATTATTCGATCGTTACACCTGCTGCCGTCATCGATTGGGCTCTAGTTAGCGATCGCGCAGGCCCGTATGGCGAGGCACTGAGCAAGGCTTGGGTATTCGAGCTGGTCTTCAACACTGTCGTCAAAGTCACAGGCCGCCTTCGCCAGGTTGTGAGTGGGGAGATGGGCGAAGGCGCGGTGGAGGAAGTTGCGGCAATGCGCGATCTCTTCAAAAGGATGGACGATGCCCTGGTCAGCTGGGCCCAAGGAACCAAGGACCAGATGATGGATCCGGTGGTGTCTGACGGCGGCGAAGACCTTGTCAAACGATGGGGCGAGAGATGGTTGCGAGTGTTCAGACGAAGATCGGCTATCGAGGAGTCCTTCTTGGCCGAGAGCAAAGTTACGGCTTGAGATGTATGACGTTGGCGAACAAGCTGTCAGGCCATCGCCAGACTGGCTAGGCACGATGTACCGAGGGCCGGCTACGCTTCTAAAAGGGGCATCTGATGGTAGCTAAGGGACTGAAGTGAGGCTGGTCTCGTTTCTGTAAAATAGCTACATTGGGCGTTTGATTCGCCTCGGCCAATACGAGCAATGATATCCATTAACATAGATCTGGGCGCTTCGTAAACGTAGCTCTGTCCCTGTTATCCCGCAGCTCTCGTTAACGGGATGATATAGCAAGACCCTACGCGCTGATCTGACTGGCCAACAGTCCAGAAACTAATCACTATTATCATTTTCGTAATCATCCGACTGTCGTCCCCCTCCCCACACTTCTCCTACTACCCATCCTCCTGGCCACGTACCTCCCCATCCCTCTCCTCCACGCTCTCCCCCTCCCCCTCTTCCTCCTAGAGACACGCGTAACCCTCCTACACACACACAAAACGCCAATATGCCCAGAGCTGCGAAAGCGACGGCGAAGGCGATGGCCAAGCCTATGATGGCGTCGCGGTCCGAGGTTGCGCGCACCTCGTCGCTCATCGGGGAAGCATATTCGCCACCACGGAGGGATGCCTCCTCCTCCTCCTCCTCCTCCTCCACGCATACGAACCGCAGACTAGCTATGTCGGCCGCGGTCGCGTGGCAGGAGTTGGACAGATAGACGGTGCTGCTGTTCGTCCGTGCGGAGGAGGAAGAGGAGGAGTCCGAGATACTGCTGCTGCAGTCTGGCTGGTCGTACAGGGTGAGTATGGCGAGGAGGGGGGAGTCGCATATCGCTATCGCTGTCGAGCTCGGCAGGGTGGTCAGTAGGGATTTTACGCTCTCGCCCTCGGCGGGAGGTGTGTTCTGGCACTGTCCTTCGTCGAGGTGGATTGCCGCTGTTGTTCCGTCGACGGACGTGTTGCAGTCGGGGTCGGAGAAGAGCTGTAGGGAGACGGAGACTGAGACTGGCGGTGCTGTGTTTGTGAGCTGCCGGTGTAGGCTGCCGCTGCTGGCTCGACGACCCATACTCATTGCGGATACTGTGGCGAGAGCTGGCAAGGTCATGGGAAGAAGAAGAAGCATTTTCACCGGCCCTGCTGTGGGTAGTAGGTATATTTCCCTGATCAATACGATGGACAAGATCGCATTTGTGTCGTTTGCGGGATGTGGATAACTACTTCATGGAGAAGCTCTCTCTCCAGCCTGAGCAGTAGTAGTTTGACCTTGACAACACATGCCATATATCATAGTTCGCCTGATGGTGGCAAACATTATCTTGCCGATATTCGGGCGGCGAACTGAGCCAGTTGGCAACGCCGCACTCTGGGGCGATACGAACAGCCCTGGTGTTGAGCAAACTGATATACAGTGGTGCAAAAGCGGATAATAGCGCTGCTGGAGGTACCTCGTGCCGTCCAAGTTCTTGTTAAGCAGGTAGTGTAGCCTCACTTTTGATATGGTGTTGAGGCATTGCGTCTGGGCGCGCTGTTGTTGGGCGTTTGGAAGCGAAGGCCAAGTCGAGGCTGTCGTAACATGAGCCTCGCTTGGTGCGCGGGTGCCATGTTGTATCGAATCGACAGGTAACATAGCGACATTGGGTACTTGTTAACTAGAAGCGATCTATTTGCTTTCGCTTCGTAGCAGTTTAAAGCTGGTGCCGTAAATTCACAACGATCGGAAAACCTCACAGAAGAGGACGAGGAACCATCCATGTTGCTATTGTAAGGGGTATCTCCTGATCCTGTAGCCCATCTAACCATAACCTAAGCCAGCCAAAATAAAAAAAGGAGGAAAAAAGGAACCAATAGAACCCAAATGACAAGTATAAGATGAGATGAAAGACGAAAGCATGAGTAGCGCTACAAGGCCTACAAGTTCTGCTAACAGAAGTGTCAATCACGGCATCCCATACCAACCATTTAAGTCCCAAAGGTGTACCTACAGTGTGTTTGCCGGGGAATCGAACCCCTTCGTCTTGAGAAACCCAGGTGAGAAACCACTAGACCACAGCTGCAAAGCCATTGTATCAACAATAGCTTTTGTTCTACTTCATATACCTTCTACTGCTGCGCTGTACATTCCCTGCAGCGGTACATTGGTACCTAAGGCCAGCAAACAAAAATCACCTGCACCTGAGTGCGACCATTTGTTTGCCGGACCGATAGCCCTGCCCTTCTAGCTTGCCCAGCGAGGCAGGTAGAACTTCATGTTTTCGTACACCAGGAACGTCACCCACGTGGCAGGCATGACGCGCACCACGCCCGGGACGATGCCGCGGTAGAACCCGCGCCACCCCTCCTCCCGCCACGTCCTCCTCACCACACCCCGGATACCCCGCCCGAACCGCTCGTCGGCGTTGTAGTTCTGGAGCCGGCTCCGGATGACCTGGTACGGGTAGGTGACGGCGCCAGCAACCAGCTTGGAGATGCTGGAGATGACCAGCGTAGCCTCGTTGCTGAACCTCTGTGGCTCCTGATCCCGATTGCCTGATGACGATTTTCGGACCCGCGCAATGTACATCTTCTTCAGCGGGTCGTAGACCGTGAACTGCACGGCTCCGTGGGAAACGCCGAACAGACTGATGCCCAGGCCGCGGTAGAACCCCCTCCAGCCCTCGGTCTTCAGCAGCTGGGCGGCTCCCGCCCACATGCTGGGATATGCGCCGGCCGCGCCGCGGTTGGATGACAGCATGCGTGTCTTTAGGACCCAGACCGGGTTGGTGATGGCTTGCGTGAAGATGCCCGCCACCGCCGAGGCGACGAAGTAGTCCTGCGGCGATAGCGAAGCGGCATCGCTGCTGCCTGTGCCTGTCGGGCCTTTGAGGTTCAGGATTGCTTGCTCCGCCCGCGCCTTGAAGAAGAAGAACGAGGCCCAGCTGGATGCATTGCCAATAAGGTTGGGTGTGAGTCCCCTGTAGAGAGCTGCGATGGGGTGTGGCGTTCGCGTCAGAGTGCGAAGCAGTGATATGGTTGTTAGGCTCTGCGGGTTCGCTGCACTGCTTCGGTGAACTGGTGAGCTGTCAGCTTATAGATAGCTCTGGGATGAAGATAGCGGTTCATGGCGCACTCTGCATCCGCGTCTTCACGATGTCAAGGGGATGGACCGCAAGAGTGGCTACCGATCCGGCGGAGAGACCCGCGATGGTCTCGACGAGGGCGGGTGAGATGCCCGCATTGTCTGGAGTCATAGAGACGGCGGATTGTATTGTAGGTGAATTACATTATGAAGCCGTCGAGTGCATCAGGACGGGATGCTGTCGGATGGACCTAAAAGCATGACATCGTCGCGGATGAGCTTGGAAAATCGGGCCGTGCAGTTATCCAGTTATCCGCTTTTTGACTCCATGACGATAAGAGCATTACGACTCTTATCGTCAGTATAATTCATTTAGACCATGTTAACTTTCGCATATTGAAGGGTCGCCGTCTATCGAGACCTTTTTTATGAGCATTTTGACACCAACTCAGTCATCCTCCAAGATCCATCACGAGGAAGCCGACGAAAGCTGCAGCTTGTGACGCACAAGTGACTACTGTGACCATGTCTGCCACGAAAGAAACGACCACCCAGGAACCCGAGACACCCAAGGTCTCCATAGTCGTGGAATTCTCGTCAGTACGCCCCCCCCCCCCCAACCGAGCCCGGACCTCTGTTGGATCGGAATCCTCGTGGAGAGATATTCGAGCTTGTTCTTACAGCTTCCCCGATTACCCTTTTACTGACGGACTGTCAGGGGTGGACTCGAGATGCTCTTCTCAGACCAGCGTCGCCATTCGCTGTCGATACCAGCTACGGACAAGGAGGGCAAGGCGGTGACCATATCGTACCTCATCGACTACCTGTGCAATCGTACGATGAAGGACGCGCGGAAGGAACTATTCGTCCTCGACGACCATGTGTAGGTGACATTCATCTCGTTCTAAAACCTGCGTGGCGCTCTTCTTACCTAGGTTGCTCCCGGCATATGGACATGGACCGGGCCGCGTCGCTGTCAAACGCACACGCACACATCTCACACATCTGGTCCAATGTGCATAGCAAGCGGGCTAACGTTGTACATTCCAGCCGGCCGGGCATCCTGGTCCTCATCAACGATGCCGACTGGGAGTTGGAGGGCGAAGAGGCCTATGAGCTCCAGAATGGCGACAATATCTTGTTTGTCTCTACGCTGCATGGAGGCTAGCCTGGTCTGCCTGTCTATCTATGCCACTGATCGCCATTCAGTCGCAACGTCGCCCGGAAATCATAGTCGTTCTACTCACCCCCCTTTCACTTGTTACTTGTTACTGGTGCGTCACGCTCGCTGTAAGGGGCAGGATTAGCCTTGCACGCAATGCAAGCCACACCACTAGCCGACTTTCAGGTGTTCACCGATACGTACGCATGAGACATTGCTTGGGTCGGTTGCTTTCAAGCGCAGTGCGAGATCCTGCAAGTAATGGGAAAGCGGTTGGCTCGAATGCGGCGTGTGCCATCACTGCCGGGTTATCGTAGCCCTTCACGAAGCCATGCGTCATCCTCTGACCGCGCGCAGCTGTCAGAGGTCAACGCCGACGGGATCGAGAGGCTCGTGGCGATTCGCGAATGATTCATGGCGCCTATCATTCACTATCGTCTGCGTGTGGCGCTTGCATGTCCCATCCGGATGCTCCCGCGGATCGACCAATGCACCAGCAACGCCAATGGCAGTGGCGGTGAGGCTAGTTTTTGATCTCTTGTTCCGTTTCTTGTGATGGGTGCTCGGCCTACATGGGGGAGGTGGCCTCGGCCGTCTCATTCGTCGGCTCCCAACGAGTCGTCCAGAAAGAGACGCATGCAGAGGCGGACGGGAGAGCAAACTCACGCCGTACATGCATCAGACATCCACGAAATGTCAAGTGAAGCCACCATTCAGAATACCGAGAAATTGCGTTGCTGTGCCGGTTTTTCAAGTCCCGTTCGTCATCCTTTGCCGGTGCCGGACGGTTGGCATGATGCGGCCAGCGATCCCCAGTTGATATGTGACAGATTTCCTGTTTGCTTGCTTGCTCGCTGCGGAAGGCCATCTGCGGAGTCTCTGTTCTGGTAGGAAGGAGGGTGTTGTCTTCAAACGATGATCCTCACGGGACCACACTGAACAGGATATCGTGTGAATCACCCCCATGAGACAGGCCGCGTAAGTCAGCGCAAGGGGGTCTTCACAGGCGGTCTATCGCAAGCCACAGCCCGTATCGCGGGGCCCATGTCGGCATAGACAGCCGAGTTCATCGCGGCCCGATCATAGTAGAGGACATAGAGATCTCAATGTGTGAGCGAAGAACTTCTGTTCCAAAAGAAATAACGAGCAAACAGACTAGCTGCCAATATTGTGTCGCCGTGCACGCGTACTTTCTACCTGCGAAGCCGTTGCCTGACTGCTGCCGTCGCGAAAACCACTTTGCCATCCTGGATGGTCTCGTAACCTCCATAACACGAGAACAGGATCTCTTCCGCCTTGCGCCGTTCCAAAAGGTCTGATAACCTCGATGATGCTGCCGCCGTAAATCAAGCTGCCGCCCCCATGTCTTTTGGTCGCAATGTGCAATGCTTCTCCATACACCAACCACCATGCAGCCGCTTCCCGCTTCGTGACATCGCAATAGGGAGTATAAACAAAACAGACTGCCAGACCTAACCAAGTACAATCCAGCAAGAACCAATAGACTATTTAAACCGAATCATCGTCGACTTTTGTTGAAAATTTGCAGACAGCCTGGCCCGTCGCACCGGACATGCTCGCCGCGTCTCGGCAACACCCAGCACGAATGTGAAAATCAGAGTTCCTCCAGGCCCGGTGAAGGCGACTGAGATACCTCACCCCCATGGTATGCGCAACGACCCGTAAATGGACAGATGACCACTAGCCTCGACGACCCCGTCGCCTCTCCGTAGTAGAATGGATCTACCTTTTCGCGCCGTTTGATTATCTGACGTCGGTCCAATCAAGACCTTGCCAGTAAAGATGAAGAATATTGAAACGTGGAAGATGAGATGAAAGATGTGAAAAAGCCTCGCCGTGCCTGCTGATGTTTGTTTGGTATTTGGAATTCGAAAACGTGCCGCCCCGTGTGTCGTCGATTGTTGTTCAACCCACTTCGTGTACTTGTGGGCGTTCAACATACTAGAAGATCCTCGGATCAGGTAGACCCTCTGGTATACCGTAGCTAGCGAAAGTACATCCGGTCCTGGAATGCATCCTCGTAGAATGGTCCCGGAGTACCGACGGGCGTCATGGTACCGCTGGAGACGCTGGCTTGGTCCATGTCAATACCGGTATCATACTGCTCATAGCCGTGCTCGTAGCCATAAGGCCGACGTGACATCATGGTGGTCCCTGGCATCTCATAGTGACCGAACGGCGCCGCGGGTAGAAGGCCGTGATGGGGAGTGAACGAGGCCTGTTGGACGTGGCAGGTCTGCTGCCCAGAGAACTGAGTCCGGACCACAGGAGGGGTGTCGATGCGGGGGTATTTGTTGCCCTTTCCACGTCCCGCGATGCCCTTGTTGCTGTTCTTGAAGGTCTCGGCGAAGTACTTGAGCTTATCACGATGAGCTTCAGGCACCGGAACACCGGTTCTCTTACACTCGTTGTACATCCTCATGTACTCCTGCACCTCTTTCTGGTGGAACTTGTTTTGGTGTGTCTGCAAGAGTTGCTCAGGTTAGTACGGTGGACATGCAGGTCCAGCCATAGGTGGTACAAACCTTCAAGTTTCCACGTTGGCTGAAATCCTTGCCGCAGCCTAGGTGGCAGTAAAACCGCTTCTCCTTCGTGTGCGTGTTCAGGTGAGCTATCAAGCCCCCCTTTTGCACAAACTTCTTTTTGCAGCCAGGCATTTCGCATGCAAACGGCCTCTCGCCGGTATGGCGTCGCATGTGAGACTTGTGGTTCCCATGCTGGGTGGAAAGCTTGTTGCAACCGGGCCAAGGGCATTTCTAGATTATGTTGTCAGTCACGCATCCAGTAGCGAGCAACAGCAACGATGGGGCTCTCTTACCCACGGCTTCTGCCCAGCGTGAGAGCGCAGGTGGGTTTCCAGATGCGAATTCTGGGCGAATCTTTTACGGCAATTATTGATCGGACAGGTGAAGCGCTTCGCCTTCATCCTTGTACCTCTGTCTACCGACTTCTCCTGGCTCGGGTCACAGTGGTACCTGGAATCCTGCATTGCCTCGTCGTGCGACTGTAGAGGACTAGTAGGTGCTCCAGGAGGGGCTGACTCGGTTGCCTCTACCTCAGGCTGTATTGCCTTCAACAACTCGTCGATGGGGGTGTCGAACGTCGCCTCCTTGGTGTTGGTTGCTGCCTCGTTCAGGGCGACTGTCCTCGAAGGCTTTTCCTGGCTCGAAGCCAGGGTTCCGTATTGCCGCGCTGGTATCATCGGCTCGTTCTTGACGACCGGACTCCGAGACTGCTCTTCAGCACGGGACTGGCGAGTTCCAGCTTGATACGCAATCTGTATGTTCAGGTCATCCGTCGGGACCACGCGGGGTAGCAGATGCTCCTCTTGGTGTTGCCTATAGGGTAGGGCAGTCAAGGCCGATGGTGGAGCCGTGTAGCTGTTGTAACCGAAAGGGGGTTGGGAAGGGTAATGTGACGGATGCATCACCATCACTGGTGACATGGCATAGTGCTGCTCCATGCCGAAATTTCCCGCCAATGCCGGTCGTGGAGGGGGAAGCGTGGCAACTGGCTGCGAGTTGTACTGCATCAGACCACAGTGGTTCATCACGGCATATCCAGAGTTGTGATTTTGGTACGGAGGCCATGGCGCCCAGGCCACGGTTTCCGACTCGCGTTGGCTGGCAGTCACGGCCATCTTCTCAACGGATACAACGGTCCTGTCTGTCACGGGAGACTAGTTGTAGGTTGGAAGAATACGACGATGTTGTCGACTCTGGGTAATCGGTTGCTGGTAGTCCCAAAGGAGAGGCTGAGTATAGTCGATATGGGGTGGCACTGGACTGGTCGTCACTGAAAGTAGAAAGCAAAGGCAACCGTCCCGAGTATGAAGGAAAGTGAAAGCCCGTAGTTCAATAGGATCGTTCGAGTAATCGCCTTGTTTCGATGACTGCCAGGGCTAAAACCGAGATCTTGGTAACGATCAACACGGATCCAAGATCTAGGGCATGAGGGCATGAGGGTATGAGGGCAGTATATACACCGGGACGAGATCTGGGGGGCAATCGACCGGATCTGCTCAGTGAGAGAGATCGTGGGTACATGGGTACATGTGTACCTCATCAGTCTGGCGAGGCTTGAGTATGGGTGGATATGTTTGACGGGAGCTGGAGCTGGCCGAGTAAATACCTACCTGTTATGCTCACACCTCATCTTAGAGACCCTCATCCCCCACCCCGGCCACATTTTGAGCAGGCTGATACGTATCAGAGGGTGGTCGAGAAGGGGTTTTGCACTAGGTTTGAGCCTGCCGCCAGGGAGGCCACAACAATGACAAGTGACAGAACTCGGACCGGCAAGTCTTCTTGGGCCACCAATGCTCATGGCCACTCTTCTCTCTGTAGGAAAGTGTCAGTACGATTTGCCCATAGAATGATGGCGGAGAAAAAGTCGTAGCCAACCACGTGGGACGGGACTGACACATCTCGCTGGCGTGAGATACACGCCATAGCGTTTGGACAGGACTGTTACTGCTCTGTTACTGCTCATGTCTCCCGAGTCCTGACTGTACGTCTTCTACCATAGCACGATCCACCAGTGGTGTGGGAATCCGCAGTAGGTGAGAGACAAGGGTGTCTTAGGGCAGGCTGGCAGGGGACAGGCAAGCTAAGAAGCCTGACATGAAATCCATCCGGGATCTAGGGTCTCAAGCCAGATGTGCTGGCCTGACGGCGATGATGACGATGGAGTTGAAGATTCCCGAGGTGGGACTCGTGGGAGAGGCGGGTGGAGGCGGGTATTCCGCGAGGTGGGTAGTCAGTCTAGCGCTCTGAGCAAGACAAGCATCCCTGCCGCTGGAATGTACCTGCCATCGCAGCAAGCCTTAAGTCACAAGTGGTGGTGTGGTGGTGTGGTGGTGGTGGTGGTGGTGTCAGGCACCAATAGTGCCAATGGTCTAGTCCTAGAATGAAGTAGTCCTAGAAGACAACGGGTCTATCACTCTCTTGGCTACCTACCTGATTACCATTTGCCGAGCAAATCCCATGCTTTGAGCTCGACTTATGTGGTTTAATGCCAGATCATGGCGTCGAGACCTGGTGTAAGTCTCATCGCCATTTCAGCAGCTAGTACTGCTGTATCTCTAGCTACGTCCTATTATTAGTCTCCCAACTCACTTCGTAATGGTAACTATGGTACTGTGGTAACTAGGGGCGTGAGCTTGGATGTCCCGTGGGGGTGTGCCCGGGGTCTGGATTTCAGATCTACTCCAACGCGGCAGGGATCATAGGACCAAGATGAATCAAAGGCTGGAAACAACTTGAACCTTGAACCCAACAAGCCACCATCAATCAGAGTGACAAACTGGGCATCTCCATTGAGCTCTGCCAACTGCTGCTCCCCTGGGCGATGTGGATGCCGAATGTGTAAGTCTCGGTGAGACACACATAAAGGGAGGGTAGTTCGTAGTTCGTGCTGTCAATAAAGGCAACGCGATGGGGTGGTACGGCAAGTCAACGGCAGCCCACCTGACTTAAGTATTGTTTAGGTATTGTGCTCCCGTCTATCTCGACCCTTTGTGTCACGACTTCCCCGGATTCTCTGCGAAGGGGCGTAAAAAAGCACTTCAACAACAAACCGTTCAGCGCCGTTTGAACTCTGGAGAGTGAGAGGCTCGGACTCGATGGTGGTGTAGGCCATGGCGTGAGCCACCCGGCCAATCCGTCAAGACTGTCAAGGTCGAGTGGTCTCGGGTGCATGCATTGGCACGACTGGGTGGTAAGGTAGGCAGGTATCAGCCCCAGGCCCCTCTAATTCCGCTGCCGTGGGTCGATGCAAGCCACTTGCATCTGATCGAGTTTCCCCTGGCAGGGACTGCGGACTGGCACTACGACCCAATCTGCCTTTTCGTTGGGTGTCTTTTGATCGACGACGTGAGGACGACGGAGCGGCGTATGGCCGCACCTAGCAGCAGCAACACTCACTCACCACTGTACACGGAATGTGATATATCATTTCCTGGCGTCTATTCCGCATGCATGGCGGCATGAGAGGGTGACCAAGAGACGCACTGGAGATTGGACGAAAGATGTGTCGTGACGGTGAGCAATGGCGTACTAAAGAATAAAAGAAGTGAGAGCGGTTTTCAATAGGTTCATTATTATTACGACAACAGCATGGGCATGGGCATTTTACCGGTACCAGCTGGACGGTTTTGGGCGATCATCCCCCCGGTCCATCCAGATTAGGTGCCGTGTCTTTCTCTCGTCCCGGCCATTTCCTACACTACTATTGCCCGCCGTTGATGATGAGAGACGGGAGTTCGTCTCACACAACGAGTAAAAGTACATGTAGCAACTAGAGTCTCCAGTTATAGGTATGCGATCCGTTCCGCCGCCAACTGGACTGCCGCGAAGACTAAGGTTATGGGGTAGCTATAGTAGCGGCTATAGTATGTGGTGAAAGCAAGCATCACCGCTGTAATAGGTAGTCCGGCCCTAGCACTACGGTCAACTACTGTAGATGCCGTCGTGCTGGTGCAACTTGCAGTAGTACGGACGTCTGCCACGGTGCCACCCGCACGTGCATAACCGTCTGGTCAGCGGTGGGCTCCTCGAGATTGGACGAGAACCTCTTCTTCCCGGATCACATGATACGAATGACCTGCCCGTACATAGTCTTGTTCAGTTGGGACACGGGAGCATACATTGGCCGTTTATTGTCTAAGGTCTTTTCTCGCCATCCACAGAGACTCGAGTCTCAGAACAACAACTTACGTACCTTACAAGACATCACGCCGCAAGGGAACCCGTCTACGATGCTGGTACATGATACCGGATAGACCCCCGAGCTGTTGATCGCCAGCCACCTGCACCTTTCAGTCATTGGACAGGTGACAGTACTACCTAGAGGCGGTCAACTCATGTGCCAGCATGACTTGACGATGCGCATTCCCAGTGGGTGCCATGGTTGCGAACTTTCGACGCAACGCTGCCACTCTCCCGCACCATCCCTGCGCTGTGCAGGGGGGAAGGGAAAATCTCCATGGATACTGTGGAAATCCCACCCTCAGCGTTACCACATAGGGCATGAATCATGAAACGTCGCCGGAGGCACACGGTACCGAAATCAATCAGATATCACCTTGGTCGGATCCGAACCCAACCGCGACGCTGCCCAACGAACCGCCTATCGTGCAGTTGCAAAATCTCCGAGATCCTGGGAAACAGAACATTACCGACAGATGAACCCACCTTTCCTCGCTATATGTGCCCGAACAGTATAATCATCGACAGCAAGGATGATTACACCAGGTCGAAAAATACCCCCTCCCCTGCGCATCCAAGGCGAAAATCCTACAACTCCCTGGAGGACATGGCAGGCTTTCCATTCAGCTGCCCCTCTGAGCCTCTCAGCTCTAGTCACCTAAGCTCGCTCGCCTCGTCGTGGCGCTCGCTGTGGCAAGGGCCGTTACCCACGCAGCCATGGTGATGCTAGAGTCGGGGGGTTGTAGACGGGATGTTTCGGAAGCTTGATGAAGCTCTATCTCGGGCTGCCCAGGATGTCGGAAATTAGCGAGAAGATGCATTGCCGGGCCGCTGTCATAATGCGCCTGGTATATTATACGGAGAAAGATTATTAGCCAACCAAAGGAACCCCGTTAGATCTGGGACGTCGCCACTGGCCAACTGCAAGGTACAGATGATGATCGTCTCCATCCCGCATCCCAAGATCCAGCGTCGCCTCACCATCTCGGCCTTTTTGCGCGGCAAGCGCAAAGCCAGGTACTGAGATACTGCGTTTCAAAGACATATTGCTCGAAACATACGTATGCCCATACGGAAGCTCGGGACGTATCCGCCTAGTATGCATGCTCCCAGGTTGATGTGCAGTGCTAGACGATCACACCAAAGCAGAATACTTGCACCTTGAGCTGGTCGAAGTCACTTATGCGGCAACGCGCGGCAACTCCAAAAGCTGGAACAAAAGGGTTACCACGGTGTGTCAGGCACTCTATGAAGGGCTGATGATAATCTATTAGGATCACGCAAGGAACGAACCATGGGGACGGGAAGTGGCTTTCATGCCGCGTAACGCGATCTTGCAGCACAAAAGGACTGCCGAATCTACATGAGTATAGCTAACTACCACCTTAGCCACCTTCCCCTACGATCCCCCCCCCTGCGAGTGAGGCTTGCGCGCAGCTCAGTTCTCATAATTTTAGACGGGTCACGTACTGCCCGCATTTGTGTGCCTCTCGCAAAACTCCCCCAAATGAGACAAGCACATCGTCCCGACGCAGCCAAGGGTACCATCAGGCGGGGAGCGGGAGCCGCCCGGAATAAGAAACCATACGATGTTCCCATCTCCTGGGTAGATCCACTGACCGCTTTTGGTTCTTGAACACGCAATACAATCCGCATAACTCATGTCGTGCCCGCATCGCGGCATCGGTAGGCAGATATGCTGCAATATATCGCTGATCGATCGAGCGGAGGCGGCATTGCTTCTTAGATCGCAGGGCGTTCCCCTCCTCATAACCCACTCCATGACCGTGGGAACATGGCTTACATAGAACCATCGTCAGATGGATGGTGGCGGATCAACCTCCGGGTCTTGCATCTGGGGCTTGCAGGCGTGCCGTCCTGTCAGAAAATGACAGATAATGCGGGGGCAGGTCGCGGTGCGCCTATAACAAGAGAGGACGATGGCCAGGGCCCCCGATTAGGAACTGGCCATCTCCTCCTCCTCTGACCAGTGACATGGACGCCGAAACCCCCGCATGGACTACATTCTCACCAGCCTTTCGGAAGTTTGCTCTCTGGTGTGCGGAGACCACCTCCCAGCCCCGCGAGGGTAGCTTCCTGCGCCATCCCCGTACTTCAGGTCGTCTCAGAATACCTGGAGCGGTGCGCCCCTGAATTAATAATCGGGATATTGCAAACAAGACAGGGGATCATGAACATTCTGGAAGGACTCATGGATGTGATCCTCCGCGCATGCGGTCGTGACTCGTGAGAAGGGTTGAAAGGATTGTTTGATGACAGGCCAGGACAGGACAGAACGGCAGCCAGGGTCACGCAAATAACCAATAACCCATGCTTCCATTGGGCATCAACCAGCCTCCAGGGACAAGGCTACCACGGGCGTTTCGTAGGCAGCGCACTGGGCGCTATTGTGAATATTGATTCGCCTGCAGTATTTCCCCCTGCCTACCTATCTCGGCCATCACCGGCTAGTGCAGAGCAAGAGATTCATGGATCCGGGGTCAGCTCGGCATGACCAATAGAGGCTTCCCGGATGCATACCACCTGCAGTGACGAGATATGGGTGTTCCTAGGAGATGGGCATTGCTGTCCAGCGCAAATACGCCGGAACTATCGACCACCACTTGCCGTAGGTGGTCACATGCTGTAGAGGGCTGTCCGGGTCACAGTCGGGACTGAGATAGCAACGTGTAAACGTGTAAACGTAGTCTCTTCGCGATTTTCATTCGGGTATCTATCTGCATTTGCCTTAACTCTTCACTGGCCAAATCTGCAATGAGCTGCAAAAGGCGGTGACCAACTCCCTTTTGCCTGTGGTAGGATTCGTGGATATTCACGTCCGCGTGCGCCTTCACCGCCACACGCCACATGCTGTCACAAGCTTCCAACTCCCATCAAGCCCTATCGAAAGTCGTACGATCACACGCATTGCCGTGCATCATTGTCATAATCCCGAAGTGATGATGCTTGCCTGGGTGACCCCCACGATGTTCGGCTGCGTCGCCTTCGGCACGCGGTGAAAAAGCCGCTCTTAGTATAGGCCGAGTGGCTGCTGTGACCTGTCACGCGACTCTGCTGCTTCGCCAGTCTTCGCCCGCGGTCTGGTCTCCCCAGTAGCATGAAGTAGCTACTCGTAGAGAGCAGAAACTGGTCATGCGAGTATTATGTCCACAAGCTCCATAACACGTCCTTCACGCTTCAACGACCATAGCCTGAGGCAAATCCAGGCGGCGGCGGAGGAGCACCATTACCCGGGGGACCAAAGCCAGGAGGTGGCATTGGGCCTCGGAAACCACCTGGGTGGAAGTCAGCGGGACTTCCATAGCCGCTCTGGACGGGAGGTGGTCGCGCTGGTAAGCCTGATGGTGCCGGAGGTAACGCGTGTGGTTGACCCATGCCCGGGCCCATGCCTGAACGCGGCGGACCTCCATTCATAGCAAACTGAGGAGGAGGAGGGCCACGGTGGTGGCCGCCAGGTGATGGAGTAAAGCCGCCAGGTGATGGAGCGAAGCCACCAGGTGATGGAGCGAAGCCGACTGGCCTCGGTGGAGGAACTCCAGCAGCCATAGATGGATCGAACCCGCCAGTGGCCATCGCAGGTGGTACAACAGCAGCCGGAGGCGGTGCGGCTTGGGTTGGGGTTTGCAGCAGTGCCGGCGGCATCGGTTGCGTCTCGACTGCGACATTGTGCTTCTTAGCCTGAGCGGCGAGCATTCGTTCGGCCTCGTCTCCATGCCGTTCGCCCTTGCCGTCCTTCTTGTATGCGTACTGCACGCTGACATCCTTGTTCATGAGAAACTGGCCGTTCATGTTGTTGATGGCATCATCGCTGGCTTCAAAGCTGCTGTAGCTGACGAAACCATATCCCTTGCTGAGCCCATTGTCGTCGCGCGCAACCTTGGGAGGGGCTATGAGGGTTCCGAAGCGGCTGAATGTGTCGTATAGGATCTTCTCGTCCACCATGGGGTCCAAGTTTCCGATAAATAGCTCCGCGCCAATCTCCAGGGGCTTCTGCTTGTCGGCGGAGGCCTTGTTGACTCGCAAGGCTTTGCCGTATAACCGTATGCCATTCATGATCTTCGCGGCGTAGTCGGCATCGACCTCGCCATTAAACTCGACGAAACCGAACCCTTGGTGCGACTGGGAGACTCGATCCTTGGGCAAGTGGACGTTCACGACGGGCCCTGCTTGGACCATCAACTCCCAGATCAGCGCATCGGTGGCGCGCTCGTCGATGTTGCCCACATACACGGTGGCTTCCTTGTCCTGCTCCCTATGCATCGCCAAGGTCAGTCGGACTTGAAGCTTGCGACCAGCTGGGGATGGGAAGAGAGCTTACCAGTGTTTTGCGCCCGACATTGCGACAGAATTGGCTTTGTGCTGTTGTTGGCCTCTGTCTCTCTATTAAATATTAGGGGATGACGAAGTGGAATTTGTACTGTTTGTTTGGTGTTGTCGCGAAGCAGCAGCCTCGTAGTAGCCTTGAGCTGGGCAGTGGGCACTTTTTTCTGGAGCTGAGGTCCGGAGCTTAGCCGGCCTTGTCGATTACCTTATCCACCCTTAATCGGTTAATCCTACTATCGGGGCGCCGGTGTCTGACCCCCGGGACGTCCTTGACTTTTCTGAGAACTTCATGGAGCTCCATGACCCTTCCTGTCATCGCCAACGCCAACATCTCGAGCCGCGCAGCAGCAAAACCAAACGTCGCAATCACATATTCCATTCTCTGAGCGACCGCCGCCAACCCCCCGAATAGTCAGCCCAACATGTTCACTCTTTCCGAGGAATCCAAGGTAAGGGGGGATCATTAATTCATAACAAGAGCGTATCGTAGTTGACACAGCAAACAGGAGCGCATTGGAAAGCTCATTGAGGTCTCGCGAGTCGCCATGCACTAGTAAGCCCAGACATCGAATCGGTTCTTGGACATTCTCATCTGACCTCGCGCAGTGGCTACCTGCCGTTAATCCTCTACCTCGGTATGCCTCGACTCCCTCCCAACCTCGACAGATCCTACCTCTCTCTGGGACCGACCTGAGTCTGACTGAACTTGCAGGCTACACCCGCAGCGACCCGAAGCCGTCCGTTATCAGGTAGGTTTTTCATACGAGGGTCATAACAGCATGCACGGCAGCTAATAGTGCGTTAGACTTCTGTCTCCTCTTTCCTAGTCGGACACGCAAAGTGAACCGGACGCAGACGGCTGCATTGTATATTGTACATTACGCATTTGATACACTGGCGGTGGAGGGACGGCGAACGTCTCGAGGCACGATACAGGCGGGACTGGCGTTTGAGCACGCTTCCGTCGCGACCATAGGGGGCCGACGCCAAAATCTGGGCGACTGTAAAACACAACCATTAAGGAAGACCTGATACCACTCATCAACCCGAGAACCTCGTGAGCATGACCTGGCTACGTGAACCCTGGTGGTATACAAGCAGGGGCAAGAAAAAGGTATCATCTATGATGCGTGGAAGATCACGAGCAGCAGAGATCAAAGACTGCGGGGGGCCATGCAACGCCCATCAACAGAGCTCTGGCCAGTCCAGCTTTGTCTCTCATAGTCTGCGTCTCCAGATCAGTCCTGTATAGCGAAAGCAGCTGCTATTAGACCTCGCCGGACATGAAAAGCACGGGACGTGGCTCTTGATATGCCTTATCCAGTGACTGCTAGTCTCAAGTACGTGTCCCGAGATTGACTAGCTAGGAGCTGCCAGTCAACGTGATGAGCAGTGACCTTTGGGGGGTTCACGTAACAAAGGCTGCTTGCTGGCTTGTCGTGTGCGACCATTGATTCGCCCGGTAGACCACCTAGACCACCTAGACGCCATCACAAATCTTAGTGCCTCGAGCTCAAGAGATATCTAGGGACATCGTAGTAGGTTAGATGGTCGATTCACAGCAACAAAGTGCAAGCACTTCGAAGTGGGTACCGGTCCAATATCGACGGCGACCTTTCCCCAGCTGCTTTCGAGTAGGAATGCAGTCTCACACAGGGTCAAGTTTCTTACTTCGTCGTCTTTATATGGCATGGGGATCTTTCAAAGGCCAGTGGTAACCAAACTTTCTCCCTCCAATCTCTGATGGCCGTTCAGAGTTATATGCTTCGCGAGGGATTTTGCATACGTGTGCTTGAACCGTGGTACACTGAACCTCCAAAAGTCACCGTACACCCCTCGTTCGGCAAGCGAGAGGTATGTAGGTTCACATCTGTTTGCAGCACCACACAATGGACGACCAGTCTACGAAAGCCATGGCAGGGTCAGGTGATCCGCTTCTGGGGATTCGACGTATGTCACGGTTCAATATAAGTGGATGCAGACGGTTAAGAGCTCGGCTTGACAACGTTTTACTTTTGCCAGTAGTGTAGCGGTATGGTGCTGCATTCCTGTTCCGTCACAACGTATTCTCCAGGAGTTGGTCTGTCTGTGGATGGTAGCTAGTCGATAGCCCCGAGTCTAGCATACCTTTCTCTAATGGTCTGTCTCAGTCGGGTGCGCGTATATGGAGATACAGGAGACAGCATTAACGACTGCTTCAAGATCAAAGTGAGGTCTGATCGGGAAATTTGCCAGATTATTATAAATGGAATAAACACTCTGCCATCTGGAATAAGCACTCAGGGTGGCTTGCCGAATCAAGACTGCTTATTCCATGGTGCTTATACCATTATAATGAATATAGCATTAATATCCAAGAATGAATAGATACATGCCAAACGGAGACTTAAGGAGTTATTGTACCTCGCTAGCCTCGCCTCATCCTGCGGTCTATAATATCAAATTACTTGCAGCAGTCTTTCGGTCACCCTGGTCCGCGAAATGCTCGTGGTCAGGAGTGTGGCCTTCCATCTAAACGCAAAAAATACCTATCTCGTCCTGAGCGACCGTCTTAGATAATAGTCCTATGTGGTCTGGGTGTCCTTTCCCGTTGACCCTGATACTGAGAGGACCCTACCTCTTCCATGATCTTGTCCGGAATTTTTTTTATACCTTTGACTGGGACTCATACCTCACACTGAGAGAGATACTCCGTGGAGGTTTAGCAAACACCATCAAGGGCAGATCATGGTACACACAAACCCTCCGCCACTGCTAGTAACGTTCCTCCAGAAGCGGCCTGAGAGCGAACTTTTACACGCCAATAACTTCTCGTGTCCACGTGGCTGGGAATATATTCAATTAGACTCGTCTAGTGCTGCTCTCTAATAGGAGCCAGAAATGCACCCAGTATGGGTCAATAGCCTGCGAAGGAAACCACATGTCTCCAGGGGGTACATCAAGGTACGGCAGCCTTCCCATACTGGCACCTATAATGGCGCTACCGGAAATATAGAAATAGCAGGAAGTGCCCCTTCAAAGAGGGAGACCGTGGCCAATACCCTTGTGATCCGGGACGTATTTTGTGAGGGACCCCCTACAATAAATACAGTGACGTGAGAGTTGGTAAGCCGGCAGAATACTCCCCATCTAGCTGGCTGCTTTTTTGGGGAGGTGCTTGTCACGCGCAGAGCTCACATGGATGAACTTATCAAACCACCCGAAGAGCCACTGCATATTCATTACGAAGTTACTGCTTGTTGATCGTCGTTGCGACCGAGAGTCCAAACTGCGAGATATTATCACGTCACACCCTCTGCTTGTAACCAGCTTACAATTTTCCCAGGGGCGTGACTACCCCTTTGCGCCTCATCAGCTCATCAGCGACTTGTGGCTGGGGGCAAAACTACTATCTATGTATTCCTGTTAACTGTGAGTTGCAAAAGTCCATACGAGTGACCAGGTATACACCCAGTGTGGTTTAATCCAGCCAACAGAGCCCCGGAATACCTAACACATGGTCACAAGCAAGTAAGTAAAGTAGGCTTTGGTGACTTAGATAATACAGATACATGACTATAGATAGGTCCAGCAACCTGTCACGACACATCGCAAATATATCTCCCATGAAGGCAGAAAAGTCTATAAATCTTCAACGACCTCGGCACCAGATACGACACTTCTTTCTCTCAACACCAACCACCAAGCTACTACTACTACTAAACGACATAGAGCACTCCAGCGAGACCAGCACATATCACCAATTCCACACACAAAACAACACAACATAATGTCCAAGGCACCATCCCGAGGCCCATCCCGAGGCCCATCCCGAGGCCCAGCGCCGCCTCCGCAGGCATCTGGCTTGACGGCACCCAGCCAAGCACCCGCCTCATCAGCGGCATCGCCCAGCCGGGCCTCCTTTCTATCCTCAGGAAGCAGAGCATCCACCGCCTCTACCGCCAGACCCAGCTACATGGGCACACCTTCGTTCGCAAATTCCATGGCGCCGCCACCCTTACCAACGGTCATGTCCCAATCATCATCATCCCGGGCGCCGCACTCGCGCGCCCACCTCCCCTTTGGCGAAGTGACGTTCTCCCAGTTCGGCCGCGACGCCGCTGCCGCTGCCGCCACCGCCCCCGGCGGGCCGGCCTCGCACCGGACAAGCACCATGGCGTCCGCCTCGCACCGCACGGCACCGGGCCGAAGCCCAGGCACGCTGGTCTCCCGCAGCGGCGGCAGCAGCCGTGTTATCGCACCCGCACCCTCCTTCGGGGCTGGCGCTGCCGGACCTCCGGCTTTCGACCTTGGGAACCTTCAGATTATGGGTGTTGCGTTTTTCAATCCTGCGGCCCTCGGGGGAATGAATCCATTAAATTTCGCGCCTCCAGGTCCCTCCGCCAGCCTACCCTCTGCCGCGCCCCCCTCTGCCACGCCCCTCTCTGCGGCACCCCCCTCCGTCGCGCCCGGCTCGGCTCTGCGGTCCACGTACACGGACCCAGAGGACCTGCGGCGCGCCAGCATGCAGTCCAGCTACAACACCCTCAACGCGCGGGAGCGCGCGGCGCAGGACCGCTGGGCGAAAGGCAAGGCCGACAGCTTCGCACCGTGCCCGGCAGGGTGGCCGTGGGAGCGGCACCCCACGCACCCCGGCTACCGCTGTGTCGGCCAGGCGCACTACATCAGCGACGGGATCCTGGCCGAGGGCCTGCCCGGGCTTTACGTGCGACAGCTCAGTCACGAGGGGTTGGGGGAATCGGACCGGATGCCTACTGAGGGCGAGAAGGTGCCCCCTGAGTACCGCGGGCCGGTCAGGCCTGTGGGCGTTGATACGACGGGAAATTTCACGTACGGGAATAATATCGATATCGAGAAGACGAGGGCGATTGACCCGACGGTTCAGGCGGCACTGGGATGGGACTCAGAATGGCATAAAACCCGGTAATCCCTATGAGTTTCTCGGTAGATGATAAGGCAATGTCTCGTGCATCATAGACTGTAAGTAAGTAGGGCGTCGTAGGAAAGGCAGAAGAGGACCTGACGCATATCAACAAAGCAAAATCCTGAATTGTCACGCCGCGCCACCAAGATATCCGGTTTTACCAAATGCTGCACATCGTAATAATACAAGTGACAAAACTGCCCTGAGTGCAGTACCGCCGAAATTCGAGATTGACGTCGTCTCGTTGTCCTCGGCTTTGCGCCGCGCAATTGCCGCACGAGCGCAACAACATATGACGCTCGCTTCTCCACCCAACACCCCCAACCCTCTCGCCAAAAGAGGGCCCCCTCACAGCGACAGATTGTAGCTGTACTCATCCTCCATATTCTGGCTGATCCACAGGATGACAGTGCTGAGCCCGACGAGCGCATTCGCGACGATGTTCTCGACGCCCATGCCCAACATGGGCCAGCCGACCTCGGGGACGGCGAACTTGAGCACAAATACGACGATGCCCCCCGCCATGCCGCCGGCCAGCGCGGCGAAGCCCAAAAACAAAACGACGCGGGCCTTCCAGGCGACGCCGGACCCGGAGTAGCTGAACGAGTCACCCGACAGGCGCGTCTTCTCGACCGAGTTGATGATCAGCATGCCGAGCGAGCTGAAGATGAAGGGCAGCCAGTCGACGAAGTTGACGTGCACGTCGGACTGATTGAGCGCCGACTTGGACCACACGGCGCTGTCGAGGAGGACGTAGAAGGCGAGGGAGAACTGCGAGAGGGTGGTGAATTAGTCACGATTGTGTCAGGCTAGATGGGGGCCGAGACGTCGTCGTAACGCACCAGAGCACCAGCTGAGTAGACGCCGACATTGCGTGCCCAGGCGCTGTTAAGCCAGGCCGGCCTGCTGAACTTCCAGAGACGGTCGTCTTCCATGGTGTCTCCTCTACAAAACGGTCCGGGCGGCTCGTCGTTCGAGGTCGGATGCTGGTGGGGAGGTTCGACTTCGGAAAGGAAAGGAAAAGAAAAGGAATCACAAATGAGAGTCGATTGTTTGTATAGTTTGTAGGTATTACGGTGACCGAGGTAAGGAGCGCGGCCGACTCGAAGGTGCTTGAGGTGAGGACGTTGTTGGATGCGGCAGGCTGAAGCCAAGCTGGAGCTTTGGAAGTCGGAGCCCGAGGTGCCCAAGGCTGATGACGACCGGGCCTTTGCACTTGGCAGACGGGTGCCCGTGCACTGATGGCAGCATGGGCGTCACGTGATTATTTATCCCGCGTTACCAGGTTACTTTCTAGTTTAGGTACCTAGCCTTTGACAAGACAACGTCGTAGGCATTCGTGGAGTACAGGTGTCAGTCCAAGAGCCCGGTCAGCTAACAACCCATAAATATGTCAACTGCTCTTTGCTTGGTGACATGACGTGGCTGGTGATTAGTGATGTGCATTCTAAACCACGAGGACTGTGAGCTCAGGCAGAGCACTTGATCATGTACACATATCTGATTGGAATCAAGTATTATATTACCAGCTATACAGCCCTAATACCCATGACTTCACACCGCATGTTCCGAAAGGCAAAGCCACCTTGAAAAGTACATATGTATTGTATCAGTACGCCTCGAAATTGGACTGGGACGGTGCGCAGTGCAACCGCCAACGCCTTTGTAAGACCAAGAGTCTGACCTGAACGCCAAACCCGGCTCGCCCGAGACTCCGAGCTCAGGTCTAGTAAACGTACCTCATCTTTCTGTACAGTGATTCGTAGACATTTTTGGCTGGCTAAAATCATCGCCATCTCCTGTACATTGATCCGGGTTCCAGCTGGCGGCAGCAGCGGATTCGGTCAAGTCGAAGATGCAGGTATGATGGGTACAAGAATACAACACCACCAAAGGTTCCACGCAAGCGGTCGACAAATAAACTTGCAGAGATACTTAGTATTCAACCAAGTTCGGCGGATTTTCCAGGGGGATTGGCGGGAACAAGCACGCAATCGCTGCAATTGCTTGGCCCGATGCAAATCATTTTGCCGCTTGCCTGCCGGGCTCCCTTCGACGCATGAGATCGAAGCCCTTTGGCGGATGATGTAAGGAAAAAGGGGATGTCCAAATCCCTGTGCATCGATGGATCCCCAATCACGGCGAGCTGCCCGGTACCACGAGGAACCACGCATGCCGCCACGAGCAAAGCGAACAAGCCCTGATTGCTCACACAGTGATCAATTCTCGAACGCCTTGAACGCCGCCCCTTTGCTGTCTATAAAGTTGTCGTATTACATGGCGTGTCGTTGCGTGTCGTTCAAGTCTCATCAGATCTCTATAGTCTTCATCGCCTCCTCCAGCTCGTCCGAGTGGCCGTTGAGCAGTCCATTCTCGCCCTTCGAGGACGATGGTTCTTTGCCTTGGGTTTCTGCTCCAGTGGGAAACTTAGGAGCTTGGGTATCGCTACTTGATAGCGGCGTCTCGACCTCGACGAGCCTGGGCTGTTTGATACCATTGGCAACAATCGTAGGCTCTGGAAACCCACCCTCCTCCGTGACTTTCGCAAGCGGGCTTGATCTTCCGAATCCAGGACGAGCGGGACTCACTAGCGGCGACGGGCTGCTCAGTCGGTGCAACGAACGGCCCCGAGCTTCGCCATTGGCGTCGGCGGGACTTGCATAGGGCGAACTACCAGGCGAAGTTGCGCCACCAGTGATATTGGACTTCCGCTTGGCAGCAGATTTAGCTGTTCGGCCATGTTTCTGGTCCATACGCCATCGCAGAATGTCGAAGTACGGTGGCTCAACGCGAGTCGACTTAAACTCACGCAGCTTGAGCTCACCGGTATCATCGTCGACGTACCACTTGCCGCTGTTCATATCATCGGCGAGTATAGCCAAGAACGCCCCCCATGATTTCGCCACAACGTATTTGGTATCGTAATCGCGTCCAAATAGGATGACCTGCCCCCAAGTGCCGCTCGGCCCCGGCGCCAAGTCAATAGCCAGGTTGTTGCCACCCCAGTCTCGCACGAGAGGAATCCACGCAGGGTGCGCGTAGGCTCGTTGGACAGCTCCAGCAGGAACAGACTCTTGGCGGGACTGGAGGTCTTGCTTCCACGACTCTTTCTGTGAGCTGGGCGAGCCGGCGGATCTGGAAGAGGAGGCCTGGTTGCTACCGCCGAACGCCTTCGAAGGCACGGCAGGCTTCACAACGGTGGTCTCGATTAGATATTGCTGGTTCACTCTCCGCCACTGGTCCCACTCTTGCACGATCTCCTCGCAGTCAAGCAGCATGCAGCTGAAGATGATGCCAGTCGGGTTACCACCACGCTCTTGACCGTCATGGATCGTCAGGGAGTCTCTAACGTCCTGCGGCAATGAGGCATCCAGTTGATGCTCTAGCTCGTTCAGGTCGTTGTCCGTGCAGCCCTCGCAAAGCTGATCGTATAGCTCCGGGTAATTCTCTTCTGCCCATCGATCTATCCGTTTCCACGAGTGACCCACAGGAGGTGCCGGAGGAAGGCCGTCGGCGAAAGACTGCATGGGGATCTCACCCGGTGTGCTCACGGTTTCAAAGCCGTCATCTTTGGGACCCAGGCGCTGGGCGTTGAGAGATCTCAAGCCAGGAGAATACGGCCCATTGGAGCCAGGGGAGAGAGGAGAAGCCGATGGCATGCCGGCGCCCATGTATGCCGTACCGTCCATCGGACTAGTAAACCGGCCCAGCTCGTCGATGTATGGAGAGTTGATATCGGCTCGGGAGTCTGAAGCAGTCGCGACCGACGTCAGAGTGTTTTGCCGGTTAAGTGGCATATGGCGACCCGATCGATGGGGGGAATCGTAGGTAGAATCTGAAGGCGAATTTAGCATGGATCGGACAGAGTCGGCCTTGTTGTTACTTACGTCGGTCATAGCTGGTCATAGTATGCCAAAAAGAGCGAAAGGCTGACCCGATCCTGGGAAGTTCACTTCATGTTAGTATACGCGACAGCTCGTGGCAAAGATGGTGTGTAGTGAGTGTATGTGGATTTTCGAGGGGACTTACGACATGTTGGGCAACTGTGATGACATCTTCAGGTACGATCTCGCCGAATTGGGTCCAGTGGATGGTCGCCCGAAAGCGCTCGATATTCCGGCTGAATGTCTTGCTGACAAGTGGGACAGTGATCAACGGAGGAGTGTCGGATTCTCGAAAGGATAGCTTGGGGGATCGACAGTGGCTCCCGACGCGCTCTCCGAGTTGCGGTGTGGGCAGTATCGAATGGTCGACTGAGGTTTCCGCAGACAACAACGAGAACTCGGGGTGCAGCGACGACGAGGGATCGCCGAGGCAGAGCAGACGCAGTTGCTTGGGATTTTGGGGGTGGGAGTGCGATGTGAGAATTTCGTGGTAAAAGGAGACGGAGGATGGATTGGAACTCCTATGTGGAGTAGAGGCGGGTACTGGGGGCTTTTGGTCGAGGCGTCGTCAATGTCTTTGTCATTTCCCTGCTTCACTAGAGGTACAGTGTAGATATTGATCCTTCTCAGTAATCGCCGTGATAGAGCCTGGTGATTAATGCAGAGAGGCGTAAAAGGCGTGTTTCCTGCCGGAGAGTATTGGTGGACGAGCGACCGTGATTGAGGTGCCTGAGAACGGGTTCCTCTGCATTGGCTCCCTTCTCACTGTGTTTTGTTGCTTTTCAGGAGGCGGACCGCAGGGGTAGACCGAACGAGAGTGATTTCGAGGCGCAATTGCTCAGGACGACCCTCCGAAGGAAAATAGCGAACGAAGACGCGCGCGCGGAAAGGCAAAGCGGGTGTGGTGATGGGGAGGAAAGAGTTGGCGACCGCATACAAGTCGAGGTCGGTCTGGTGGTTGATGAGTCTGGTCGGGGGGAAGGGGGCATTTCAAGTTTCTGGAAGAATGTTATTAGTGCCTGATGCACAGTGATGCGATCCAATGCGACTTGCGGTGGTACAGGCGGTAGTACATCCATCACTGTATGGGGAGTGGCGGGGAGCTTGGGGCGCCTTGGGCCAACCTTAGCACCTTTAGGGGGGCATAAGGGGGGTCCCCAATTGGCCCAATCAATCGACGCAATGCCCCATTTGGTAAACACAGGGCGTCCCGGTGCTCGCTAGTGGGCTGTCGAGCCCCTAAATCGGTTAATCTTGACCCTGAATCTTAATTTCAATGTTCCGTTATCACCTGCAATTGACTAAGGTACCGCGGGTGGATTTGCATTCACGTGTAAGGTAGGCAGGTACCTTATCTCTCCATGTCCGAATGCCGCCCTGCTCTGAATGCATCTCAGATCCCATCTCCCTCTCTCTCTCTCTCTCTCTTGTCGCCCTCGCAACTTTATGCGAACACACCAGAGCTCCAAGCTGTGCGACCGACCACTCGACCTGCTTTGCCTCGTCCCAAGTCTGCCGCGTCAATCGGTACCCTTCCATCTCCTTTCAAACCCCCAAAGATGGAGAAGCCAAACTTCGATTGATCATGGCGGATGGTACGCTGAAGCTGGTAAGATGAGGAGATCGCACGGCACACCCTTGTCTCCCACGTCATTCATCGTCACAACGTTTGATGCGTCAGCTTCATCTCACCGCAGCTTTACTCGACTTGTCCTTCTATCCTCCACCATACAAAGAGAGAGTGGGAGAGACAGGGGGAAGTAACCAGAAACGGAAAAGAAGAAGCAGAGAAAAGGTCGTTGTCATCGCACCTGACCCTGTCTGGGACTCGTCCGACTCTCTCGGATTCCGTGGCCAGGTGTTCTCCCATCCGCTGCATCTGCTTCCTCCTGCCTCCTGCCTCCTGCCTCCTGCCTCCTGCCTCCTGCCTCCTGTGTTTCCTCCCCTTCCTTTCGACTGCCGGTCAGACTAATGGCGCCCGACCGTTTCGCGTCAAGGTCGAACGCTACATGCAAACGGAGCTTATCATGGCAGCAGATGGGCCCCTGCAGGCGCCTCATGTGGTGTGCCTAGCCGTGTCACTGGGCTGTGGCTGTCTCGCTGTGCCGACTGCTCTCTCCGCATCATCGGCATCATGGTGGATGATGGGTGTTTTGGAGGTTGTACAGCATATCCCTCACACGACCGTCCGTATATTCGCCACAAACAACCGGTACATGACTGAGCAAGCGGAGGTGGTGGGCAAGCCACGACTCAAGCGCAGCACCTCGTCATTCTCTAGGACACCCTTCATTCGTTCAAATATCAAACGAGCCTCCTGCGACCGAGACGAGATGTTAGAACTACGTGCAAAAGCACCTCCACGGCTCCCCTTTTAGACCTCCCGGTTAGCCGAAAGCCAATTTGCGGCTACATGTGGCTTAGCGCCTTGGCCTGTCCGAGAAGGAAGGCTAAGAGATACCTCCAGGCTCCGGGAAGACTCATCAAGCTTTTCCAAGACAACCTTAAGTGGGCTCATCAATGGCCATCCGGAACATGTTAGTCAAAGGAGGGCGAGAAAGCATCTGTTCGAGAAGACCCCTGAGCTGGTTCTGTGCTTGTTCTGTCTGTGCTTCGAAACAACGGACAAGGAGACCATCTCACCGTTTCGTCTGCCGAGCCCGACAGCCCAATGGGCGGAAGCCGTTGAGTTTCTATTTCTGACCACCCGCACCGCCACATTTCGGGGTTTGCATGTATCTGGTAGGGCCCGCCAATCCTATTTCCAAAGGCCCCTCAGCCACCCCCTGCCGGCAAAGAAACACATGCATGAACGGGCCAGTCACAAGAACCGCAGCCGCGCGCAAGTATCGAACCAGGAGGCGAAAACCTCGTGATTGTCTTCGTATAGGGCTCCTAACCTACCAACGAGTAATTGTCGCCACCTTGTGAAGTGTGTCGCCACCCTATATCAAGTGTTGGCTGATCATATCTCGAAACTACGCAACTTAGGTGTAGGTACCAAGCTTGATGAGCAGCAAGCAACCGAGGAAAACAGACAGACCGGCGGGACACGGGAATGCGTCCAACCTTTTCTTCCTTATTACCCGCCCGCCGTGCCCAGATCTGGGCTACCCACGTCCGTGGCAAGGCTGTCTTACCCGTACGCATACCTGCATGGGCGCACCACGCACGCCGTCTGGTTTCGGGTCTCGGGTACGCGCACACGTTGGGGGGTTTGTACGCTGAATAGTCAAACCAAACTGTGGTAAGTAAATCTGATGGGTAGTCGCTGGCTGGCTGGTTGTATTGCCCAAAATCTAAACGACGATCGAAGTCATGAATCCGGTATCTGCTCCAGCACAATGAATGCCAGATGCGCACGTAAGCACGTAAAGGGAGGCAGAAAGGGGGACTCGGACAAACCTCATTCGCAATCCATTGAAACCTCCGGGCTCGGATCTCCCACCCGAGGACATGATTGACATGATGTGGTTACGCGGCTACAACATCGGGGCGCCCGTCTGATATATTTCCCCTCCCCCCTGTCTCGCCTCATACATATGTAGTGACTGGTTTTCGCGTGGTACGGTTCCTTGTCTTTGTGTCACGCCCAACTTCGAATCTGCCAAGCAACGAGGACAAAGCCTATTCTCGTCCACCACATGGGTCGCGCGACCATCTGGGATATGCAGTAGCCAAAACATCACGAGGTGGTGACTCTGGAGAAGAGCCCGCTCATTGGGACACTACCTACACCTCGCCAGGTTCTGAGGTCTGGGACAAGAGCATCAGTCATGGTAAGCCGAGGTCGAAGCAATTCGTCACGTTCATCAGACTACCGCCGCCGCAGGTTCTTTACCTACCGCAAGATGGGTAAGCCATCCAGGTGATGCAATATACAAAGCGCCCGCGCCCCTGTCCGTGTCCTACTCGTACGCCATAGCTGAAAGAGTCAAGGCCTCGACCGACCCTGCTGTCGAATCTATAGAGTCCTCCCTCTTAGCTCTGCCACATGTACTCGCTCAATGCCAACACCTTCTCGCCCATCTGCCTCTTGGCAGCGGCAGCAACGCCTCTTTCGGCGTCAGCAACCTGCTCGCTGTAGAACAGTTCGACAACGGCCTTGAGCTCATCGTAGCTGAACCTCTCCGACTCGGGTACGGTGCCTCCCTCCGCTTCGCGCTCCTTGTCCCGCTTGGCCTTGTTGACGACGGCATCGGGGCCTTCTTGGAATAAGCTAAAGTAGTTTGACGCTCTTGCCAAGTCGACGCCATCTTCGATATTTTTGAGATTCTGTTGCAGCACAAGGATATTGAGCTGCATACGCTCGCAGCCGCGCAGGTTCATCGGTTGCGTGGCCGAGGCGTTGCCAACGAGATATGAGTTCATGAGTAGGCCGAGGCCTGTTCGCACGAATGCAATTTCGCGGTCACGCAGGAAACGCACACTCGTCTCATCGTAGGCGACCAATTCGGCATTCAACGACAATATCTGTGGATCGGGTTCCTTGATTTCACGGTCCCCGAGGACATAGGGCGCCGTCTCGGGAGATAAAGCCACGCGAAGTGACTGAACTATACGGCACCGGATCTCCATATGTAAAGTGAGGAGTACGGTGCCGGCAAGCTCTTCATAAGAATTTACTATTTCGTCGAATGACCTACGGGAACTGGTTAGTATGGGAATGGATATAAAAGGGGCAATGAGTAAACGTACTGAACAGTCTCCTGTGTCATGGGTAGGTACACGGGACCTTGTTGTTCACCATTGGCCTTGTTAGGATCGTTAAGCAGAGTCCAACGACGATTCTGCTGCTTTGGTATGGTGGACCGAGACGAATCAGTGTCCTGTCTGGTTATGTGCCGTAGGCCAGCAACTTTGGTTGACAGCCACTTCATGCTCGTGTAAAGAAGACACAATGACGAGATCACATCGCGGTCCTGGATAATATCGCTCGGGTCGAGGGACCGTTCATTAGTCTCCATGATAAGCAAGCCGGCCTCTTTCTCTATCAGTTCAGGGTCCAGATCGTCCGAGGTCCAGAGCTTCTTGATCGTCTCCTGGATGTCGCCCTCGGTAGTGGCTAGTTCTGCAGAATATCGTAGCGACTGTGATGAGGTGGCACCCTCCTGCGCCTTGGCGACCAATAACTTGAACCATGCCAAGCACCTCTCGTAATACCGGTTCATCTGAGAAATGATCAGGGAGCTTAGGGCCTGATCATGCGGAATTGTCCCAAGCATTCGACAAAATGCAGTGACGATGGCAAAGAAGGCTGTCGTTCCTTTGAACACGGGACGCCGAGCCACAGAGCTCCACTCCGAGTCTTGCTGATACGAATCTGCCTCTCCAAACACGGTGTCGCTCAACTTGCCCAAAGTCTCATCCAGTTGTGGTTGGAAGACGTTCACCAGGAAGTTATCGAGGAAAGACGTCAAGGTGCTCGCAGCCAGATCGGAGCCTGGAGGCACGATAGCTTTTAGACGTTGGAGGAATACGAGCGTTGGCGGCAGAAGGAGGCTCATGTTGAACACGCTTGGTTCAACGAGGGACTTGTGAGCACCGGGTACGTTTCTGTTCTCGACGGTACTGGCGTGCGCGCTCTTCCGCGACTCTTTCCCAACCAAAGACATTTTCTTATCAGATGCTTGGGTCTTGCGAGAACTGGATGTGAGGCCCGGAACAGCAGCCTGTATGATGCCGTCGAGCGCCTCATACTCGGTTGTCATCTCAATGGACTTTTGGTCGGCTTCGGAGAACTTAAATAGGTGGTCCCGCGACAACGCCTTGATGCCATTGGGCGTTGCGCCTGGCCTGGGGGACGAAGTTGAGTGGTACACATCCGCATCTGTCGTAACATAGTTGTGGAGGAGAGAGCGAATCTCATTCTGATAGAGATTCCATAACTCCTTGAAGCTTCCAAGGAGTGACGAGTTGTTGCCAGCCCCTTCCCTTCGGATGAGCGCCTTGACAGACTCGTGGAAGACCCGGTGACCTTCGGCAATAGCTTCAAATTTGCCGTACAAGGTCCACAACAGGTCGTATATGACATCGGCCCGCATCCGAGTTTCCCGACTGCCGTATATGTGAAGACCCTGCGTATTGCTGGAGCCACCACGCAGTGAGCTAGGATGTCTCTGGTCAACATCGTTGATTGTCTCGTTGACAACAGCGAAGAGCTCGACAGGGAGGCGCTGTTTCAATGTGTCGACTGCACTCTCTAGCCTTCCTAGCTTGTTGAGAGATTCAGCCAGAAGACCAACATACCAGAAGGTGTCTGCTTCTGGGTTCTTTGACGGGTCTTCCACGACTGGATGGTCATGGTCCATCGTATCCAAGACCATGTGAAATGGAACGGCGGAGGCCGAGTCACCGTAATTCTCGTTGTAAACGCCTTGGTTCTTGGACAGAGTCTGCCACCGCTCCTGGCAGTAAGGCGACTTCAAATATAGGTGTTCGTGTAGTTCCTCGACCAATATGTCCATCAGCGCCGTCTCTTGGTTTGCGAGGTAATTTCTGAGGTCGCTCAGGGCGCCTATGTCGTCGAGCTCGGGTTTTCGCAGCTTGCGCAAGGCATTGTGGAGGACCTCGACGGCAGTCAAGAAGCGCTTCTCGGATATCCTCGCCTCGAGTTGGTCGGGCACTGTCCGTAGGTCCTCGAGTTCGTTGAGCGTTTGCAGGACATCATCGTACATTTGGGACGACTTGTACAGCTTCTTCAGCTCTGGGTCCGAGCTGCAAAGGCTGTTTCGCGAGGCGGCCAGCGACTCCTTGAGCGTGCGCACGCGCTTCTGCGACGCTTGTATACTCCCTTGGATCTTGTGGAAGGTACCGATGGAACTGTTGAAGCCTTGGTGGTGCTCGTGGACTATCCCCTTCAGCGAGTCTTGCAGGTACTGATGCGTCCTCTTGAAGTTCTTGTACTCGTGGGCTCGGCCGACAGAGCTGACGTCCAACAACTGCAGGGCCAGCGACACTGGTATGCAGTCGTCCTGTATCATAGCCGGCCATTCGGTCTTGATGTGGTCCAGCACCTGGGCGATCTGGCGCTCGGCATTGGACTCATCGGCGCGTCTCGAGGAGGAGGCAAAGCGGGCGGCTTCGATGGGCGGTCGTCTCGGGTTCAAGTGCTGAGGGGGTGCGCCGCTCGTGTAGCCGTCACCAAAGGGGTCATAATCGGGCCCATCTTGTCTGTCGGGCCGGTCTGGTCTATCCGGTCTATCCTGTCGTCCATAGGAGCCATTGCGGTAGGCCGCGCCGTACCGAGAGGAGGACATGATCGAACCAGTGATGCATTCAGGGGCTCAGCGTGCCAGCATACCAAGGTATCGCATCGGGGTTCGTACTCGTAGCTCGTAGGGAAACGGGTGGAGCGCCGGTGTGATGCACGCGTGGCACGGTCGCGTTAGGCCTGCGCGCTTCTATCCCACCATGCACATCCACGGCGACAGTGTTCACAGGCGGTGTTCACAGGCTGTCTCTTGTCTCTTTTGTCGTATCCACCGTTGAGTCGTCGGGCTGTTTGTTGAAGAACCGTTGGTGGGAGAGGTCTGAATTGAAGATGGAAGCCACCCGATTGGAAGGCGGCGATGCAATAGCAGGGGCTATGTATGTAGGTAGATCAAAGCAATCAACCACACTCCCCTTTCTGACCTTAAATAATAATTGTGCGACATACATGTACGCCATCTGGAGTTTCATTTGCGACTTTGCAGCTACTATTTATTACATGGACTCGGGGACATATCCCCCTTCATCATTGAATCCATCCATACTTCGCCACAAAATTCGCTCTTCTACAGCGACTTGGCTTTGCTCAGTACCATACCAATAAAGTACATGGGTACCTTAGGTACGCGAAACAACCATCCTTACCTCTATAAGAGGATAAGGTAGCTTGGACCTTGGTGAAGAAGCTCTGGTAAAGACAGCCCATTGGGACAGAGCAGCAACATACGATCCAAGTCGAGCTTTCGTTACAACCCATATTCGAAGGCGCTGGCATTGATTCAAGTGCATCGCCTTCTCAATAAGGCGAAATCTGGCTAACCCAAGGACTGCTGAGGTCGGTAAAGAAGCTGGCACCCTTCACGGTGGTAGGTGTGTCCTCATCGACCGTGACGTTGCAGTTGGTGATCCAGTCCCCTTCAGCTGCGTATTTTTCCGCGACGTAGTCGGCGTAGTCACTCAGCAGGCACGAAGAGCCTGGGCCACCCTGGCAGAACGATAGCGGGTATACAGCATCGTTAAGGCGGATACGAATATACATGGCATTGCTCGAGGTCGGTGGTGCTGTGGGCTGGGTCGAGTTGACGCTCACTGACACGGTAGAGTTTGGATAGTGCGGTGGTACGGTGCTTGTGGAAGAGGGCATGGAACTAGTCGGCTCGCCCACATCGTACACGGCGCAGTTGAAGCGCTCAAAGGCAATGGTGCCACGCATGGAGACGTAGTGCGAGCCAACCCATAGGCGATCATCGTCTTTCTCCGTCGCTGACAAAGGGGCCTGATCGTCGAATACGCCACTCGCGGTGACGAGTTCGGAGAGTTGGCCATCGTTCAAGAAACTCGACAGGATCTTCGGTAACTTGAAGCTTGAGCCATCGGCTTTCACACCGGTGGTCGTGGGGCCTTGTTGCAGTATACCAACCAAGGCGTTCAAAAAGGGGGTCATCATCTTCTTTGGGAGATCCGTTCCTGGGCCAACACCGTAGTAATACCGAAGGTCGTTTGAGTATTCGTATTGCTTCAACTCCTCGTCGGTAAATACGTCACACCACGCCGACAGTCGGCCAGCTATGTGGCTCTCGAAACCGCACAGATACGGCATCTGACTGACGTCGTCGGCCGTTAGTGTCAGGTTGCCGTCGATGAATGATTGCAAGCGATCCTGGACAGACGGTATCCATATGTCATCCCATGTCGTCTTGTATTCGCCGCCCTCGGTGTCTTCGAAGCTCGGACACATATCTGAAGGGGCCAGTGAGTCGCCAGTACCAGCAGGATATCCCTTCGATGTCACAGAGATGACGCTCCCGTTCTGGGCAGCGGCGAAACCTAGGAACCCTCGCACAAACATGGATGCTGTCTGAAGTACGCGGGTGTAGTTATTTGACCAAACCATGAACTCATCCCCGTGCTGATACAGGTCAGGGTATCTACAGCCGTCTCGTCAATAAGAAAACCCCAGGGTAGTCGTCGTGAGATTTGCGCTGACCTTGTGCGTAGGGTATACCCTAGATCATACGCCTCCTTGGCGCCAGTTGGGTTCTCGTTGGCAATCTGTAGTGCCGGGTTGGTCAAGACAGGTTGCCATGATGACAGGAATGACAAGCTCCCGCTCGATGTGTAGTTGCCCGCTTGAAACTGCACAAGGTCAGTGAAATTGGCGAGAGTACGTGTAGATGCTCGAGACACACCCTTTCGTACATTGCTACCCAGCCGTCGTAGGCCCCTTGGTCGGGATATCTCGAGCCATGTCTTGACACATAAGCGGCCTGGTCGATGTAACAGCCTTCGGGCACCTCTGAGGAAATATTGAAGACGTTTGGGCCTAGGAGCAGTAAGATATGAGTTCCTAGTGTACCTCACACAGGTCGCCCGTTGATTCTTACCAGCGTACCACGGACCATTAGCACCCAGCCACTGCAGTGGATTCGTCACACTGTCACTAGAGGGGAAGTTGACATCTTGGTTGAGGGCAAGATGTCGTGGCCCGCCAGCAGAAACCATTGCCATCGCCAATGAGAGGCCAACTGCTATGAAGACAGACATAGCTTCGACACGGTAGTCTACAGACACGGACACGGATGCGGCAGGCTGTAGTTGACGGGCGTGGGATGTGTGGTTTATAATAAGGCTACCAGATGGGCACGACAATAGTAGTTATATCCAGCGTCGTAACCATCTTGGCCTACCTTGAACGGCCTCCATGTTCATGGTAACATCGGTTTGGACCGAAGCTGCCGACTGGTCCCATTATCGGCACAGAGGCCACCCCTTTTCCATGGTAGGAAACACACGTGGGCTCATCAAGGCGACTGGTAAGCATAATGCAGGTGAGAGGACCTGGGCAAGAGAGACGTGTGATATGCGTGAAAGAAGATGGTTTGCGAGGGCGGATGAAACGGTTGCGCAGCACTTCGGAGATTGGACTGCCAAATCTGGTCACCTCGCATAGTGTCCCAATCTCAGGCCCCCGGGGTTCAACGTTCGTGTGAAAGCCATGCTCGGTATCTTCTCACTCATCTAAGGTGCCAGGTCGTGATTAAACCATACTCGCTTGCCTGTCTGGCGGTTTGATTCACATGTGATGAGTTTGACAGCTACTCCACGTCACAATGACGGGAGCACCTCAAGAGACAGCCCGGCCCACTAATGACACCGCTAAAGCGAGGCGTCCAGGCCCCTGACTCCACTAATCGGTAGCGCTGCCGGGAAAAATCCCGGCTGCACTCTTCGGGTCCGGTTTGCAACACAACCTCATCCCGTCCCTTGTCATCCATCGCCGGCTCTCGTCACAATAGCATTACCTCGCACTTCGTCCGCCACTCGCAATCATGCGCACGCGGATCCCAAAGCCAGATGACTTTGCGCCCCTGGCCCCCTCGTTGCACGTGTCTCTGGTCTTTCCAGAAGTCCCCGAAACCACGACAGCCATTCTCATCCTTTTTCACGGGCTCGGCGACTCTGAAGTCTCGTTCACCACACTCGCCAAGAGCCTGAACCTACCCGGCATTCTTGCCATATCCGTCCGTGGTATCTCACCCTTACCACCGTCCCTACTTGGTCTGCCGGAGTCTGAAGCCTCAGCTCCTACAAAGAATTTCCACTGGGGAGATGATCTGACCATGTCGCCTTCCACCGGAGAGCTGGATCCCGACCCGGGCTTTTCGAAGGCCGAGGAGCTGGTCTTGGGAAAGCTGATCCAGGAAACTCTCGTTGGGAAGTGTGGATGGGAGACCAATGACATCATGCTATTTGGCTTCGGTCAAGGCGGTTCCCTCGCTCTTGGCTTGTCGTCAAGACTACATGGTGGGCAGCGAGTCGTCGACGTGACTGAAGGGGAGGGGGCCACCGGCAAACTGTTCAAAGGCGCTATATCAATCGGCGGTCCGCTGCCCACGAGCATGATACCAACCTTGAGTGCAAGAGAGAAGGCGCGGACACCGGCTCTTATCTGTCACGGAAGAAACAGCGAGGTGCTTGATGACGACGCTATCGAGGTCATCAAGAAAGAGTTTGTGGATGTGCGCGAGGCCAAGTGGAAGAAGAACGATGATGGTATGCCCAATAGCCGGGAGGAAATGCTGCCCATCATGCAGTTCTTCGCCGAAAGATTGCGCGCGTGGTAGGGAGATTACCATGTTCGTCACTGCTACTTCATCGACATGCGCGAACGGGACATCTCCGCCATACAAGTCTAGCCCGCCGAAACTGTGTCGGCTACAGTAGGGATCGTGTTCTTCCCATGGTTCCCAGGTTCGTCCAAGATCAATACGAACGAGGTCCCTTGTCTCATCTAGGACCTAAGACAGCATTTAGACAGCTTTGGACCTCCTCTATGTTGCCAAGACGGCCAGTACACTCAGCCCTCATAAGTCTCCGTACGCGCATGTTGGCAGGATTCCAGCAAACCAGTGGGATTATTAGAAATACTGGAATAAGCACCCTGGAATAAGCGTTAGGGATGGCTAATGAAGATCCAAATGCTTATTCCGGTGTGCTTATTCTAATTTGATGAATTTACCGTGATTTGCTGGAAGGGTCATGTACGGAGACATATGAGGGTTCAGTGTACAGCACATACTTCCCCGATTCATCTCATGGTCCCGACGGGTAATACGCCTTATATACCTGTAGGGCGCTCTCCACGCACTGAAGTACACCAAGCGAGGTTGTTATCATCAATACCAATATAGCAACCCAGAAGGTGTACCACTGAACCCCATTGCGTCTGTCATACCACCACTGGGAAATGCTCCTCGGCGTTGCTTCGTCGTATGCTCGTTTCAACACAACCAGCCGGTCATGCCAGAACTTGAACCTCTCGATCTGCCTGGAGTCTGCTCTCAGGTTCCCGCACCTGGCGAGCTGCTCATCGACCAAGATTGTCGAGCCCATGCGGAGCGCCTGGTACCATTGTCGTTTGCGTTTCTTGGTACGGAAAGGGGAGGCGAATTCCGACTGCGGAAACAGCAGGGCGAGCGTGTTCAGCGTCTCCTCTGCGATCCCGTCGGGTAACACGCCACTAAAACAATAACCATATGTTGGTGGGTTTCTCACGAAGGGGAAGGTAGCTGTCATTGTTGGCTACTCACTTTTTCTGATGCTTCAGGAAAGAAGCATGATGATATATGAGCACCTTCATGTCATCTTCTATGAGCAGCAGATGGTCTGCAAGGTTGTCGGTGAAGCCAATGTCGATGCCGCCCACTGCCTGAAGGCTCCAAGCATCAAAGGACTTCGGCAGCCTAACTAGGTCATCCTTGAGCACTGGCAGTGTACCGAAATGGTCCGAAAGGAAGTCTTGCAACGTTCCTTCGGTCCAGCTCAGCACTCTCTCGGCAAACAATTCCGACTTTGAACGTCCGATCTCTACCATGGCGAGAAGGCGAGCGGCCAGGTTGATAGATTGTTCACACACTTCGCCAGTTGTCGTCGGCGAGTGGGACAGGATTGTCGACACGAGCTCGCTATATCGTGCGCCACCTTTGATGCGGTTGACAATAGGCATAATGTCCTCGTAACTTTTCGTGACGGTGTGTTGATCATCCGTGTGCTCGACCATATATAACCACTGGCGCTGGAGAAACCACGTGTAGGAGTGTGGTACTGAAGCCTTTACGTCAAGGCCCTCATTCAGGGACCATAGTGTCCGGACAAGGTCCTGGGCAGACGGCTCACGATGCGGCCCGGTCGCGCCAGAAAGATGAAAAAATCTAAGCATGGCGGAATCTCTCTCGGTCAACCAACAATCACCCAGCTGTGTCGTTATGCGTTTGCGGTCTGACGGTGTAGTATGTGAAAGATACAAGTGCCAAGTTACCATGAACCCTGCTTAAGGAGGGCTGCGCCTGGTGTTTCTTGCGAATGGCCCCGTATGGATTTGAGCTCAGGCTCTGCAGCTGAGCATACCGATCTAGTAAGACAATCGAGGGCGGCCTCTCGAGAGCGTCCCCTTAGCGGTGGCACTGCATGCATACAGGCTCATGATAGGTCCGTTCAACGCCACATGAACCTCGACGCGCCAGGGTTTGCTGTACCCCATCTTGTTCGGGCGTCTCAACGGAGGAGCATTTTGGACTATACCAAAAATCCATAGGGCCATCGAAACCCCGTTCTTGCGGGAACTCCTACGCCCGTCTTGCGACTTCGCGATGCGCGAGGATGTTCTTGGACAGCGTACTGCCAAAGAAGAAGCAGTGTTGGTCGGGTGCGGGGAGTTGCATCGGACGTAGGATCCAAACCCAAAGGACCGGTCGGTCCACGGCCTGGTTCGCTATCGGAGACGCTCAGAAGGTTTTCGACGAGACATTGGTCCCTGAAATTCGCTCCTTGCTCGACGCAGCCGGAGTCGTCTACCCTGGAGTCCACTTGCGTCTTTACATGGTTGGGTCTCGCGAAGAAAAGGCGTCCCCAACCATCATGGTATGCTGCGAAGATCCTTCGGTCCGGAAACACATCAAAGCATCGATCCAAGAAAGCAAATTACTCCATGGCCATCCTGGCTTCCGACTAGGTTCTAGTGCTCTACCGCTCGAAGCGCCTGTACCGCCGACGAGGCTAGCCGATGACGAGGCCGCTTCTTCGCACGGGAGGCAGCAAACATGCCCGACAGTCGACGAAGCTGAATCCATCAATATATATAGCCTTCTTTCGAATACAGGATCAATTGTAGGAAGCCGTTTCATCGCCAAGAAAAACTTCAGCCAAGATTTCATTCGCGCCGCAACGGCCGGAGTAGTCTGGCAGATAGATCACGACTTCTATCAGTTCACCGTCGGCCATATCTGCGACCCCAGGGAAGATAATTCGACGAATGGTGGGTGGGACCTGGAAGAGTGTGATCTGGGACTCTCGGAGGATGAGGAATATGGTCATGACAACGATCTACTGCCGGCGGGATCTGAGATCACAAGCCGAGGCAGCCGCTCTACATCGCCTTCCTCGTCGCGGAACGATACAGCGTCGCCATCTCCAACTGAAAGTGCGTCCAGCGGCAGCCGTGCCGGTTTAGAGTTGCAGCTCTGGACTGGCGGAAGACATTATGACACACCTATTTCCACGCCCGGCGACGGTGACTCTAAACCCAGCCGGGTAGGAGCTATAAAGCTACGCTCGACAGACAGTCCAAGTTCAGCTCTGGATTTGGATTATGCTTTGGTCCTGTTGGATCCGGCTGCAGACTTAGATTATCTCGATCATGCAACTATCAACCAAATCTGCTACACGAGGTCAGGATCGAAGCAATTCATGAATGTTTCAAGACCTGCTCCTATACCCGATACGGAGGTTGATGTGCTCATCGCAACTTCATCGGGAGGAGTCCAGGATGGCACTCTCCTTCCTTCCACAGACTACCATCTTCAAGAGAGCCCCGCCGGATCATGCCGGAAGACTCACGTCGTCCTAGTCGACGGCTCGGTCGTCGAAGGTGACTGTGGAGCAGTTGTCATCAATGCGCAGACGGGAGAGCTGTATGGTCATATTGTGTCCGGCTGCGCAGGTACGAGCATCGCATATATCGTCCCCGGAAGCGACATCTTCGAAGACATCTCCGCACGTTTCGGCTTTCTCCTAGACGGCGATCTTATTCAGGTATCTCGCGGCGCCGACGAAGAGGATTGGGAGGAACTCCTCAGCCGGACATCGGCTTCAGAGCAAGTCGACTGGGCAGAAAGAAGCACGGTACTAAGCATAACTTCGCATGCAGATGCCGATGTCTCGGTACCACGCCCCCGTTTGACAGTTCGTCGAGATCATGCGCACCCCTCATGGGTATATGCGACTTCATCGCCAGCGCTGCCAGTGGTATATAGATGGCTGATCGATGTCGAAGAGCCTTCGCAATCCAGCCAGCCGCATAGTCATACGACACTGAGCCTGTCCCGGAAATATCAGCACCTGACGGACGCTGTCATGTCATACCGGGTTTCGCCGAATACCGTGGGTTTTATGATAGCGATTGTTCAGGTGTTCATCCAGACACCTCCACAAGACCATATACTATGGCTGCGATTCGCGGAGCTTATCATCACGATTATGGAGGATTTCTGGAATAAAGCGATGGTGATAGACAATGCTGCTATCACGCTCATGGTCCTCCGAGCATTCAACGAAATTCTGGATGCGCTGCTAGAGGGCTCACCACATCCGTCGCCGATGTTCGCAACAGCGAAGACGCTTTGGCTCGAAAGGTTGACGGACTCCCGTCGATCTAGCTCATCTGCGGGCACAATATCTCGTGGGGAAGCCGAGGAGGTGCCAGATCAGTCCGCCAGCGACTCCGGCCGGCAATAGTCTCATCGAACAGAACCTGTCAAGGATTCTTGCAATGCCCCAGAACATGTAATGGCCGAGAGATTGTTGGTATTATGCAGTCGGACAGGCGTCTGTTCATCTTACATTGATGGAACAAGGATACGGCAGATCGGACTGAACCATCATATATATCCTGTTCGCCTCCCAAGGGTTCCATGATGAATTCTAGCAAATGAGCAGCAATCCGGTGGTTATCCCAGCTACCTTACCCTTGGATAAGCACCCATCAGTCGAGGTGGCTATGCACATTGGTACTCGAGGTGTCTGCCCTTTACACTCGAGGCTATGGAAATCACCGATGACTGGGCACGAGCGCTGATCCAGAGGAGAGATGAGACCAATGTCTGACTGTATTCGAGAGAATATAGTGAACAAGACATGTTCGGCCGTGTGCAGTGGGTGCTACACTACAGAGCCAGCCTCACTTTCAGCAGGTCTTGCTCTATGATTTGGTCCCTTCTTTGGGCTGCTAGTCAACTCGGGCAGATCCCAGGTGCAATTGATGTACCGCCCACTCAGCCACTCGCGCTTCTCGTCCGTCAAGTACACCAAGCTGTCCGCGCACAGCTCGACAGTCTCGGTGAAGACAGCTTTGAACTGTTCGTCCATGCCTTCTCCGCCGTCGACGATGTCTGTCAGGATATTGCCTGGATGGACTGCGAATGCCACCAAGCCCTGATCCTTATACTCGGCGGCTGCGAACTCCATGAGGCGCAGGACAGCCAATTTACTCGGTTGGTATGCGGAGAGGCCGGGCATCACGACATGCGCGCCGACGCTCGAAACGGTTATGAGCGTCTTCTGTTGGCCTTTGAGAAGCAGTGGGATGCACGATCGGCTGATCAAATACGGTCCCCGGACGTTGACTTCGTACGTGCGCCACCAAGCGTCAGGTGAAGTATCGGCGATGTACTTCATCTCGTCGAGAATGCCAGCATTGTTGATGGCGATGTCGAGGTTTCCGAACTGGGTATCCATTTGCTTCGCCGCGTCTTCCACGGAAGCCTGACTTGTGACGTCCAGCTCGATGGTCAAGACCTCTGGCTCCGGCCTCCCAGCCTCACGAGCCGCCTTCTTGAGCGTTGCGGCAACCTCTGTCAGGTCGGAGCGCGCGCCGATGGCTATGTGGCTGGCTCCGGCTCGAGCATAAGCGATGGCTAAGGCACGACCGATGCCTCTAGAGGCGCCGGATACGAAGACTGCATGCCCGGTATGGTCTGCTTTCGTCGGGTCTATGGCAGGGTAAGTATCATTGTGGATGATCTTGGTAGTGGTGTAGTCGCCGGGCCCTTCGATTGGATTCCAGGCTCCTTGAGGTGGCGGCATGTCCAATGTTTGTGGAAGCAACGAAAAGACTGTGTGTCTAAGATAGGAGGTGGAGAGTCCGGCACTGCGAAGGATGCATACCGCTCAATGGATCCTTGAGGCATCCCCTTATACATATACCGTGGAGGTGATGAGGACATTGTACTCTCAGCTTATAAATCTCGGTCGTAACGCATCACTAGTGCTATCGATTCTTCGCAAGTTCGCAAGTTCGCAAGTTCGCATCCATGGCTGAACCATGATGTGGGGAGCGTCCGTGGGAAGTGTCCATGTAAAGCGTGCTTGAGGAGCCTCTGGAAGAAGACTTAGGTAGGTAGGCACACGGCGATTGGGCTGCTAACGCCGAAGCGGCATTACGGCGTATCAGAGGGTACGGTTGATCACATCGGCATTAGGCCATCGGCAATGAATAAGACGGGGTTGATCACCTATCCTTGTTGCCTGTGCCCCAAAGACGCATGACTTGACGGGAGGCAATATACGATGATGACTGGCGAGCTCTGACAGGTAGTATCCCAAAAACATCATGAGTCGTGGAAGTATCTCGCTTGAAGGTTGAAGGTGACGGCCTCCGCTCGCCAACACTGTGATATCAACATTGAACGCATAAACCGGAAAATGCAGCAGCATTTCGTTCTCATACATGTGCATATACTTGTCAGGGCAGCGTATAGCCATCACCACACCGCCAGAGTCCCAATATCAAGAAGTGCCTTCTTTCTCTCCCACTCGCTGTCACAAGCACGACGTCCCAAAAGGAGACAAAAGTCAGAAGACGACGATCAACATCTTCAGTTGCTTGCTCCTCATAAGCCGAGTAAATTACTACTAGATTACTCCTATCTACATAGTCCAAAAAAAAAAAAAAGGGTTTCGCCCCCGTAAGAACGCCGCCGCTATGCAAACGCAGTGTGGAAACTTCTGCTTTCAAACCCGCTCTCGAAAATGCTCGAAAATGCATGTGTGGTACTGTGCTGGCGCATTTCCCATGGTCTGTCCAAAGGGGACCAGCGCTCTCATTAACGATTAGGTCGACGTAGCGGTATGACAGGATCCACAATCTCGTTCTCCCCTAGCATCGGCAGGAGACATGAAATCGTGACACTCGCCTGCTCTCCAAGGTCCCCGTGACCTTCCTCTGTGGATTGATCGTCACGTTCTTCCGAAGTAACGGCTCCTCCTATCAAGGGCATCGCCTCACCACCGGATTGAGTACCGCGGAATTGGTCATCACCATCGGATACATCATTTCCGCTAGATGTTTCGGCGAGGTTCGTTCCCAAGGTCTTAGCCGTGTCCGCTGCATCAGGAGGTACGCTGACGGCGTCTTCATTATTGGAAATGAGGACAGACTTCGAATCCACACGATCATAGAAGAGCATAAAGACACCCCCTTGACCAAGGACAACGTCCTTGGACACTTCCCATACACTTTCGTCGCTCATCCGCCACCACTTCAAATCAGAATCTGAATCGATGTTCTCCGTGCTTCGGTCCCCCACCAATGTATCTTCGTCGTCCCGAATGCTGCTATCATCTTCGTTCAAGAGTGTATTGCAGCCTTTTTCAGAAGGTTCGTCTGTTTTCGGTGTACGAGCGGGGTGTCTTCGGTAACAAATGTAATGTCCATTCTCATGCCGACCCTGGTGAGTGATAACGGAACGCAGCTGGTAGAAAGGACCGCTGATCTTGGATGGTTTGAGCTCTCCTGATACCATGGAGGACTTTGGGTCCGACAGCCACTGCTCCTCATCGCTTGATGTCGTGTTGCTCGACACCCCATCAGCTTCGACCTGGCCTTTCTCGTGGTTAGGCCAAGTGCCCGCACTCCCTAGACACCATGGACCGAGGTCAAGCAGCTCTGGGAACTGAACTGACGCAAGATTCTTGAACATTTTGCCGGTACGCTCGTCGAAAACCGACCTGTTTATATGAACAGCGAGGCTCTGCGGCGGCCGTGCTATGACCATCTGTTTGGTCTTAGTCGAGTTGACCCGGTTCTTTTTCGGTATCTTGCACTTGTCGGCCAGCGTCTCCTCCTCGAAATCGTCTTCCTCCAGAGCGAGTTCGACAGCCTCAAGACGCGAAAGAGCCTCCTGTACTGACGCGTCCGCTGAGTCCATATCTCTACTTCTCGAGACGATTATATTCAAGAGTCTCTGGATCTTCAACAGGGTGCACTTGGGACACTCCACCCCCTCAATGGCTTCGAGATCGGTGTAGGAGTCTAACCTCTCATAAAGGTCATGCGAGCCCTGGCCAACCCCAAGACTCAGAGTGAGACAGTTAAATGGGATCATGGACAGACCCTCACAATAGCCACATTGGACACAGGCAACTCGCTGGGCTACCAAGCCTTCCAATGGATTCTTTATGATTTTGACCTCTGAATTAGTTTTCGACAGGGTGGTCAAGGACTGATATCCACTGTCGTCGCTGTGCTGGCTGTCCTCGGTATCGTCCCTGGCGCCTACTGTCTCGAGGCCAGGCGGCCGGTACTGGGTCTTGGCAGCCCGCGTGACCTCCTTGTCGACCTCGTCTAGTATCTTGGAGAAGTATTCCTGGGCATCCTGCTGCTGCCATGTGTCGAGTGACTTCAACTTTCTTGGCGTCCACAGTGTCGCTCCATTGTTTGCAGCATCGGTCAGCTGGTTTATCAACTCCCGCAACGTGGCTGCTGAGCCCGAGTCGCGGTCACTCCTCGCTTGCTCGTGTACCAAAGCGGTTTCGAGGTAGTCTGGCAAGGTGTCCAACGATGACAGTCCTTGGAGGATGCTGTTCTGAAAGCAGGAGTTATCGTAGTTGCCTAGGCCGGGAGGTGAATCGGTGTTCTGCTTGACGAATGTACTGCCTGACAGGGTTGTAAGGCTTCTCCCAGCCTGGGCCACGGAACTGATGATGCCCCCCGGCTTGTCCATGCCAAGGATGCGCCGAAGGATTTCGCCCTTCGCAGCATGTGTGGTGGGTAGTTTGGGCAACATGGTCTTCGAGAGTGGGAACATGGGCGGATGGAGCCAGTTGTCGAGGAGGTAGAGTACCCTCGCGGGGGTGACAGCGATGATAAAATCCCATACAAGCTCGCCTGGATGTCTCGTGGGAGAGAAAGGCGAAGAATGTAAAGATTGGTAGACGATGGTGAAGGCAAGAAGTAGGAGAGGGACCAGCACGCCGGGCTGCAGTAGCCGCTCCCACAGAGTGTCGTAGATGTTGTTGCTGTGCGCAGAGGTATCGGGTCGGTCGGGCTGGAGCTGCTTCTCCAGGTGGTGAGAGCGCATTCTGGTTGGAGGTCGGTCGAGCATGTGGTTGCGTTGTTGGTGTTCAGGGTCGAGCGGGAGGGACGAGTCTAGGAAAGGGCAGGACAGCCATGTCAGGGAGGTCGGTATCTCTTGAGTCGGTCGGAGTTGCGCGCTCGTGGCTTGTGAAGTGCGTTACCGCGAAGGACGGTGGGAAAGACAAGGCGTTCGATGTCACGATCGCATCCAAGGCGTGCGCGCAAGTCGTGTTGTTCAAAGTAGGCAAGATGGGACAGATGGCACGGAAGTCAATAGCGTACCGGTAGCATGGCAAAGTCGACGGACTGTGGACAGGTTGTATTTTAGCGGGCCGGGGCCATGGCTGCGGGCATTGCCATCAGTCCTTATCGCTGTTATCGTATCGTATCTTAATCGCATCTTTTTGGCGGGGTAGAATTTATGGGAGACGGTCTGAATTCTGGCCGCTATCACCACCCACAATCGACAGAAACAGGACAAAGACAAAGACACCCACGCAGGCAGCACCAACTATGGCGAAACCTGGCTTGGGAAAGAAGAAGAAAGGTGACCTGGCGACTGCAGCGAAACATTCACTGCACCAATTGAGGCTAACATTATCTACAGCGCCATCTGTTCACTCGCGCGCTGCGAGACGAGCCACCTCGCCCAGCATCAACACCGACAAGTCCCTGAAGAATGTCCAGCCCCCTGCCGACTCGGTTAACCACCGCCCCTCGGTGCTTGCGATCCACCAGGGAGCGGGCGTCTCGAAGAAGCAGAAGAAGGGCAGACAACTGACCTCGAAGGCTCTAAGAAGACAGGAGAAGGACCAGGAACGTGCTGCCGCCATCCTGGAGAGAACACAGCAGAAAGTGGCCAAGAGCAAAGACCAGTCTCGAGTCATACAGTCGAGGAGTAAGACGTGGGACGAAGTCAACCAGCAGATACCGGCGGGCAAGAGTGATCCCAAGCAAAATACAGTTGGAGAGGAGGAATGGGAGGATCAGGGCGAATCCGAGTTCGACGAGGAGATGGGCGAGGCGGACGGCGGGAAGCCACAGGAAAAGACTGACGTTGCCGTGGCCACGTCTATGGACGCGGATGATGATGCGATACTGTAATCGCACATTTAATTCATGTTCCAAAGGGCTTATGTTACAGGCGTTAAGGGGAGATACATCGTCTCACAGATACCACCTTCAATTTCACCATCCGTGTTCTCCAATTCCATCACCACCTGTCTTCAGTTTGAATGACCACCTGCAGTCCCACATGCAATATTCAACCACTTTCAGCACCCCACGCCCCACTAAGAGACAGGGCCTGCAAGCCAAGTTTTGGCGGCATCTCTTCAAAGCTCCCCGGCTCCACTCAAATGTAACCTTCATGGCTTCTCCAGAAAGTCGAATAGTTCAACTTCGTACCCCCCGACCCTATCGCCCTCGCGCACGCATCGCCCACAATGCCGCCGAAACGCATGACAGCAAACCCCGTCAAACCCTCGCGGTACCGCGCAGGCAAAGCGACCGGCGCCTCCTCGTCCGAATCCGACTCAGAAGGCAGCGACGCCGAAGCCGAGCAACCACAACAGCAGAAGCAGCAGCCAGAGCGCAAGATCGCACCCCCGCCGAAAGTCCCGAGCGCCGGCAAGATAATCAGCAACCTCGGCAAGGTCGACCTCAACGAGCGGCGGCGACAGGGGCAGGAGGCAGAGGAGCGGCGCGTTGCCGCCGAGAAAGCCGCCCGCCTAGCCGCTGAGGAAGGTTTCGTGACAGAGAGCGAAGAGGATGAGGACGCGGAAGAGGATGGGAGCGAAGAGGAAAGCGGCGATGGTGAAGATGAAGAGGAGGAGAGCAGCGAAGAAGAGGCGCCGAGACGGCCGATGTTGAAGCCCAAGTTTGTGCCAAAAAGCCAACGGGGGAAGGGTAAAACCGAGTCCGGCAAAGACCAAGACGAGGAAGCCAAGTTCGCCGAGGAAGAGGCCCGTAAGAAGAAGGCCATGGACGACATGGTCGAGGAGCAGATGCGCAAAGATGCCGCTGCGCGCGCAGCCGGCAAGAAGCACTGGGACGATGTCATAGACGAGGAAGACGACGTCGATACCGAGGACGACAAAGACCCCGAGGCCGAGCTCGCAGCGTGGAAGCTACGGGAACTGAAGCGCATCAAGCGGGAGCGCGAAGCCATAGAGGCACGTGAGAAAGAGCGCGAGGAAGTCGAGCGCCGTCGCAACCTGACCGAGGAAGAGCGCAAGGCCGAGGACGAAGCCTTCCTGGCCAAGCAGAAGGACGAAAAGGACGCCAAGGGCAAGATGTCGTACATGCAGAAGTACTTCCACAAGGGCGCCTTCTACCAGGACGACGCCGAGGCCGAGGGGCTGGCCAAGCGCGACGTCATGGGCGCGCGCTTCGCCGACGACATCAAGAACCGCGAGCTGCTGCCCAAGGCCCTGCAGATCCGCGACGCCACCAAGATCGGCAAGAAGGGCGCTACGAAGTACCGCGATCTGAAGTCCGAGGACACGGGCCAGTGGGGCGACTTCCGCGATACGCGGCCCGGCAAGGGGTTCGATCGGTTCGACGTGGACGACAGGTTCAAATCCGACCGCGATCGCGAGAGGATTGGGCCGGGCGGAGCGAACGCAGTGCCTCTAGGGGACCGGAAGTCTGTGCCTGGTGCGCCAGAGGGCCCCAGGAATCCGGGCCGCGGACGGGATAGCGATAGGTATCGAGAACGGGACAGAGATGGCAGCCGTGATCGGAATAGCTACCGCCCGCGAGATGACTATGACCGGCGGAGGGAGCATTCGAGATCGAGGTCTCCAAGAAGGTCCGACCGCGATTATCACAGCAGCCGGAGGAAGAGAGATTCCTCACGGGACACTGATCGCTACGAGAGTGACAAGAGACGAAGGATAGATACCAGATAAGAAACGGGCCATAATGGGCGCGAATGTTCATGCATTCATGACAGCTTCGTTGAGCAATTGTACATACATACGACTATCAAACCTCGTACCTGCCCGCCGCCTACTGATGCATCCGATGGGCCTCCTAAACCTGACCGTAGACCGTGATTCGTCGTTCTCCTACGTGATTATATCCTCGTGATCTCCACCCTCGCTCTCTCAAACACTCTGTGGCCAACCATGCTGCCGCTGGTAGCCTCCTCCTCCGTCAGCTTGGGCGGATAGAGTGTCATGCGCGCATATGTGCCCGCGCCTCTCCGTTTCGAGAGGTAGCCCGGGTTGATTACCAGCACACTTTCTACGACCTACAGACACGCCTCGGTCAGCAAACGACTCGCCAGACATGCTCGGATATCAGGAATGGTAGACTCACCCTTGCAAACGGCGGCAACGCACTAGGCACGACCACGACATCAGGCCGTACGTTGACCATCTCGCCGAGCTTCAAGTAGCTCGTGTCGAGCATGGCGCCTGTCGGCAGCCCCTCCTCCGTGCCGGCCTTGGGCAGCTTCGAACAGTCGACGGGCGGGAACACGGGGTAGTAGTGGCGCTGCTCGATCAGGTAGCGCGCGATGCGCGAAAGCAGGTTCGGGTCGGCGGCGCGCGGGCCCACGAGCTCCTGGTGCCGCAGGTCCCACAGGACGTCCTGCGACGACAAGCCCAAAACCGTCTCGTTGACCGAGAGCGTCATCGGGTTGCCGATGATCTTGGCCGTCTTGGGCAGGCCCAGCTCCTTGCGCGGGAACGGCTCCTGCGGCCAGGCGACGTGCTTGGCGATGGCGTCGCGCACCGACGGGATCAGCAGGATCGTGACGCTGGGGTTCGCGGCGGCCAGCCGGTTCAGCGCCGGCGAGATCATGTACTTGAAGACGGTCGTCAGGGTCGCCGTGTCCGGGTCGATGGTCGCGTCCTCGGGCAGGTCGAAGTCGCCCGTTGCGATGAGCGGGTGGTCGACGTCGATGAAGGGCCCCGTCAGCACGAGCACGTCGGCGTACGTGTCAGCGGCCTGGCTGCAGAGGGCGTGCAGCGGTTCGAAGTCGAGGTTGTCGTCGGCTGAGTAGGGGCCCGAACTGAAGATAACGTTCAGGGGTGCGGGCTCGTCGTCCGAGTCCATCGCGTCCGGACCTCCTCGGAGCTTCTCCCTGTGCGCGTCGATGGCGGCTGGTGATGAGGCGGCATTGTGCAGCAGGGGTATCTCCATCACCTCGTGAACTACAAACTCGTGCCCTGCCGAGTTGATGCCCTTGAATGCGACGGTCTGTCCGGGGAAGAACTGGTATCGTCCGTTGAGCTTCTGCAGATTCAGCGGGATCCTGCGACCTCCCCCCGTTCGTCTCGCCGTCTCCATTACGAGCGATGCGGCGTTCAGCTTGCCTTCGGACGAATCTGACGCGATTCGGCCAACAGCTACAATCTCAGTCGTGCTCTGGCTGGCGGCGCTGCCAAACTCGCTCTCGTCCAGTTTATGATGATCTCTCACCAGGATTGCGAACTCGTCTATCCGGTCATCCAGAATCTCCGATGCTTCCGACGACTTCATGGCCAAGGTCTTGTAGCCCAGTTTCTTCTGGTCTGAAGCGGCCGTCAATTTGATTCTTGACTCTGGGTACGGTGCGATTGGAGGATCCGCAGGCTTGAGATGTTCATTTAGAACCTCAATTACATCACCCGGGTTCTGCCGATCGTTGAATGAAGACGGCCTATGATGGTTCAGTGCTTCCGGTGATTATAGGCGTGAAGTGGTAGAGACAACTTACGGGATTGCGTTCATAGAGTCTAGTAGTTGGTTTTCTAATCGCATAGGGCTCTTGTAGTCTGGTGAGCTGCTAGGAATATTACCCTTGACTCGGTACATGGAAGGAGTCTCGAGCTGGTTTCTCCTTTTCGCTGCGCTCTTGTTCAGCTTCCCCGTCGCTGGCGTATTAGGGACCATGCCGTCCAACCTAAGCAGAGTCAGCATGCCAGGCCGGCCTCGATAGGTATCCCGTCATCGACGTACATGCCGAATACATCGCCTCCATTCTTGACAGCTGCGCGGGGAGTTGAGCCTGACCGCTTCTCTGTCTTGATGTGGACGTGGTGCGAGCGGTTGCTTCGCTCCAGGGCATCTTGTATGTCTTGCTTCAATGCCCGTAAGGTTTGGACGGACAACCTCATCTCATCCATGTCCATCTTTATGCAGTAGGACTCCCACTTGAAGAACAGGTCCTGCGGAGACAGCGAATGCATTCGCATGATGGACTGGAGTTCGGCGACAACATCGGGTTCGAGTTCTTTGTCTCCGACTGCGAACAGTTCATTCAATTCTTGCAGGTCTGTTTCAGACATTTTGTTGTGTACTTATCAGGTTACAAGATGTCTGTGTCGGTTTGAGTGGTTGACGCGGATCAGTGACAATGCTTGGCCTCGTTGTAGAAAGTCGTTGAAGATTGAAGATGTCTGTGAGGGAGACGCGGTTTCGATTTCTGTCGACGCGTCTGGTCGTGTTAATTGATTTATTGACAGGGCTCTTTTTCAGCGGCCTTCCAGTGATCTATGAGACCCCGAGACCCCCACCTTAGCACCATCTCGGCACCAGTCTAGCAGGGATCATGGCCCGGGCTGCCGGGCCCCTGGCTGCAGCGGTCATTACGCAACCAATATGGAAGGGTCCATCCAATTCAATAATTTCACTTCTCGAGCTCTGAAAGGAGGCTGACAACTTTGAACCCCCCATACCTAACGTGCCTCCTGATTATATCAAGCCCATTTCCTCCTGCGGCTTCATTCAACCTATGAGAACCTCCTGCTTGACTTGTTCGCCCAATCTACTTCATCGTTCAAAACGCAACCACACCAAAAACTAACCTCAGAATGGCTACAGACGAGAAGGACACTGCTGGTGTTCTCCAAGTCCCCCTTGCGGCTCCCAATGCCGGCAGTGCTCCACCCGAGAAGCCTGTCCTCACCGCGGATCAGCAAACCAAATACAATGGTCTTCTAGAGAAAGTCAAGACCTGGACAGATGTCTCGGCGACCAAGGGCAAGGAAGGCCCCCTGACCGACAGCGAGAGGATGTGGCTCACGAGAGAATGTCTCCTGCGATATCTCAGAGCGACAAAGTGGAACCAGAAGGACTCCGAGAAGCGCATTCTCGAGACCCTGACTTGGCGAAGAGAGTACGGGGTCGAGGAGCTGACGGCGGACCATGTCGGACCTGAGAACGAGACCGGCAAGCAAATCATCGTGGGCTACGACAAGCAGGCCCGCCCTTGCCTCTACTTGAGCCCAGGCCGCCAGAACACCGACGTATCACCACGACAGAACCAGCACCTGGTGTTCATGCTCGAACGTGTCATCGAGCTCATGCCCGCTCACCAGGAGACTTTGAGTCTGCTAATCAACTTCAAGTCGAGCAAGAACCGCTCCAACACCGCCCCCGGTATCGGTCAAGGTCGGGAGGTACTGAACATCCTCCAGACGCATTACCCGGAGAGACTGGGACGAGCTATGATCATCAATGGTAAGCTGCGGCTATACTCAAGATGGGAATCCTATTAGCTAGTAGGTCGCTAACACGATCGAACAGTTCCCTGGGTCGTGTGGGGTTTCTTCAAGCTGATCACGCCTTTCATTGACCCCCTGACGCGGGAGAAGCTGAAGTTCAACGAGGACATGGCCCAATACGTTCCCAAGGAACAGCTGTGGAGCGAATTCACGGGCGGTGAACTGCAATTTGATTACGACCATTCTGTCTACTGGCCAGCGTTGCAGAAGCTCTGCGCTGAACGACGTGCCGAGTGGACGCAAAGATGGGAGGCTGGAGGCAAGCAGGTTGGCGAGACGGAGGATTATCTCAAAGGCCTTGTCCCAGAAGGACTGTCGCCGTCAACTCCAGCCCCTGCCGTGGTAGAAAATGAGAGCAAGATGGCAACTAAGGAAGCCTAGGGTGCCCCGAAACCCTGATGGGTTGAAGTCTGAAAATAGCTTTGCTTTTTTAGAGGTGGTCGTTTCCAAAGAGCATAGAGAGAGACATGATCTGGCGTTTGCTTTGGGGAGAGTTTCAGTACCTAGACTAAGCTGCCATCGACTAATAGAGTATTCATAAATGTCGTTGAGCTGAGACAGTCTTGCAGTATGGTGACACGCCCCAAAATAAGCATACAGTGCACTGCGACCTTGCTTTAGGAGGAGCAAGAGATACCCGACATGTTCTAGTCTTTCCTGTAGGTAGTGTCGGGATAGGGGGTGGTTGTAAGTCACTAAAAAGTACCGATACACCCCGGTGGCTGTGCGATGTGCGATGTGCGCGCCTCCAGTCCCAACCTAAGCTCCAGTGATCCACAGAGAGGACTGTGGTGGGACTTCGAGGAGCAACCTTCAATTGCACCAACGCGCGACAGCTCCGGACGATTACTACTACAACACCTTGAATACGGGAACACGATCACGAACCCGAACCTAGTGAGCCAGAAGACACAACGCAATGTCGAATATGCAGCCCAGCAAGGGCAGCGGCAAAGAGCAGCCGGGTCTGCGCTACCCGACCAACGGCAAGACAATCTACCACCGGCCCTTGAACCGAACCAAGACGGCCGAGCTCAGCGGCGCAAGCTTCGCCTACCTGTTCGCCGAGATGGTGAGCTATGCGTCCAAGAGGATAGAGAGCATCCAGGACCTAGAGAAGCGGTAAGCAGACATGCTCGCCCCTTGGTGTCCCTTGTCCCTTGTCTAACGCAAGCCCGCCAGACTCAACGTGCAAGGCCACCCGATCGGTCTGAAGCTCCTCGACCTTCTCCTCTACCGCGAGCCGGCGCGGTCGCAGACGCGGCCCCTCAACATCATCGCGCTGCTGCACTTCATCAAGCTCAACGTGTGGCAGCACCTGTTCGGCGCGGCGGCCGACGGGCTGGAGAAGTCGTCGGACCCAGCGAAGCCTGACGAGTATATGATCATCGACAACGAGCCGCTCGTCAACCGCTACGTCAGCGTCCCCCGGGACATGAGCCAGCTCAACTGCGCCGCCTACGTCGCGGGCATTATAGAGGGCGTCTGCGACGGCGCCGCGTTTCCCGCCCGCGTCACCGCCCACAGCGTCGGCCGCCAGGAGGACGGCGGCGCGAGTGGCGCCCCCGCCGAGATGTGGCCCGGCCGCACCGTGTTCCTGGTCAAGTTCGCGCCCGAGGTCATGGAGCGGGAGGGCTACCTGGGGAAGGGCTGATTGGTATGTATACATGAATTTTCTCTCGTAAGAGCGCGTTAGAGAAAGAGCAGGAGGTGGATTAGCATGCATTGCAAGGCGTTTCGGAGGGTCGGTTTGGAGTTCTGGTGGATTTATATTCACAGGCATGATATCATGGCATCACATTGACAGAGCCGGTTGCACCAAGTCTGTCTGTTGGAGGCTTACGCCCAAGTTCATTTAAAGCTCTTGAGCGCCCCAGGAGCAATCCTCCCAGTTCCGTACCAGACGCCTGAGCATGCCGTGTCCTACCTACAACGCCCACCCAAGAATGCAAACGCTTGTTCCCAGCCGCGGCCGACTCATCCATCATCAGCAGAAAGCACGTCGAAAAAGCTCCCCCAAAACTCCACCAGCAGCACATATATTTTCACAACTCCCCCGTCCCCATCATCACCGCGGCAGACCCTTATACGGCCTCGCACTCCCCTTGGCGGCGCCCTGGCCCTGGCCGGCGACCTGGCTGCCGGGCGGAGGCCCCTGGCGCATGAGCTCGGCCAACCCGAGGTCCTTCCAGGCCGGGTCGCGCCCGCGCTGCGTGGCCCTCTGGATGCCGAAGGCGGCGTGCTGGTCCGGCACCACGTCGTCCTCGTCCTCGGGGTTGATGGGCTGGTGGTGCGGCGGCACGTAGATCTCGTCGTCCGGCAGCTTCTCCTTGCAGAAGTCCTCGAATAAGTCCGCGTCGCGCGCCCGCTGCATGTGCGCGTACGTGTAGCAGCCGTCCTTGTTCTGTGTTGGGGGTTGGCTTGGGGTTAGCTGGCTGGCTGGTGGACTTGTGGTCGTTGGAGGTAGTGGAAGTAAGTGTTGGAGTGCGTACCATAGTTGCAGATTCACACACGTTGTCAGCTCGAGAAGTGGTGTTGTCTTTGGTTGCGAGAGCTCTCCTGCTGTAATCGGTGCGATATGAGGCTGTATCTGATCAGCTTGCGTCTGCCGCCGCGGAAGTGGGTTGTGGATCCCGGGTCCCTCTGCGATGGTGGGGCTGCTGTGGCGTCCAAGTACCTGTACTTCAAGAGACTTCCTAGCCCCTGACTTCCATCCATCTCCATCTCTAAAGCTACCCCTGGCACGATGTGAAAAGCCAAGAGGATGAAGTCCAGAAGCGATGAGTGTAATTAATCGAAGTGCTTGCTTTAGTGATCGAAGCTACCGGCAATGACTTGTCTGTAGGCAATCAAACCTTGACAAGCAGAACATCCGTTCATTGCTCATACCCAACTCACCACGACGAAATATCCAGTTAGGCATACAAAGCCATTGCCTCCTCAAACGTAATCAGGAAGTCCTATTCACATTGTTCAAGTCATACAACCAGTCCACAGAGTGTCAAAGTACGTCGACAAATTATACTGCGAAGGCAGTGGCAGCAGGATGGACAGACTGACTACATGTAGCGATGATGACTTGGAAACACAAGTATCAGGTCACCCCTCGCAGCCAGGGACATCACAGTTTGCGGTAGGGAGTATCAGCAGCGATTGGTGACGAATAAGTGCTTGCGCGAAGTGTTAACCCATCTTATTGTATCGACTGTTTGCCAGAGCTCATATACATGTAGACAGACTGTTGCAATCAGCCAACCAAAAGATGCAACACGATCCCGCCTTCTTGATTCCTCGCCCATCTTCAATGCACCCGCCTTGCGTCGCTTGATTTCGCAACGTCAGACTAAGCATTTCCCGGTAGGATCGTCCAGGCAAGGTGTAATGCTGATATGCCGTCATTCCGCTTGACGTCAAAGCGTGAGCCTAGGCTGCATCAAGATGATCATCTAGCTAAGATCGTGAAATAGGCGCGACGGAGGTTTTGGAGGAAACCTCTTGAAGGCTATCCTGGTTTACTTGCTGCGCTGAGGACTCGGTCCTCTTGGCTCTTGCTTTTTTTGTCAAGTTTGTAGATAAGGCAAGCAGTCAAGACGCTCGATCAGGTGCTGAAGAGGCTGGCACCAACGAACTGATGTTGTTTGACATGAGTCCCAAGGCTCGTTTTTCAATGAAGTGAAGGTGTATTTGTCGTTGTCATCATCTATGCTTCTTATTGCCTTTCGCAGTCTTCTCCTTGGGAGCAGCGGGTCTCTGTAACGGCGGTGGAGCCGGTCTAGACGGGGGCAAGTTCGGTCGTTTGCCCGGGAAGTAGACATTCTTATAGTAACGGAAGACGTCAGGAACACCGCCAAGCTTCCGCAGACGGAGCATGTAGAAGAGCACCCCGAACGCCGCGCCTCCCAGGTGAGCAGCGTGCCCGACCTTGCTGTTTACCGAGTTCAGCCTGTACGTATCATAGGCGACGTACCCGAGCGAGAGAACCCAAAGCGGTATGGCGATTGGAATGAAGAAGATCTGGAAAGGGGCGAAGGGCACCGTCAGTGCCGCGGCGGCGCTCAAGCCCGTGACGACACCACTGGCGCCCAGCCCGGCGGCCTCAAATTGGCCCTTGCGGCGCCAGTTGTATAGCGAGGCGGCACTGCTGGCCACCGCCGACCCCAACCCGAGGATGATGGTGTTGAAGACGCCAACACGAGCGGCCAGGGCTCACGAGACGAAGGCGTTGAAGCTGATCATGTTGAAAATCATGTGGCCCAGGCCCTCGTGGCTGATGGCACTGGTCAGAACCGTGCGCCAACGGCCCTCGCGCACGTTCTTCAGACTGACTGTGTAGCCCTCTTGCATTTCGTTGATGCGTCTGTAGCGCTCAGACTCGGGAATGTATCGGGGCATGGTGACGGAGCCGGCGTCACCGGGTCTGGCTTTCTGACGCTGGTTGGCGTCGACTTTGGCCTGCTGCCACCAGAAGAAGACGAGGCCATTCACGGCCCAGAACGGCCACACGATCATCTTGCGCGCGTCTTCAAGCGTGAGGTTTCTCAGAAAGGCCTTCGGTGGCTCACTGGAGTAGCATCGCTTAGGCGACGCCGGTGCGCATGTGAGTCTAGGTACTCGTGTCCATGGCTGGGTGGCCGAAGAAGGCGAATGCGTTGCGCGCAATGCCCTCATGCTCGCCGAGATCATGACAGGCCCGCCGCGATTGCTCAGTGGCGACATGGCGACTTGAGTGCGGCGGAACACAATGACTGATAGAGGAAGCCTTCCCAACGTTGAATAGAGATGGAGGCTGGTTCGTGTTGTCCCAAGGTTGCATCCTTTACGCGCCGACGCCACCTCACGTGACGCCAGTGCAACATCAGGCAAGCCCAAACTCGACAATGCCGGTCCCTTTGCTTTTTCAGATAGTCAAGAACAAGCAGCTAGGGAATTCAACTGGATTCAATCAGATGTACGTTGGGCTCGAGCGCTTCTGGCAAAGGTACCCGTTACACTCAGCCCTCGTAAGTCTCCGTACGTGCCATGTTAATAAGACTCTACGATCACGCGTATAAATTTCGAAATACTAGAATAAGTTTATAAGAATAAGCAGTTCTGGTTAGATACGCCATTTCCAGTGCTTGTTCTATAGTGCTTATTCTGATTTGAGAAATTTACCGTTGTTTGGTAGACGGGTGGTGTACGGAGAGTTATGAGGCTCAGTGTACCTAGATTATGAGACGCTCAATTACTGGCCTCAATCCTCTTCGAAATGCGTTGGCAGACATGAAAACGGAGTGAGCCCTCGCGGTGCTCGTATCGATGCCAAAGAATGGGGGACTTGGATATTCATTGTTGGCTATCTCAAAAGGTCACTGGCTATCCCTTCAAGGTAAGATGGGATAAGGGGCTCAGCTGTGGATAACACTATGTGAGCGACGGGACTAGCATGCTCAATGGTATATTCGAGTATACTAAGCTACCGTCGAACATGTTATGCATCCCACTTATACACGTGCTGTGTCGGCCGCATGCTCTCTGAGGGGTACAATACGTACCAATCTGACACTCGCCATAGTGCCAAAGCTGCGGTTCCCCTGATACCCATCGCCGTCTCCTTCGTGACGGTCCAAATGCCCCTGATATCCTATTCTAGTCCGCCTTTGTATACTAAACGTAATGCAACCGCAGCCGACACATCGGGCAGTCGGGTCTCATCTCGAGCGACTTCTTCACGCAGCTACCGTGGAAGGCGTGGTTGCATGGCAGGGTGATGACGCTGCTGTCTCTCTCATCCAGGCATATCGGACACGTCCAGTCGTTCGGACCCGTCCCGTCTTCGATGTTTGCTATGCCACCCCGTGTGGGATACCCGAACACTATGGTCATCTGCTCCTGGATTTCCGAAGCGTTTTTGAAGACAGCATACTGCTCCTGGGTCGGGAAGCCATCCCCGTCTGGTGTGTACAGCCGGAATGCTCGGTGATCGGTCGACGATGCGGCGGCGATAATCTCTTCGGCTACCCAGGGGACTTCCTCGGCGTTGGACGCCAGTGCGTCAGATCTAGGCACCGGCGATGCCGGACCGGGCTGGGCGTATCCGTCTTGCTGCACGGCATGTTCGTCATTTAGTGCAATATCCAACACCGTATTGACTGAAAGTTCTACCTCTTCTGCCACCGTCTGGGCGCATTCCTCCAAGATGCTGTGAAGGCGGTAGGGGAGGACCAGGAAGATTGCATTGAGGAGTATGGGAATGAAGCGATCCACGTTCATAGCCGTCGCGTAGAACGAGTCGTACGTTGCTGAGAACCGGCTGACGATGTCGAAGAATAAGCCGGGGAAAGGTGTTGTCTCCTCCCAGACGTCAAAGTCGAAAGTCCTGTAGAGGAATCCCAATCGCGTATTTGTGATCCTGTCCTGCTGTAAGACTCGGACGAGTCGAACAGCAGATGGGACATCTGTCACTGATAGCTGCATACCGATGGCTACATTATCACCGTTCCTCACACGGCGGAGATCGGTACGAAGATGCCAAACCATAATGGCCAGCGTCCGTACTGTCTGAACTGCCCAGTGAATACATGCCGTTCCAATAATCAACCATCGGGTGATTTGATTGGGCAGCACGGACCCGAGAAAGGAGAGAATCCTCGTCTTTCGCATCTCTGCGCGATGAGTCTAAGAGAATAATGTATGGGGCATATGGGTAACACCAGTCCGCTGACGGGGTCGGTAGAGCACTGTAGCTGAATGATTATATTGTATTTCGTCTGGGCTAGTCGATGAAGTATACAGCTGCATGGAATCACTGGGACATGTAGCAAGCAGGTCTGCCAGCACTGAGGTGAAGGCATGTCGTCTGCATCTAGTCCACCGCTGCTATGTGAAGAAGGCTCTGCCCGTGCATTGACGTTCGCTTCATCAGTAAGTGACGACCATTGGGAGGGTCCTTCCGAAGCATGATACTTCGCCAACTTATGTCTTAGGTAGGTACTTAGGTAAGTAGGTATAGGAAGGCACAATCGAAGAGCACCTTGGAGTCTCAAAACTGAGCTGAGCCCATCATATATGAGATTCTCTCTTGTCTAAACCCCAAGATCCATAAGCTGGCAAGTCTTCCCCAATTAAAATGTCCACGGTCTAGAACAGTACAATCATCCCCCATAAGTCTCTATCCGACATCCCTCTATCAAGTCCAATATGCCAGTGTTACGTTCATATTAATTGAACAAGCACCCTGGAATAAGCAGCATCAGTCCAAAAAGCTGTCTTTGATGCTTATACTAGAGTGCTTATCCCATTATAACAAATATATCCCTCGCTCGCTGAACGGTGGGTGTACGGGGACTTTTGGAGGTTCAGTGTACCTACTTCTGGATACAGGCATTGTCTCGCAGCTGCATTGTTTAGCATAGCGGGTGGTGACACCAAGAAATGTGGCCTTCCAGAACTGCCGATGTTTGGCTACGGGACACGAGCTGCGTGGCACTCAGCACAGTTTCCGTCACCAGTTTGGCGAGGTGTGCTGCTGCTGTGCGACTTTGTGATCTCAGCTCGGCCATTAGGGGTAATTATTGAAGCATGGGGCCTGGGTTGTTTGTGCCAACCCGTCAGAAACACGGAATATCGTGAAAGACAAGGACCGATACTGTGGCTGGCAGACTCTGACTTGGTCAAGTGCAAGGGATGTTCCTGTTCTCGTTGACCTATAGCTAGGAGTATTGTGTTTTGAATGGCCAAGTTTTCGTAACTCCTCCATCACATATGTCAGGCTTGCAGATGTAATCACAATTCAGGGGCCAACGTGGGGGCATATCAGTATGAGTCAAGTATTCGTCTACTAAAGACCAATTATCTAGCTCTGATGCGATCCTCGCAATATCAGTGACCTTTGAAGGCTAACTGTAGTACCTGATCATTGCCTACCAAAATCCCCTGTAGAAACCCTGCTGTCTGTCCTGACCAAATCTGTCCTGCCCCTGGTCTCGTGTAGCAAACTCCCCGAGCCGAGAGGTCCAGTCCCATCAGGTCAGGTAGACTCCGACGCCCCAATTCTTTCCGTCGATCCACCATCCGCGTTGGCCGTTCGCGATGCAGTCGAGGACGGGAGAGGCCATGAACTGGGCGGCCGTGGCGGGCGGGATGGTGCTCTGTCCGAGTTTCTGGGGGCAGACGGAGCCGGTGCAGGTACCCGACGTCTTGAACACACAGCCCTCGACCAGCTTGACGGTGATGTCCCCAGTCTGCGCCTTGAACTGCTCGACCACGGCCTTGCAGTCCTCGACGGTGGGTGGAGGGCCCTGCCACATTGAAGGTTAGGTCACGTCGCAATGTTAATCTGGTCAGGGAAGGGGCAGGCGCATGCTTACAAAACCCTTTGGGTAGTCGGTGCACTTTGAGATAGGACCGTCGGAAAGCTTGATGGCTCGCTTGCGATTCTTGACTGTCGCGCCGGTAGAGATCTCGGTCAGTTCACCCAGCCAGTTGTGTTCAAAGATGGCCGTCGGAGCCTGGTCACCCTCGGTGGCGGCAGCGAGGCCCATGCCGGCGAGGCAGCCGAGAACGACGGCGAGGGAAGTGAAAGACGTGACATGCATCTTTGCAGGCGTTGTCTTGTCGGCGCGTGGATTTGGGATCAGGATTGTTGCAGGTGTTGTGGCTGTAGATTGAGTGTTGAAAAGTGTTGCAGGTCGGCGATGATGTTTGCTTGAGGGTCTGGTGTGACGGCGCCGGTGTGACCAGTGCAACTACGAAGGTGTGTTGTTGATGCCTCAGGTGAAAGGGTGGGTACGGGAGTACTTGCTTGGGCCAGGTGGACTTGTAATCCAAATACGGGATTCACATAGGAGAGATGAATGACAGGTGCAGGTGCAGGTGTACAGTGTCAGTGTGATGAGGAAGGCCCGATGTACTGGTGCAAGTGATAGCAAACAATTGCCCACTCACGAGCCATGTAACCAAAACTCACACTTGGGTGAATATAGGATACCCTCGCCCAGACTTCTGTTGGTCGATCAAGTAGGTAATAGCAACCTCAAGTGCAAAAAAGGTGACCCGAGGAGGACATGGAATGTGCACTCATATATATATACGTGCTTGGGCCATCGCATCTAACAGATCACCATCAGGGGCTTCCGTGCCGGTGCGATTGAATTGTACAACGTAATATAAGAGTGCATGTTTTGTTGCATGCAATGCTCAAGATCGTGACACCGAAATGTTGCATTTCAACATGCACTCCTTTTCAGTACAGACAGCACCTGGCCTTGTCCTCTGGTGCCCACATATTGTGTGAAATACCACATGCTTCCGAGCCCACCAACGTCCACCGCGGTTTTGGCCGTGCCAAAAGGGTGCTTCTCCTATCTCAAGTATCCCACCTGGCATGTTGGACGCTACAAGCGAAGACAGTGGAGGTAAAGGGGTATCAAAGAGGCAATGATGGGAACAGCATTGGGATGAGTTGTTGACGGGGAGAAGATGCTGTCAATCTCTCCATTCTCTGTGAGGTGTTGGGCGGCTGCAAAAGGACTCACCTAGGGAATGTCAAGGAAGGGAGTATGGCCGAGAAGCTTGATACACTCGAGGTTTGTGTCACAGGAGGTTGGAGGGAATGGTATAATCCTTGAGAGTATTTGCAAAGTCCCCGAGTTCTTCACAATGGGTCATCTACTAGCTAGAATGGTGCGACCTGGGTGTGACATTCTCCTTGTAGGTACTGGATTTCCGTTGAATGATCAGTGACAGGTGCGTACTGATACTTCTAAGTCCCCCCACCTTATGCTACAGTTGTGACCAAGATGCACAGTCGTCATGCATACAGAACTGCTAGGCATTTCCTCCCATCCATCCGGTCCACCACTGATGCTCAAGGGGCGCCTCTCTCTCTACACGGCTTGCTCAATGTGGAGTCGGTAGGTGCCTGCATTGCTGTTGACGTTGGGATGGTCGGCCATGATTCCGGCCTGTCCCGCCCTGACGCAGTTCAGTAGGGGAGATGTTAAGAAGGAGGCCACCCATTCTGAAGTTCTGTTCACAGGTCTCTGGACGTAAGGCACAGCGCAGAAGCGGACGGCGCAGGTTCCCTCACGCCAGTTCAGGCAGACATCCGAGTACAGTGCGAAGGTCTCGGGGCCATTCTGGATGTCCGCAATGGCCGCCTCGCAGTCAGAGACCGATGCTGTGATGCTCTGAGATGATGGTTAGCCTGGCTGTCGCAAGGGCAAGAAGTCGCCACCAGTATCCACTTACACCAAAGCAGGTGAAGACATCCCGCTTCTCAATATCGCGCGTGCACAGTGTAGCGCCAGCGTCATGGACGAGCTCCAGCTGGTCCGCCTGCTGCTCAACCGACGAGAAGGCCACAGAGAGGACGAGGCCTGGGACGCTGGCGTAGGCCACGGTGGTAAGGATGGTTGTGAACTTCATGGTCGTTCTGACGGAGATGGAGTTGAATGGCTGTGGTGATTTGGCTGTGGTGATTTGGCTGTGGTGATTTGGCTGTGGTGATTTGGCTGTGGTGATTTGGCTGTGGTGATTTGGCTGTGGTGATTTGGCTGTGGTGATTTGGCTGTGAGTCAGGTTGTGCTGGTCAAATGAAAGGTGGTATCCAGGAGCCGTGTGAGTAGGTGACGCGGCACTCAGGTGTTGGAGCAGAGGCGGCAGGTTCGATAGATATATGTATTGTGGAAAGGAGCCGTTTGTTCTTGCACAAATCATTGATGCTTTCAAGGCATCTATCTACATGTAATGTACCGTACTTGTGGTTTGGATGCCTCAGCCTGATCAAACAGTGCAATCAAGCAGGGTACCTACCGCTTCAATCAGCCGAAGAAGATGTAGTTTCCTCGGCTACCACTGCAGCATCCCACGATGACAAGAATGAGGATACACTCATATAATTTTCTCTCGCCAGAGTCAGGCGAGAGGAGCGCATTGCCGGTTTGGATGCTCTAAATCCCAGCACCTGCTTACCTGGGTCCCTTACCTCAATGCCAGGAATGCTTCCACTTGCCGAGTCCTCTGTGTCCCCATCTGTAGGTGTCCAAGGTCGGTCAAACAGAGATCTGGCAGAGATACGGCTGCTTGCAGCAAGAGAACAGGCAGATATCCGAGTCCAACAAAGATTCTGCAACTCGGCTGTCGGCCAGAACACCAGGGACGATCGACTGTTCCGTGCTTAGTTGATGTATAGGATGTAGCTATCAGAGCTCATGCCTTCATGTTGGTCCTGGGCTTCTGCACCTCTGAGAACGCAAGGTCCATGTGCTGTTTGCACTAGAAAATCCCAGTCAATGCCTGCCCGTATTCCAGATATATGAACTCGATCAGTCGTAACATGCGTTGCAACGGAGTATCTGCGGCTTGCACCAACATCGGAGACAGTTGCGTTGCCAGACGTCGGGTAGTCCTTTCCGTCAACACCCCGCACGGTCAATGTCAGTGAAGCCGAGTTCGAGAAGCATCCGGTACCACACCAGACTCGGGCAATACAATCGACCGTGACATAGGTTGTGGAATATAGGGTGTGGAATACCAGCCTCGCAAATCGATGGCATTACGGCTTGAGGTTAGAAGTGTTGCTCCAGTTATTCAATGTTCAGACGGCGTGTATGAATATGTGAAGTTAAGTTGCGTAATATTGGAAGCCACGCGGTCCATTGGCAGCCACACGGCCCAGACCAATTCAACCTTCAATCTTCAAATGCACGGTTACGCCTCACACGTCAAAAGGTGCGGCCACACAGCCACATGGCTGATGGGGCCTCTAACGCAGGCGCGCATATGATTGTCAGGGGTGCCTAGGTGAGCAGGCGAGCTGCTGGCCGAAAAGATCTATTCCGGATCTTGACTGACGGGCCCAAACAAGGGTGATCGTCAAGGGCTTTCATTGGATCAGCCGATTAGGGGAAGAGGACGCTCCAGGATGATCCTGTCAGAACGCAATCGCAGAGGTCTGGCAAACAAGAGTCAGATAAACCTTGTTGTTCATAATAATAGCTAACGTTGTCGTCCTCATCATGATGATCATTGATATTGATCATGATCGCAGTCGCCAGATCACTCGCTTCTGTCGTCAATTGGGAACACGCGTCAACCGTCCCACAGCCAGTCTCGAAGCATATCGATATGCAGCACACGATAACCATGGTCTGCTATTATCTTGGTCTGGATGTGTTCGGTCTCGCTTGCAGCTTGCAGGTGTCTGGACCAGCATCATCTTTGCCACTCGTGCTGGGCGAGTACCCGCTGGGACACCCTTGATGCAGCTAACCACCAGTATCTGTCGGGTAATGCCGAATCGTCGACGGTGATTGGCAAGGCCAGGCACGAACCATCCCGTTTCATGCTACCGGTACACAACAACACACAACAGTCTGGTGACCGACAGCAACACAGATCAACTGCGGCACTTCGTGTTCAACCAGAGAATCAACTCATGCATGAGACACAGACCAATATGTACGGGCAAGACAGGCATGACAGGCATGATTTATCTTGATAGCTTCCAATGCACTGGCTCTGAGCGAGTTGGAACGCTCTGGGCCCGCTGTCTTGGCGGCCAGTATCTCAGCTTGGCTTGAATAGGGTAGTATTCACTACTGCGTAGAGTAGAGAGCTACACACGTACGTAGCTGACTTGAAATGCACGACAACGTCAGCTCGGCGTGGCCACCGTTATTAGCTTTGCAGCTGCAGCTATAGTAGTACTGGTCACTACCACTAAAGGTTTGCGGTCATCAGTCAAGTTGTGGTCAAAGTGCGATCAACGTACATCGATGATATTGATCAAGCAATGGGCGCTTTCCTGCCATCCAGGTTTGCGCGACGGTTGACGCCATCGTGAGTGAACCTTAATAAGGCACAGCCCATAGTCATTGTGAGAACAGATTGCGACTTCAACTGGCAACAAAATAATCAATAACTTATTAATAAAACAATGGGCACTTCCTTTGGAGACGACGTGTCTGAAAATTGATGAGACGAGTGGGATGAACAGGATTGCTGGAATGGGCCGTCTTGCTGGGGCGAATGGAGTCAGGGGCTGCCGGCGCCTACTCTGATTAATTACGGATTGAGTTTAGTCGGCGTAAAGGCCCGTTCAGGGGCGGCCTCTTTTATCGTCCAATTATTATCATGCATGCTTTTCGCTACCGTTTTAGTTGTAATCCACTGTAATGCGAGCCGTTGATTGATCACGATCGCCATGGCCCCGCACAGCCTTGCTACCCGTTGCGGATTAGCGGGGAAAGATCAGCGCGGCGGCAGGCACTGCCAGGCACCCATGCGCGTCTGGAACCTTTCTGGCCTTCTGCGCAATGCGCATCACGGCTTGGCTTGGCTGTTCCCGTCTGCTCTGCTCTGCTCTTCGCCTCGTGCCTTGCATGCTCGACCAAGATTACATGTAGACAACACGGCCCTTCAATTCAACCTTGAATTTTCGCTCGTTTTGTCACGCCACACACACGCAAGACCACCCGGGCGGCGCTTTTGTCAATATCCATAATCTGGTTGCCCTTCCCCGTACTTGGGCTCTCGTCGTACCATTCGTTGAATCCGGCCACCACCACCACCACCATCCCTCCTACACCTTCTACCATTAAAATCACACAACTTCCACGCCAGACCACTCACTCGCTCACCGACTCTTATCTTGACCACCACCCCGTCACTCGGTCCTGACTGTGGTCTCGCAAACAAACGTCAATTGCAGTAATCGAGTCAACCCAATACATCATAGGGTACTTCACGCCGTGTCCAGGTTTTGAAAGAACGAACGCCGCTCCTTTCAGAAACCCCCTTTTGTGACGACCAAGATAGGACGAACAATCCCCAGAGAAGGTACAATTGATTGTGAGTTATTGGTTCCGCGTCTGTTTCACGGGTCTTTCCAACCTTGTGACTAGCCCGTCACTGTTATTTTAGTTGTTCATGCTTGCCCCCAACCGACCGTGTTTCACCACCCCTCTCATCCCTCTTATAGCGACATGACTGACTGACTCTCTTCTCGGTCGTAGAACTGCCACTCTTCCTTCTTGGTCACCGCATTAACCACCCACCTGTCTGCCTGTGTCTTGCCTTTCCAACCTCCGAGAAAGCGGCGACGCGTATATCTTACCACACCCCCAGACCACGCCTCATCCGTCTTCGATTCTTCCGCATCCTTACAAGATGGCCTCAACCACAGTTCACGAGAAGGGCTCCAAGCCCGGTAGACCAACTTTATATACCGAACAAACCCACACACCTGGCATCTCGCCCAAGAATGAGAAGAATCCCGAAATAAGCATGGAGATCCGCCGGAACTCGAGCGCGTCATCGCCCTGTTCCATCACCAACACCAACGGCTTCGACACCGACATTGAGGCCATGATGCCGGCCCGGTCGTGCGACAACCTGAACAAGTCCACAACCAGTGGTACCCGCACCACGAAGCCTGACTGCACCGTCTGGCCTGGGCAGGCGCACTGGAAGCAGAAGACCCGCGCCGCCAAAATCAACAACAGCAGATCTTGCCAGTGCCTGTCTCAGCTTAGCAAGCGAACCAGGATCATGGTCAAGATTGCCATCGCGCTTTTGATCATTGGCATCGCAGTCGGTGTTGGTTTCGGCATCAGCAAACCACTCGGGGCTAGCATATGGAAGCCCAATAACTGAGCGCCCACATGTACTTGTACATTTACACCATGACCTCCTGCACCGACCCGGCCAACGGCATTGGCCCGAGAGCAGAGACATTGGCTGCTGCCGTCGTCGTCGCCAGACAGTCGACGAATTCCTCTACACTGGATGTCGTTGAAGCTCGACGATCTTCGCATCCATATTGTTGAAGTGACGTCTCTGGCTGGACCGCTCTCTCCGGACGCTACGTCGTCTACAAAAACTTCAACACCCGGCCTCGATCACACCCTCGCCGGCTGTCTAAATTCATCAAGCTACGCATTGATACCCATTTGGAACTCGATCCATGTATATACTCGTTTTCTTCCCCCGATGCAGGTCTAGGGCACAACGGCACTTTCTTCGTACTAGGTCCAGGGAATGGAGGGCGTTCGGGGTACACTCATTTTCGGCGAAACTCTTGTGTGTCTTGCGAGGCACTATGCATATGACGACAGGCCCGCTTTCGTCATGGTAGTGTTGCGTCAAAGGCATAATGTTTCAATCAGAGGCACCTAGGCAGGCGCCTATCAGTCAGGGCGTCTTGCAATATCATGACAACGAGATCAATTCGAAATGCCGCTCGGGAGGAGAGCTGGCGCTGCAAAGCATCACATCTTTCTATCGTCGACTGTGCTTCGTGTACCTGGCCACATTCGGCAGATAAATGGAACTTGACATTCGGATTGCCCAAGCCCAGGCCCAGGCCCATGCGTCTTGAAAGAGCCACAACCATCGTCCAGCGTGAGCCTGCACATGAATCGTGACGACTATGACCTTATGCGCCGTACAAGGTGTTGCTCACGGATGCGTTGCTTTTGATTTACTGATCTAGTAAGTACGGTTCACCATCACCACGGTCTGCCGAAGTGCGTAACCAAGGTAGTGAAGCTCAACTCACCCAAGCATATACCAGCTCGCTGGTACACGACCTGTCTCGGGTGGTTTTTTTTGGTTATCAGCCAGCACGTTCGAGTGAAATCAATATGTGACCAGGTGAAACGGATGTACGACGTCCAACCCAATGAAGTTTTCGCTATGCGCATGGCCGACGCCACCAGCCGAATGTCAATCCCGTTCCCGTTCCCGTCACCGTCACCGTTCCCTCACGGCAGCACGACGAACAGGTCTGCTGGTGATGGCCGGCCATAGTTAGATGGATGGGTCGCATCCAGGCTCGGACGAGTCCGCGAGGACCAGTAGACAGGACACGGAACACCTAGCTTGCTTCGGCTGTTCTACGTCGTAGGCACGAATATCGCCCCAGCTGTTGGATCGAGGCAAGCGAGGACCGCGTTCGATGGGAGTCGATGAGTTCCCTCTCCGGCTGCACTCACCGTTGCCTGCACCCAGGTCAGCACCACCGGCCCGCTCCTATCTGGTAATACTGGTCCTGGGGTTCGACCGTATCAGACTCGGGAAGTGGTTGAGTTGATAGTGCTTCTCGGGATCAAGACTGGAACACAGAGCGCACTCGGTGGTCTCGACGTGAACCTTGGCGACGGATACCGCGGGATTTGAACATTGCATACCGGTGGCCTATGTCTGCCCACCGCAGCGACGTCGTTGATGTAAGGATGATGATCCGGGCTCGCCGTTCATGAACGTTTAAGGTTGGATCGCGATGACGCCGAGCATCTATTTGCACCGAATTACCTAAGTACATCCCAATTGGGTCGCTCCGCCAGCAATTGACTGGGTTGATTGGCCACACAGCATAGGCAGCCCGGCGGCGTAGGCGGGAAGCATAGGTAGGGAGTGGCGGCGAGGTTAACTTGTGACTCATGCAGGAAGCCAAGACATACCATATATCAGCCCATCGATGCCGCGATGTTGCTGGTTCGGAATCCTGGGGGCTATTCAATTCTTCTTCCGCGCTCATTGTTTTGCTGATTCATTACAGGTCAGTACAAGTCAGTACAGCTGTGGATGATATCTGGGTAGGAGCTGGCCTCGCTGGTCTTATAGCAAGGCTAGGTCCTAAGTTGCGTACATGTGGACCGGCGCCGGACTGTGGTCTCCAAGTTAACGGCATCGGTGGCTTGGGCGATCTCAACGGTGCTCGGGGAAACACGGTCGTCTCGTCGCTTTCAGCTTTCGGCCGAGTCGGTTGACTTTCAAGACAGAGGCTGCTTCCAGCTGGGGTAGCTCGAGGATGCAGTGCCAGCTGAGACAGCAGAAGGCGTGGTTGGAGCAGGGTTGTTTGTCACGACTATTTTGGGATCACGAGGAGAGACACAAACTCAACTAGGTACAGGTAAGACTCGAATGGAGGGCTGTTTGTGTGAAGGTATCCTTGAAATCAGTCCAGGGGCATCAGCGCAGCGGGCGGACATGCCAGCATGATACGGCTTACCGCCGTTACATTCCCGACGAACCGAGCATGATTTCAGTTGTTCATCAGATCATAGCTGGAGATGGTTCATCACATGATTGGATTCCGAAATGCACTATCGGGCCGTTTCCTGCTTACGCGGTCTAACGGCGTTCCAACCACGAGGTCGCCCTCGCTTGCTTAAAGTACCTCCCAGCCCTCGTCGGGGTAACGATGCGGGGATATGGAGATTGGCAGCTCGGGTGACCCCCAGAACAGGTGTAGCTCCGGTAAGACGGCGCCCACCTGCCCACCTACTAGGTAGTTTGTCCACGGGGTAGGTAAGGCGGTGGGGAATGGGGATGCGGGACCTCCAGCTCGTGAGTCGCTGCCCCGGAGTTCTTTACCCCGGGCCCGAGTCTGACCCACTTCCCCGGATCCTCCAGAGGGACCCCTAGAGATCCTCCACCAACGAATGGAGCAGCGAGGTTCACCCGGGGCAACAAGCGCTCCAGTCACATTCCGAGCCGATGGTCTGGGGTACTACTCGTGGCCTGCATCTGGCCAGCTGAGGCGCCAGGGGTATGTAGGTGTTCATCAGAATCAGGGTGCGGTCAGCTGGTGCGTCCCCAGGCATGTAGCAAGACCGCCTTAATAAGATCAATGTAACCCGCCGCCGTTGCGTCTACTTCACCTGCCTTTTGCCCACATCCCCCGCCCTCGCCCTCACCTTCACTCTCACCCTCTCCCCTCTCCCCTCACCCGCTCCAGCCGCATACTACGTCCAGTCATCGAGGCAGACTGTCAGTCACAATGGCCGCCACCATGAACGAAGACCCCGAGTCCAAGGTCCACGGTGTCCACGAGATGGAGCACAAGGACGTCTATGATGAGAAGGCCGGCGTTACCGATTACAAGGCCGGCGCCATCGAGGCCGAGAACGCAGAGCATGACATGACGGTGTTGCAGGCCGTCAAAGCCTACCCTATGGCTACCTTCTGGGCCTTTGTCATATCCTGCACCATTGTAAGCGTAGCTGCCCTGTCCATGCCGAGCTCGCAGCTGACCCCGACAGATCATGGAGTCCTACGACGTCTTCCTCATGAACAACTTCATCGCCCTCCCTGCCTTTTATAACAAATATGGCGTCTGGGACGAGGTCACCCAGATGAATGTCATCGAGACCAAGTGGCAATCTGCGCTCCAAGTGTCTGGCCAGCTGGGCGCCCTCATCGGTACGCCGAAGCTCCACTCCATTGCATTCACGGACTTACGCTGACCCTGTACCCTTTTACTTCAGGCGTCTTCCTCGCCGGTCCGCTGACCAGCCGCATCGGATACCGCTATGCCACCCTGTTCGCCCTCATGCTCTTGAATGTCTTCATCTTCTCCTTTTATTTCGCCAATTCGCTCCCCGTCATGTTTGTCTCCCAGCTGCTCGAAGGCTTGCCCTGGGGTATCTTCATCGCCAATGCACCGGCATACTGCAGTGAGATTGTGCCGATTCAGCTGCGCGCCCCTGCCACGCAGATGCTGCAGATGTTCTGGGCCATTGGCAGTATCATCGTCGGTGCCGTAACCTACGTTTACAACACCAAATCTGGCGAGAGCGCCTACAGGTTTGTGCTGGCTGTTTCGTGTCACAAGTCCTTAGCTGACCTTGGATCGACAGGATTCCGATTGCGCTTCAGTGGCTGTTCCCCACGCCGCTCTTCATCCTGATCTTCTTCGCACCGGAGAGCCCCTGGTGGCTGGTTCGAAAGGGACGGCACGAGGAAGCTGCAAAGTCGGTCGAACGCCTCGGACGCAGGTCACAGGTGAACTCGGGCGAATCTGTCGCCATGATGCGTCGTGTCATTGAGCTTGAACTGTCAGCCAAGAAGCCCAGTCTTCTCGAACTGTTCAAAGGCACCGACCTCCGACGCACCCTTATTGTTTGCGGTATCTACGCGGCGCAAAACCTCACGGGCAATCTGATTGCCAATCAGGCCGTCTATTTCTTCAAACGTAGGTGATGAACATGGTGATTGTGCTCCTGGGTGAACCATGTGCTGACCTGTGAGCAGAGGCTGGCATCCAGACGAATACTGCCTTTGCCTTGGGCCTCATCACCTCGGCCCTGCAGATGATCTTCGTCATGCTCTCATGGATCTTGACCACCTACTACGGTCGACGTTCGATTTACCTCTGGGGTTCGGCGGCCAATACCATCCTCCTGATTGCCCTCGGTATCGCGGCCTCGGTTGGCGCGAGTAATGCAGCTTCTCTGGCGCAGGCATCCCTTGGCCTGATCGTCTCAGTCCTGTTTACGCTGGGACCTGCGCCCGCTTCGTGGGTCGTCATTGGAGAGACATCGGCCATCCGCCTCAGGCCCCTGACGACCGGAATGGGCCGTGCTATGTATTACATTGTCGAGATTCCCTGTATCTTCCGTGAGTATCAATCCCAGGTGCTGGCTCTGGTGCAAAAGCTAACACGAAATAGTGGCCTCGTATATGCTCAACCCCCAAGGTGGAAACCGTAAGTCCTCTTATTGTGTGGCTTTGGGCAGCCGGCTAACATGTTGCAGTCGGAGGCAAGTGCGGCTACGTCTGGGGCGGCACGGGACTATTCTGCTTGGTCGTGGCCTACTTCTATCTGCCTGAGATGAAGGGACGATCCTACCGCGAGATTGACATCATGTTCAAGCGCCGCATCCCGGCTCGCAAGTGGAAGAAGACGGAGATTGACGTCAATGATGACGAGTAGATACCGCACCCACATGGTTCAAAGTATCTAGGGTACGACGTGGACAAGGTCCAGAGGACAAGCAAGCCACAAAGTGTATGTATGACTCGGACCTCTTCCCATGGAAAAATCACCGCACATTCATTGGGAGCTAGCTATCAGGTTCGAAAAAAGAGTTATATTCAGAAAGGCACATTATGGAAACTCTCTTGCGACGAGTATCTGCTGCTACCTTGACTATGGATGTACACGTTCGCCTCCTCCTTTCCACGGCTGAGTCCATCCCCGGACGGAGACTGCTCGGCCTGACCGACTTGGGCAGCTGTAGTCGATGTGCTGCTTTCGCGCGATTTAACTTCGTAGATGGGCGCTCGACTCTTCTCTGACCCGGGCTCGTAGCTCGCTCGAGACTCATCTCGGGGCTGTGCGGCGCCATACGGCAAGGACATGACCGGTGGCACCATCGCCGGTCGTGGTCTTGCCACCGCCGCCCCGGCGCCCGCAGAGCCTGCCGCAACCCCCTTCTCGACGTCGTGCTTCCGGATGACGACGTGATCTCGCTTCCGCGAGAACAGGGCCACGCCGACGAAGACGACGGGGATCAGAACCAGCACGACGTACATGAACACCCAGTTGCTGTTGAAGTGCACTGCTACCTGCGGGGGTAGCTTTGTGAGGTCTGGCTTCATCGGGCTCGAATCGATCGACGCACGTCCGTCCCGTCAAAGGACTAGACTGACTAGCTAGGGAGGTAGGTAGGTAATGATGATGGGTGGGATTTGGTAGAAAATTGGTGGTGGGACGAAGTAAATGATATCGATAAAAGAATAGATAGATGAATAAGGAGGTGAAAACGGAGCAAAGTCTGAGATCAACTCGACGATGCCAATGCCGAAAAGAAAAGAAAGGTTCGTTTCGGGGGGTTTTGTACGCAGTCCAGATTTTGTTGGGGCCGAATATATATATATCGCAGATTGATTGACCCGATGAAAGAATGTATTGTTGTGAACCGGGTAGATTCTCGACCTGTCTCGAAAGCGAAAAACAGAATGGGTTTGTTGTCTTGTCCTCGCCTCGGGAACCTGCCTGCTGAGGCTGAAAAAAATGAAAGAGCGTTTGTCGAGGGTCGAGGCCTCGCTGCTGTGCGTTGGAAAACAATGCGTTGTTGTTGTGTTTGTTTGAAAGAGAGTAAAGAGAGACAAGAGACAAAGAGTTCTACATTTCGAATAATCACTCGGGTGGCTAGGAGGGAGTACCTTTATTGTACGTGCGTCTTGACGCGTCAGGTCAGAAATTACGCGGTGTGAGTTGATGGGGAAGTGCGTAACGCGTAACTTAGTCAGGTGCATACGTGGGCGACTCATGATGGCCGTGTCAGTGGCGGCTAGTTTCCCCGGAGGAAGCGCCTTTGCGCCCAGATGATGACACGGTGTACAGGTAGCTGACTATTCCCAAATCCACACTCATAGAAATGAAACGTTGCGTCGCGTCTCGTTGCGCCAAGGGCCTCAAGGTGCCGGCGTATCGCCTCTATGACACGGGTGTCCCTTGTGTACCGCATGCCTTGCATCCATCTCAACACGGGTGGTGGAGGTTGGGGGCTCTGCCTGTGTCGGTTGATGTTATGATTCTGTTACTGAGGGGGTATTCTTCAGGTCGTGAATGCTCTCAGCGGGTCTGGTAGTTCTGTAGGGACGGACTGGAAGATACGAAAGCGCCGAGTCGAATGCTCACGAAGTCATTGACGTCCTCTCGTCACTGGCAGTCTTTGTGTGGTCACAGTGCTCACAAAGGAAGGGGTGTCGACCTGCAGGCAAAAGATACTGCCTTGACCCAAGTGAGGCGCATCTGAAAGTGGATTATATTATACACAGCTACAAAGCTGATACGTTGGTGGAGGGGTATATATCCATCATACATCGCAATAGGGGGTCATCACCTCCTGACCAGGAGTGAGTGCGAGCCTTGTTCGCCACGCCTCACGCAGTAGCGCACCGTGGTAGAGCTCACTGCGGTTGACTGCATCACCGTGCTGGTACTGTGCCTGCTCCATCTTTCTTCTCCATGTCCATGCTTCCTTCGACAATCGTGCCACCATCCGACCTCGCTGCGCCATCAGCGTCAGGCCTGTCGTCTCCGTCGCGCGTGGCGCCCTTTTCGCTGTCGCCGGCCTGTGTGCTGCCAGGCTGCTTCTTCTTGACGCTTCTGAACTCCATAGACACCGCGCCGATAATGACCAGACAGGCCAGTATCAGGCCGACTCGGAACACTTCGCGCAGCGCTTCGTTGTACTGAACCAAGACGGGATGGAGTAGGTCGGGCGGGAGGGTGCTGCTCAACGTCGTGGCGCCATTTTGCTCAATCATAGACGGCTCGAATCCAGGTAAACCCCGCAGGCGCTGCAAAAGCTGGTTGTTAAGCACGTTCTGTCCGACCGAGACGAATATGGCGCCGCCAAGGATCTGGCTGAAGAACATCAAAGATGTCCCAATCGGTACATCCTTTTTGGGGAGGACGGTCTGCGCCGCCAGATTCGGTGCTTGGAAACACATACCCTGTCCAAAACCTGATGCGAGTCAGTGATCGCTTCCCATTTGAGCTCTTCGGGAAATTCAAGAGTCATGCTTCGGGGATACCGAGACAGCCCAATGGACGTGCAAATTCCGATGCAGTGGAATGAGGAGGAGGGAAAATGCGTAGACGAACCGTAGAGTACCTGGTATCCAATCCATTTCGGCATACTCGTGTCGAGCTGGAGTGTTGTCAGAAGACCAGCCCCTACAATCATCAGACACGACCCGATTATCATGCTTGGTGTGTAGTAGCCAATCCTTGCGACAAAGTTCCCATTCGCAATTGAGGCAACGACCATGGACAAGGTGAGAGGCAGTAGGCGGATGCCGGAGTCGACAGCGGACACCCCCATGACAGCCTGAAACCAAATGGGGAGGAAGTAAACTAGGCAAAAATTAGATCAGGTTCAAACAGGCGAACAGTTTGGCAGGGCGGGGTTTACTAAATATCGTCTGCTGCGACCCAATGCAGACCGTGGCCCAGAAACCGGCAATGATAGATCGCTGCTTGAATATGCGTGGGTGAACGGTTGCGGTCTCGGGCATGAAAGCCTGAACAAGGACGAACGAGATGAGTAGTACGCCGGCGAGGGTCAGCAGAGCTACTATGCGGCCATTACTCCACTGGGAACATGTCAACGGTATTCAGGGAGTGTGAACATCATGAGCAGTACTGACTGGATATGTAACACCACCCCACTGTAGTGCGAGAAGGAGGCAGACCACGCCGGGGACCAGGACTGATGTTCCAGGTGCATCCAGCTGAGAGAGCTTCGACTTCCAGGGAAGCTTCGTTTCCTCCCTGTCGGGCACCTTGAGCAGGAAACCTATAATCAACAGGGCAACGGCCCCAAAGGGAATGTTGATGCTAGGTGGGAGTCAGACTTAGTTAAGGCCCCTTGGATGGTATGTCCAATCAAGCTCCATGAGCGCGTTGGTCCCCAGGGTACCAAGCCGGAGAAGAACAGGACGTCCCGAGAGGAATGAATAGTAATCTTACTAAAAACACCATCGCCATGTGACGTTCGATGTGAAGGCTCCGCCAACCAGGGGTCCAAGTATGGAAGAGACACCGAATACAGCACCGAACACTGTAGCAGACAGGGTCAGTGATTATGGATTCAACCAGAGCTTAGTGGGAAGCATGAGCCGTGGTTCGGTCATCCCAGTGTCAGCCACGAGCCCAGCTTGATGTCACTGCTATTTGATGGTGGACAGGGTACACTTACTGCCCTGGTATAACGGGCGCTTGGCGAGGGGTACGGCGTAGACGATGCTGACGAGCTACAAGACACATGTCAGCTACAATGCTGAGCAAAGGAAGGCTTGTGAGATAAGGATCAGGCTGAGGCTTACGGTGCCGGAAAAGATACCGGCCGAGCCTACACCTTGAACGGCTCTACCAAGGATGAAGGCGACAGAGCTGGGTGCAGCGCCGCAGATGGCGGACCCAGCCTCGAACAGGACGATGCTGATCATAAATACGACCCTGATAGGATAGAAGGTATATATCTTGCCGAACAGGAGTTGGAAGGCACACGTGGTCAACATATAGGCCGAGCCATACCAGCCGACGTCCTGCAGGGAGTGGAACTCGTCGGTGATTTTGGGTATGGCGGTGGATATGATCAGACGGTCCAAAGAGACGAGGAAAATGGACACGAAGATGGACGCGATCAGGGCCACCAGGCGCAGCCCGGTGGGATATTCGCCATCGTCCTGGGTAGAGTTGGACTCGTCGTGGGCCTTGCCGTCGGCGATATGCTGTTGCTGCTGCTGTTGCTGTTTCCCATCTTGCCGTGACCCGTCGGAACTGTCACGGGGCATATGATGTGCGGCCGCTGCCGCTGCCGCTCCCGCTACCGGTTCCGGTTCCGGGTCTCGAGGCATGACCGGCAGTCCTGTAGGTGCCGCGTGGTCGAGATGTTTGGCGGGCTGTAAGCTCTCGTCTATCCGTCCGGATGCTGTGGTCGTACTGGTGGATGTGGAACACGGCCAGACAGCTAGTCACAAGGACGAACAAGGACAACGAGTGAGAACGGCCGAAAAGGAGGAAAGGAGAGTAGGACGGAAGGAGAGAAAGAGTGTAATGGAAGCAGGTGACACACAGCCCTGGAGGGAGCATGGCAAGCTTTATTGCACCACCATCTCAAACTCAGCAAAGGTGTTGATGGCCGAGTGACTCAGCGCAGTCAATCCTTGTGGTGATGGCCGAGAGCGCGTCTCGGACCTCGGAGGCGCACATGCAGCCATGGTGAGCACAAGCATGCAGCTTTGCCCACCATAACGATGCTCAACTCGGCTTTTGCACCGTCCGAGCACATCATGCTGAAAGCAATGGACTTCCATTCGTTTAAGGTTGGCTCGGGACCGACGGGGTGTGTCTGAGACCGAGTGAGACCGAGCTCGGCTTTCTCCACGCCGCAGCCATGCATTAGTAGCACGGGCATTGCATACTGCCTCTAACAAACCAAGTGTCCAGCCCCACATCGGTTTTTACCCACATACACAAATAATAATGATATCGCGCCAGACAGTCAGCTTTCGCCCTATATTATATAATTAACTATAATATACTTTCGTGCTATTCGGTTTTTACTATATTTTTGAGCGATTAAAAGCTTAATGTCGCTTTTATACTACCTTTTTTTAATCTTTATTTGACTTTTAATTTCTTATAATAAGCGATAATTATAATATAAATAACAAGCGTTTAATTAAGTTACATTTCTTTAACTTATATATAATAATTTATAAAAGCAACTAGGTTAATAATTAGCTTATTATTTAATTCGACTATTTTAAGTATACAATTTAACGTTATTAAGCGAGATATGATATTATAAAAAGGCTATTTACGAATATAAAGCCGAAAAGTTAACGTTAAAACATTTTGATATTAATTTTCAAGCTAAAACTACCAATATATTTCTTAATTATTAAAATTAAAATTAATATTAATATTTAAATACTTTTTAACAAGTTAATCGCAAAGTTTAATTTTCACCTTAACGAGATATGATAGTTTTTTACTATTATTATTACGATATTTCAACCTTTAATCGCCGTTAATTAAATTAATAAAAAGTTAAAAGTAATAATTTCGTAAAAAACCGAAGGCTTTTAAACCTTTTATTTATATTATATATTAACGTTTATGTTTAATATATTCGTATTTACTAATAAATTTAATATTACTAAAAAGGAATATGATTATTATTATAAATAAGTATTAAAAAGGCATATATTATTCGTTTATATGACAAGCTGTCTAACCTATAAGGCTAAAGGGTTCTATAGGGTTTATGTCTGAGGTAAGTCAACACAAAGGACGATAGATGCTTCTGTCAACTAGAAGACACTCAGATGCTGGGGCTTGGTCTGATCTAGGGGATCACTGTATAGTCGAGTCGTAAGGAGATTTCTCCCACTTTAGGGGTGGCTAAGATGCTTAGATTGATCACTGAGGTAGAGACTGTCTATCTATCTAGCTGGGAAGTGCCCGTCCTTATATATCTAATCTCTCTCTCACTGATAGAGTAGGATCACCTTATAACAGAGTGATGCTCACTGGCTCACTCCCTGATCCAGTGATCCTTGAAGGCTCACTTCGTGATCCAGTGATCCGTCACGTGACCTTTGTTATGTAATCCGTAATACCCATTGTTCCGTTTCTGGCTTCTGATTCCATTGGTTCTTGGTGTACTCCCCTTTGCCCTCCAACAAGCCATGGTATTTGTTGGTTTGTAACAGTTTAAAAGCTTTTAAAAAAAAAAATCTTGTAGAAATCCAGGGGTCAGAATGGGATATATGATGGTCTGTGTCTTGACTATAGATCCATGGGGGAGATTCCCACCTAAATACAGGTGTGACAGCCCTTTGATGCCTTGCTGCCTGACAGCGAACAACAAACCTGCCACTGGTCACCATAATAGACCTTTCACCCCCTTGGGCCCCTTTCATCCCTTTCACCTGGCGGACAGCTGCAGCCCATACCTGACAGTACCACAATGCTCACAAAAATCGATTTAATATACTATTAGCTTTTATAATAAATAATATTATAAGTAATTCCGTACATTAAGGGTTGATTATTATTATTAGCTTTTTAAAATAAGTATATAACTAGGTATACTTTTTAATAACCCTGTTTAAAGTTTAAAATCCGTATTAATAATAATTAATACTAGGTTTTATTACTTAAAAGAAATTTATAACTTAATGATCAAGTTTAACATTAATATATAATATTTATTGCCGTATTTATTCGATTATAACCTTATAAATGCGGGTTAAAAAACGTCAAAGTCGTATATATATGGTTAGACGTGTTAACAAAAGTTAATTTATTACGAAAAAAAAAATTTAAAGGTTCAAAATGTATATAAATTAAGTTAATGAATTTTTTTTTTTGAACCTGGTTTTTTTTATTTAAATTAAGCTAGATAAACAACTTATTACTTGAAAAAAAACTTTTATTTAAATAATAAAAGTATTATTATCAACGTAATTTATTAAATCGCGTTAAGGCATAAATTTCAACGTTGGTAAGCTATCTCTTTTGACAGGAAAAAATTATGATTAGTAAGGTTTTACCCTTGAAACGTTTAAAAAAGCCGTAACTAGCTTTATATAATATTTTTTATCAATAAATATTTTTTTTAAAATAAAATTTAATGACGTAGCTAAGATTTAGGATTAAGTTTTAATTTCTTCTTTAAAATTAAACGTTTCGTTTCAACTAGATTAAAGTTAAACGTTTAACTTATAAAAAATAACTTATAAACTATTAAACGACACTACCGTTAATAAAAAGTTTGTTTTTTGAATCGTATATATAGTTATAAAAGTAAATATAAACCGTAAATAAGTCGGAAAAGAAAGCACGTAATTAATAAAAAAGCACGCTTTATATGCGGTAAGTATAGAAAATAAGTTTAGCAAGGCTAAATATTAAACTTAAAATTCTTAATCTTTTTTTAATCTTATAACCTTTTTATATATAAAAAAGCTTATAAAGTAACTTTTAATATTAAGCGTTTAGCTCTAACTCGGGAAAAAAAAGATTATATTTCAATTACTAAACGATTTTATCGTAAATATAATATTTTTAAATTGTGTAGATATTTTTGAAATGAATTATAGAGTCGTAAAAAAGTAAGGGAAAAAAGCACGTAATGAATAAAAAAACGCGCCTTATATTCGCTATATAATAAAATACTATACCAAAAAAACCGTTAAATTATTATTATATAATAGATCAGTTTTTATTATAAATTTAAACGAATTAGTTTCTTTAAATCCGTTAATAGTTACTTTAAAAGAGGTATTAATAAAGTAAGATATAAACAATATATACTTTCATAGCTACATAAGAGGTTTTTTTTAAAAACTTGACTTTTATTACAAGCACTTTTATCATTATCTACTTTAATTAGTTATAAAGATAAGAAAAAACTTTTTAAAAATGGGGTTGAAAAAATTCATTTAATAATAATAGCGAGTTTATATAAATAAAGGTGGTAATAAATGGCAGGGTAATAAAATAACACACTTTTATTGTTAGAAATGCTATATTTTTTTCGTTATAATATAAACAATTGAAGAAAATTAATACAATTTAGCTATTACGCGTAAAATAAAATGTCTTTTTAACTTTAAAAGAAAAAGAAAGTTAAGTAGATTTTTATTTAATATAAATATAACGTTTATTTCAAAGTATTCCCAATAATAAAAAAGTATTACTAGTAGTAAAACGGCTATTAAACATGATATTTAACACTTGACAAAAACATTATTGTTATCAAAATTGCGGTTATTATAATCAATATACAATTATATAGTTATTTATTTTAAATTAAAATTGAAATTTATCAAAAGATATGGCCGGTATAAGAATATATAGTTCAAAGTAATATTAAAGGTGTGAGATTCTAGAAGGGTCATAAGCCTTTGCGGTGTGAGCGGCCGCTGCAAATGTTGTTGTCATTCTCAAGTATGCTCGGCAGGGCTAATCTACAGCTAAATACCATACTGCACCATGCCGGGGTGGATCCACTGTTCCCTTGACAGCTCCCTAGTGGGTACTGCACCTAAGGGCACCATATCTGGGATCCAACATCTAACAAAAGGTAAATAAAGGCATTAAATTATAAAATATGTGAGCAGTATCCATCTGTATATATAAGCGGTATGTGGGGATCAGCCACGTTGTCAGGTCGTACAGGGACCCACAAGGCATCTAAGTGTATTCTACCATTAATAAACAGTTGATAGACCTTTTCCTAAAAACAACAACGCTGTCACGCTCATACTGCACTTATCATTTTACGGATAATGCTCTAAAAATATAATAAAATCGCTTAATCAAAAAGGCAATAAAGCCTTCAAATATTATTATTATTACTTTTATTATAAATTTAAATAAATTAGCTTAAACAAAATTAAATATCGTGTAAAGTAGTTGACAAGCAAGTTGGCACTCGTCATGAACTTTTCAACCAACACAATTCAAATCATTATATCTCCACCAACAACAATAGCACCGCGTTATAACAAATTAGACTTACAGCTAGCTATCTAAGCTAAATGACATGATCCTCATATTTCTATATTTCAGCTTGCGAAACTCTTTAACATTCCTCGTTTCACTTTAAGCAATAGAATCAAAGAAACGTCATCACAATATGACAGCATGCCAAATACTTTGAAGCTTACGGTTTCCAAAGAGAATGTCATTCTTTCCTTCATTCTCAACCTGGATCCGCAAGCATTTCCACACCAACACAGTCATATTGAAAATATGACAAATTAATTGTTGGCAGCACATAGAACTAGATATATTGGATAGAACTGGATGCGGAACTTCATTAAACACTCACCAGGCCTCC